TTAGTTAATAATAGAATTTTTTTTAAATTCTCAATCTGAAATTATTCAAAAGTTCAAGTTGATTTTTGAGATTAAAAAATTTTGTGGCCATTTTATGTTTTTATTATTATTATTATTATTATTATTATTATTATTTATAGTAATTTCTTTTATTTTGTGGTCATAATAGTAATAAAAAATTTTGTGGATATTTTTTCTTATTATTTTATTACTTCCTCATAGAGGAAGTATTTTATTTGTAGTCATCTTTTTATTTTGTGGCCACAATAAATGTCCACGTTTAAAAAAAATTGATTTTTAAGAAAACTATTTTTAAAAAAAACCATATTTGAAAAATAAATATTAGAATTTTTTTTCTTTTTGAAGTTACAAATATTCTGAAAATTTTTAACATTTATTTAGAACAGAAATTAAATTTAAAAAAATAATCCTACGAAAACTTAAATTCGTATAATATATTTTTCAATTAGAAAAAAAAACACAAATAAAAATTTTAATTCAAAAGTGAAGAATCGAAAAAAAACTAATTTCTATTGTTAAATATTGAAATGCTCGGAATGTAAAATATGGTGAAAATGTGTAAAAAAGAATCAGGCAAATTAACACATATATCACTGGTATGGATCAATATTAGACCTAATTTACGTTTTGCTTTGTACGAAAATATTCGAAAATACACAGTTGGCTTTAGGTTTTTTTTTCTTATATACATAATATAATGTAGATGAGGTTTGCATGTCGCATTGATAATTTTTTTTCTTTTTCTTTCGATGTTAATGTACCTAGATAACGATTTATATATGTATATTTGTATATCTATATCAGAAAAATCAAAATATTATTTTAAAAAAAAGAACCTTCAAGGCGTGCAGAAGTAGAATATGTGTGCATATAATCATAGTGAATCATTGAAATCGATTTTTTTGTTCTTTTAATAAAATTCATCGTTCGTGAGGTTTGTCGTTATATAAAAGATATTTGATTGTTTTAGGTTTCAAGGTGTTATAGCAGGTCAGGTGAAAGGTGTATAAATTAAAGAGAAATTTGACTATCGAGTGCGGGTGATTTTTAATGATTGAAGGAGGAAAAAAAATGTAGAATTTAGAGAAACGTCACAGAATTTCGAATAAGGGAAATTGCGAATTTACTTTTAGAGATTTTTTTTCAATTTACGATTTTTATTTTCATTTAAGTATTTTTTTTAATTTCTATATTTTTACTGTTTTTAATTTAACTTATTTTTTATTTTTTACTTTTACTACTTTTGATTTAACTTATTTTTTATTTTTTACTTTTCTTATTTTTACTACATTTAATTTAACTTATTTTTTATATTTTTACTTTTAGTAATTTTAATCAAATTTATTTTTTACTTTTTTTACTTTTCCTACTTTTAATTTAACTTTTTTTTAAAAAACATTTTTGTTGTATTAACTAAAAGGAAGCAATTATATCGATCGGTAAAAATTTTTTAATTCCAAAAGAAAAGAAGTATTTGTATTTTCTAGGTTTTCAACATTTTTTTCTGTTTCACTAACGAAAAAAAATGTAATTAGTCATTTTATTAGGAAAAGTAAAATTTAATTCTAGATCTGCTTCTAGTAATTTACTTTTAATTTTTACCCTTTTATGCAAATTTTTATTTTATTATCAATTATTTCATTAGCAATTTTTTATATTCTTTAAAAGAGTATAAATCATTTTCTTTATACTGCCGAGGCACTAATTTTTACTGCATTATTTAATTTACTACTTTATTTTCAATTATTTTATTATTTTTTTTATATTCTTCCAAAGAGAGTCGCAATTAATTTTTTTTTTTTTTGCTGTCAAGGTTTATTAATTTTAACTTTTATTAAGTTACTAGCAAATTTTACACGCTTTATCGCTCTAAACGCAGTATTCAATTTATTATTATTATGCAAATTAGGAAATATTTTTATTTTTAAAAATCAATTTCCATTTTTAAATAATTCGAGATTCAAATCTTTTTTTAAATATTCACTTCTTAACTAATTAACCGCTTAATTAATTACTATTTATTATTCTCAAAAATTTTAATAAAATTCTTTTCCGGAATTAAATTATTTTCAATACAATTTCAGTAAAATTTCCCGAAAGAATTGAATTAATTTTGAATAAAATTCTTCAAAACAATTCAATTGTTTTCAAAAATTTTAATAAAATTCTTATCAGAAATTCAACTAGTTTCAAAATAATTTTAATGAAATTTTCTTGAAAGAATTCAATTATTTTTGAAAATTTCAATTAAGTTCCTCGAAAGAATTCAATTTTTTCGAAAATTTTTATAACGTTCTTCTCAGGAATTCAGTTATTTTCAAACATAAATAATAAAATTCTTTGGAGAAATTCAATTATTTTTATAAATAATAAAATTCATCGAAGGAATTTAATTATTTCCAAACATTTTAATAAATTTCTTCAATATTATTGTAATTATAAAAAAATGTTTTCTAAAATTTTACAGAAAATACTTTGTTGAAAAATCATTTAATTTATTTTTTTCTGGTAATTACTTAAACTCATAGTTTATAATGAAAGCAAAAATAAGATTAGGCACGAATCCATTGCTAGAGTTGAGATGAAAAGTAAACAGCGTGCAGAGTATAGACTAATTGAACTAATTGCATTTGTTAAAGTTATAAGCATTGAATCACGTGATGCATTTTTTCACATCTACAACTGCCAATTTAATTCTTCCTTTTCTATTACAAAGAAGATTTTTTCAACTTAAATGAACAATTTTTTGTCTCTAAAGAACATCAAATATTTTTTCAAGAAATTCCACAATTAAAATTAATTATTACTCATTCTTATTAATTTAATGAATAATAAAAAGTACAATAAATTCTAATTGAATTATTTCTATAAATTTATTAACATTTTTGATGACAATATTGAATCTTGTTTGAAAAATTTTATTAAAATTGTATTAAAAGTAATTGAATTCTAGAAAAGAATTTTTTATATGTAAAAAAATTTAATTTTTGCAAGGAATTTTAATATTTATAAACAAAAATTGAATCGTTTCGATCAATTTTACTATTTATAAAAATAATTGAATTTTTCTGAAGTAATTTATTAAATTTTTTAAAATAATTTACTTCTTTGGAAAATTTTTATTGAAACTACAAAAAACTATTTTAATTTTTTTTTAAGAATTTTCATTAAAATTCTATTGATGATGATTGAAATCCTACTAAACAAATATTTTATTTATTTAAGAAAATAATTGAATCTTGCAAAAAAATGTATTAAAATTTTTGGAAATATTTTAATTTTTCTGAAGAATTTTATTATTCATGAAAATAATTGAATTACTTTTTTTTATTTGTGGAATTTTCAAAAATAATTAAATTGTTTTGAAGAATTTTATCAAAAATATTTATATAGATTTTCAAAAATAATTCAATTTTTTCGTGAAATTTTACTAAAATTATATTGAAAATAATTTAATTCCATCGACAAGAATTGAATTAAAATTTTTGAAAATAATAAATAATAATTAATCAGTGAATTAATAATTGAATTTCTTTTTTAATTTTGAATCTGAAGTTATTCAAAAATTGAAGTTTAGATTTGAAAATAAATAATTTTGTATAATAAAAATCATAATAATTAAATAAATTCTATCTGCATAATTAATTTTGATTAATTCTGATTAATATAATGTCTATTAATAGCCCAGAAAATTGTTTGCTTCATTGTTTCTAATTTTGTGAATTTAGATTAGAAAAATATTGAATTAGAAAGATAAAGAGTATGTTTTCAGACTGAACGTTTACTTCTTAATTTAAATATAGTTGTTTTATTTGAGATGCAATATTATAGCAATGTCATTGATGCAATTGTGACCTAATTAGACCGTCTGGTTAGCGAGGGTATTGTTTGTGCCCACTAGTTTCTTGTAAGCAAATAAACTTCAATTCACTTAGATTAAATTAAAACGCAGGACAATTTCAATGATTCTTATCCCTTTTAATCAGTCTTTCGAATCTCTCAATAATATTGTCAAAATATATTTTTATATTTAATTTTCATAATTATTACAAATTCCAGGGGAAAAATTTTGATATTAAAATTGTTTTCTTTTAAGAACTTCATTGAAATAATTGTTATTACTTAAAATATTAAAATAACTACTACTGCATTTTGTTTCTTTTCAGTTAAAACAATATCAATATTTTATATTCGACTTTCATGTTTTTTATAAACTTCAATTAGTTGAAAATAAATTTTGTGTCTATTTTTGTATTTATTTCGTATTCATTTTGTATTTATATCGTATTTTTTGTATTCACTTCGTATTTTTTTTATTATTTTTGTATTTATGTCTCGTTTTTGTTTCGTATTTATTTTGTATTAATTTTGAATTTATTTCGTATTCAATTTGTATTTGTTTCGTATTTTTTGTATTCATTTCGTATTTATTTTTATTAATTTTGTATTTATTTTGTACTTATTTCGTATTTATTTTCTATTTTATTTTGTATTTACTTCGTACTTATTTTGTACTAATTTTGAATTTATTTCCTATTCAATTTGTATTTGTTTCGTATTTTTTTGTATTCTTTTGTATTCATTTCGTATTTATTTTTATTAATTTTCTATTTATTTTTTAATTATTTTGATGAATTTTGTATATATATTTCTTATTTATTTTTATTAATTTTGAATTTATTTTGCAATTATTTTTATTAACTTTGCGTGTATTTATTTTGTATCAATTTGTATCAATTCATTAATTCTGAATCTATTTTCTATAATATCATGATTATTTTCTATAATAGAACACAAGTGTTCCTAAATTAACACAAGTGTAAATTATTATTTCGTAAATTTAAAAAAGAAAAAATTAATTTTTCTCATAAAAAATGGAGAAAATAATTTTTAAAAAATCGTTTCACCTCATAAAAAATATCACTTATATGACAATATGATTTATCTAATTAATATATTTTTTTTATTTACTTTTTCAGATAAGAGGTCTTTTAAAAATGAGGAGATTAAAGTACTGACGATAACAGACTGTCTGCTTGTTTCTTCAATAAATTTTTTTTTTTTGGGGGAAAAATTATCATCTATCGATTGAAGGAAAAAGAAGAATAAGAAGAAAAAGGCGAAAAAAAAATGTCGAGACCAAGTCGACGTCCCAGTATTTCAATTCACGATTATCCGGAGCATTTAAATCCCTTTAATGATAACAATCCCAGTGCTAATATGCAAATGCGCAAAGATAACAATAAATCAACGGAGAAGGAGACAAAACACAAATTTTGGAGTTTCGGGAAAGGCAGAAAAAAGAGGTCTCACAGTTTTTCTATAAAATCAACGTGGTGAGTTTGTAAATTAAGGAAAACATTTTTTTTTTTATTATTTACAGTTGAAAAAAATGGTAAAACAATGAAAAAAGTAGTGTAAAGTTTGAAAAGTGAACAAAAAATCGTAAAAATAGAAAAATTAGAATAAAGTCTAAAAAAATAGAAAATTTAATAAACTGAAGAGTTTAATAAAATAATAATAAATAATAAAAAAATTTAATAAATAATAATAATAAATTTAATAAAATTAAATAAAAACAAAAAAAGGAAATATAAATAGAATAGAAACCAAAATATATTTGTTAATAATTATTTTTCTTTTATTTTTAATTTTTAATTTTTAATTTTTAATTTTTAATTTTTAATTTTTAATTTTTAATTTTTAATTTTTAATTTCTGAAACTGAAATTGAAATTTTATGAAAGTTTCTTGAACTTGAACTCGACAGGTTTGGCGACAATCCAGATGGCACACTTATAACTTTCTTAATACGGTTCCTTCGAAAAAGAACATCGCGACTTTTTATTGTTTTATTACTTTATTTGCTTTATCGCAAAGAAATATTTTCAATTTATTATTTGTGCTCACAAAATCTTCTCTGAAAAAATAGTTTTTAATTAAGTCGAATTTAAATTTCCAGAAGCAAGAAATATAAAATTAATTTTTTTCTAATAAAATCTATAATTTTGTTATAATAAATCGATTTCTATGCAGATTAAAATCATTGTTTTACCATCGAATTACTCTGAATAATATTAATTAATATTAACATTTTCCTGTAGTTAACAAATGAAAAATATTTTCAACAAAAAATAATTATTAAAAATATTCAATTTGGAATTTTTAAAACTCAAAATTGGATATTTTGAAAATTATCGAAATACAATAATTTCCCAATTGAAAATTATTGCATTTCGATAATTTTTTCAACTAGAAATTAAAAATTTATTGTTTTTCGATATTTTCCAATTAAAAATTATTGCATTTCGATTTTGTTTTCAATTTAAAAGTTAAATTTTGTTTAGGAAAAAAAAATTGGAGAGAGAAATTTCAAATGGAGATAAAAAGTGAATGAGTGTTATTCTGCGAAAAAGTTATTTTTGTAATGCGGAAAAATAAAGTTAATAACGGAAAATCGTCTATGTTAGACCGTTAAAGAATATAAAAGGAAACGGAAATGATCCGACTATTTAACGCCAACGTTAAATTGAGATTTAGAAATGACCCAAGTGATGACCGCGTCGAAACGCAATTCGTAAATCTTTGAATTGCCAATTTAATCGTTAACACTCGATATATATCTCTTTTGAATAAGCAAAAAAGAACGCCAATCTACTGCAGATGAAAGAAATTCTTCTCTGTTATAATAATTATATATAAAGGAAACTTTTTTCTCAATTGAAAATTCCATTTTCATTCAAATTCTATTTCATTCAAATTCTATTTCATTCAAATTCAATACGAATTGTTTTGATTTTTATTTTCAAAAAAAAAAATAATTTGACTATTATAATTAATAAATATTTAAAGAATATTTAAATATTTAAAATATTTAAAGAATTGAATTTTTTGAGAAAAAAATAACGGAAAGTAAAAAAATTAGTTTTTTTTTAATTGATTCAATTTTTTTCTAATCTCTGCTCATTTTTTTTTAAAAGCTAAATTTTGAAATTCATATTACAATTAATATTATTTAATACATTTATACGAAATCATTATTATTACTCTAGATTTTTGAAAATAAATCCGGAAATTAAAATTCAATTTTTTTATTGATTAAAATTTTTTTAATTTCTTTATTTGATTTCTTTTAAAGCTAAACACGATAATTTTTCTCAATTAATGTTTTGAATTAAAATTAATTAAAACCTTTAAAAATAAGTTAATTCTTACGAGAAATTTCATTAAAATAATAATAAAAATATTTAAATACTTTAGTTTTAACTCAGAGTTTTATCAAAAATTTTTGAAATTAATTTTTCTGCAAAAAATATTAAAATTAACATTTTTTAAAATAATTTCATTCTTTTGAGAAATTTCATAACTTTTTTTTAAATAATTAAATTCCTGTGAAAAATTTTTATAAATCATGAAAATAATTGAAATCTTGCTCAAATTTTTGAAAATAATTGAATTTTTTCGAGGAATTTAATGAAAATTATTTTTAAAATATGTCAATTCCCAGAAAGAATTTAATCAAAAATTCTTCAAAATAATTAAATTTTTGCGAATATTATTGAAATTATATTGAAAATAATTGAAATTCTGCGAAGAATTTTATTTAAGTTTTTGAATTTAAATAAAATTTCTACTTTTTGTTTTCAAAAACTAAACTTGAAATTCATATAAATTATTAATATTAATTAATACATTGATACATTAACTTTTGGAATAAAAATAAATCCGAAAACTGAAATTCATTTTTTTATTGATTCAATTTCTCTCTAACTTCTATTTTTGTTTTTTTTTTAAAAGCTGAACTTAATATTTATATAAATTCTGTGATTAACTAATTTTTTTAAAGAAAAAAAAACTTTGGAAATTAATTTTCTCATTGGTATTCGCAGTTAATAATTTCATTTGAAAATTAATAAATTTTTATTAATTCAAAATTGAAAGTGCAAAGTGGATAATAACAGTATATTGTTACAACTCCTCTGCAAAATATTTATACGCACATAAATATAAGGGATTATTACATCATTTTGCAAACTTATTTGCATCTTCATTTCTCATTCTCTGAACTCCTCAAGTTTTGTTTTATTTCAGGTTTATTTCGCTTTATTGCTTATTCAAATATTTCTTGTCATACTTGTTCATTTACATAAAAAAAAACCTCAAATTTTAAGAATTGCAAAAAATTAATTTATGCGTTAAAAATATTGTTTTGGAATATTATTAACTTTCAATTTTTTTATTTCAAATTTAAAAAATTTATTTTTATTTATTTTTAATTAAAAATATTCCGAATCAAAAATTGTTTTTGTACAAAAGAATTAAATTAAAATGGAAAATAAAAGAATTATTAAAAGAAAGATTTTTCCGGTCATAAAGTCATTAATATTTGGAAAAAGAATTTAAATTCCTTTTCGGGTCAAGTAAGAACACATGCACTAAATATCAAATGCTTTGAACTCAATTTGCCTACAGTGTAATTTTCTCATAAAATTTTTTTGTACCATTTTTTTTTTATGGTTGTTATTAGAAAAATTTTGGAAAAAAAAATAGAAAAATTTCGATCCACAAAGAGAAAAAAGAAATTTTTCGAAAAAAAGAAATAGAGAAGAAGAAGAAGAAGAAAGAATGAGAGATAAAGATAAAGCAGTTGACTCAATAATATAAAATTAAATCGCCGCATGTTGGGTCGACAATGAGCCACCAACACTTATGTATATTATCATATACGCAAAATAATCGACAGCTCTGTTCTCGCATGAGTAGTCGCGCAATGTAATTTATTTTATATCGTGATCCAATAATCCAACTTTGATCGCATGACGCTTCAATGGCCTGCATTTCTTTATTTTATTTTATTTTATTATCGACAGTTTACATAAATATACAAATAAAAAGTCATAAATACAAAGACAAACATTTTGATCAAAGTTCAAAGATTCATCACTATTTATAAATTCTTTCCAAGTAATTTGCCTAGATAATTAATTTAGTTTTTGGAAAATCAAAAACAATTCCACAAAATTTAACTTACTAATTTTATTTTACATATTTTATTTATTGGCAAATGTTAGGCGAGCGAAACGCGATATTTCATTTATTAGGCATATTAAAAAAATTTTATTTTCAAATGTTAAATTCAATTTTTGAATAATTTCGAATTTACAATTAAAAAAATTCAATTATTAACTGGTTTACTAATTAATTATTATTATTTGTTGTTTTCAAAAAGTTTAATAAAATTCTTTGCAGAAATTCAATTATTTTGGAGAATTTTTGATTAAATTTTTTCTGAGAATTAAAATATTTTCAAAATAAGTTTCATTAAATTCCTTGAAAAAATTCAATTATTTTTGAAAATTTTTAAATAATTAGCAAGCTTTCAATTATTAATTAAATTAAATTAAAGAAATTGAATAAAATTCTTCATAAAAATTTGTTTATTTTGAAATATTTAAATGAAATTGTTCGCAGAAATTTAATTATTTTGAAAAATTTTGACTAAATTCTTTATGAGAATTGAAATATTATTAATGCAATTTTAATTAAAATTCTTGAAAAAATTTCATTATTTTGCAAATTTTAATCAAGTTTTTAGCAAGATTTCAATTATTTTCATAATTAAAAAATTGTTCTCAGGAATTTAAATATTTTAAAGAATTTTAATTAAATTCTTTGCAAAAATTCAATTATTTTCAATATAATTTCAACAATATTTACAAAAATACAATTATTTTGAAGAATTTTTGATTAAATTCTTTATGAGAATTTGGAAGATTTGTAATACATTTTTAATTAAATTTCTGGAAAAAATTCAATTATTTTTGAAAATTTTAATTAAGTTTTTAGCAAGATTTTCAATTATTAATTCAATTAAATTAAAAAATTTTAATAAAATTCTGCACTAAAATTTTGATTAAATTCTTTATGAGAATTGAAGATTTCAATTATTTTCATCAATTAAAATATTTTTCGCAGGAATTTAAATATTTTACTGAATTTGAATAAAATTAGTCTCAAAAATTGTATTATTTTGAAAAATTTCAGTAAAATTCCTCGCAGAAATTTAATTAGTTTGAATTGTTTTTTATTAAATTCTTTATAACAATTGAAATATTTGTAATACAATTTCAATTAAATTCCTCAAAAAAATTCAATTTTTTCCAAAAATTTTATTTAAGTTCTTAGAAAGATTTCAATTATTTTTATAAATTTAAATAATTTTCTCAGGAATTTAAATATTTTAAAGAATTTCAATAAAATTCTTCTAAAAAATTTGATTATTTTGCAAAATTTTGAAATCGCTTCAAACGATTAATTAATTTTGTTTATTCTAAATGGATCTAATTTTTTCCGATTAATTTTTGAATCGTAAAATAAAAAAATTTCGAAAGAGAAAAAAAACACTGGAAGATGAGAATAGAATAGAAATAAATAAAAAAGAAAAGGTAAAAAGGGGTAAAAAATTTACAAAATTTGTAAAAAAAAATTCTTTCAGTGGTAAATTAATTTCACCACTGAAAGAATTTTTTTTTTCTAATTGATTTTAAATTAAGAAATAATGTTGAAAATGGGTTTTTTTAGTTTGCAAATTTTTACCGGGACTGGGTTTGAATTTTTTTTTTTTTGTTCGTGAATTTTGAATTAGAAAATAGTGTTGAAAATGGTATTTTTTAATTGTCAAATTTTTATCGGGACTGGATCTAAATTTTTTTTTCGTTCACGAAATAGAAAAATACAACATATGATGCATAACTAGAGCAAACATCCGCAGTTTTATGCAAACGATATGCCACGTGATTCATTTAATGCAAAACGCACAATTTACTGCCGTCGAGACCTCGGCTGATGGTTCCTTAACTCGACCGTTTCGTTATCAAGGTCAATAAATGGTCCAAACATAATAATAATCATTATTTCAAAGTTAACGAATTTTCCAGACACTTTTAAATTATTCCTCCAAAAAGGGGGAATTCGAAAGGAATTTATTAATTCGAAAATTTTCATAATGTCTCTTCCAATTTATATTGTTAATAAATTTTATTTTTGAATTAAAATTTAAAAATTGAATTTATAAAATAAATTACAATTTAATTTAGAGATTTTTTTTATTGAAATAACTGAATGCATTTTTTTGTCTCTCGGGAGATAAAGACAAAAAAATGATGACATACTATAATCTCCGTCTTCTCACCTCTTAATATCCCCACGGAATCTATATTTAAAAACAAAGTAAAAATTTCGCACTCGGTTTATTTTTAGAAATTCTTTTCGATTTTGTGGAATTTTTTACTTTTCTTCGTCTTCAAAAAAAAGTAACGAAATTTTTTCCGTTCTCGCCTTTTGTCAAAATTTGACTAAAACCCCAAAAATCGAGAGTTAAAAAAATAATTATAATTGTAAATGTAAAAAAAAGGAGATAAATTTTTTTACAAATTTTAAATGCAAAAATTGTAAATTTACAAAAAGAGAAAGACTAAAAAAATTAAAATTTAGAAAAAAGGGAAATTTTCTATTACAAAATTTGAAAACCCCAAAAATGGTGAATTGAGACAATAATTTGAAATTGAGATAAGATTTTGTGAAAGGGAGAAAAACTTGGCCTAATTTTTGTCGTTGAATAAATAATTGAAAGTCAAATTTTATGTTATGTGCAAAGTCATAAGTCAATTTTCGTTGAATAATGTGTAGTTTAGTGTAAAATGTACATAAAACACAAAGTCGACAATATTTACGATTAAATATTTTTATCTTATCGCAGGAATGGTTTGTTCGGAAAGTGTAAAGAGGCTCCGGAAGCGCCCGAGCGTCACTCGATGATTACAACAGGTATGAGAATTTATATTTTCACTTATTCAGCGAATAATAATTTTTTTTCAAAGTTTACATCATACATTCGATTAATAAATGGAAACATTTTCTCTTAATTATTAAATTTTCATCTGAATTGCAAAAAAAAGAAAATAAAAGAATTAGAAGAATAGCAAAAAGAAAAAATTAGAAAATAGCAGAAATTAAAAATTAAAAACTAAAACAAAATTAAAAAGTCAAAAGTAAAATAAAAAATAATCAAAGCAAAATTAAAAAGCCAAAAAGAAAAATAAACCAAAATAAATAAAATAAAAAATAGCCAAAATAAATTAAATAAACAAAAGAAGTAAAATAAAAAAATAAAGAGCTAAAAAGAAAAAAAAGAGAAAGTAGTGAAAAAAAATAAAAAAGCGAAAAGTCAAAAAGAAATGAAATAAAAAAGAAGCTAAAAAATAAAATAGATAGTTAACAAAAATAAAATAAAAAGAATTAATTTTCTAAAGAGAAATTTTTTGTTTCCAGTTTCCACGACGTATAAACGAGGAGAGACGATAAATTCTAGCCAAAATGGTATTAGACAATCGCAGACATTAAGGGATCAACAGGAATTCGATGAAGCCTTGGGAACATTGACAAGAAGAAGGAAATACACTTGGGATGATGGTTCAAGATACAATTCTAGTCTTACTGTGAATGGCGATCCTGCCAGAATATACGATGGAAGTCCTCAAGAAACAACTAATTCAATTATGGGCGATCTTACTCCAAAACCTCCAGCACGAAAGTTTGTCATTTTTTTTTTTATTTTAGTCAATTATTTTTGCACGTACGAAACAAACTAAAATTTCTCTAGTAAAAAAATTTTTTTATTAATTTTAGAATTTTGAATAATTTAAGATCAAAAATTTTTTAAATTCACTAATTCGGTACATAATTAATTTATAATAATTATTATTTGAAAATTTTAATATTTTTCGCAAGAATTAAATTATTTTCATTATTTTCAAGAATTTCAATAAAATTCTTTGCAAAAATGCAATTATTTTCAAAAATAATAAAATTCTTCGTGAGAATTTAATTATTTTCATAAATAATCAAATTCTTCGCGAGAATTCAATTATTTCTAAAAATTTTAATGAAATTCTACCGAACAATTCAAATATTTTCAAAAATAATAAAATTTTTCACAAGAATTTAATTATTTAAAAAGAATTTTAAAAAAATTCTTAGCAAGAATTCAATTATTTTCTATATTTTAATAAAATTTCTTGAATGAATTAAATTATTTCAGAAAATTGTAATAAAATTTGAGAAGAATTTTATTATTTTTTTTTATTTTATTGGATTCATATGTATGACCTTTCGGCCTTTTACATTTCCCGTACATAAATAAGAGAAGAATTTTATTATTTTCTAAAAATTTTAATAAATTGAATGTTTAATTTAAATTATTGAGAAACACAATTATTTTAAGAACTTAAAAGAAATTCTTCATAAAATTCAATTTCTTTCAAAATTTTCAATTAAAATTATTAAAGAAACTATAGAATATTTTTAAAAAAAATTGAAAGAAATTCTTCAAAAGTATTCAATTTGGCTTTGTGATAAGATTTCAATGGAATAAATTTTCCAAATTTTTTCACTCAAAAATCGATATTATTTTATAATAAAATTATTATTTTGATAGAAAAGACATTATTTTATATATTTTATATTATATTTCTTTTCTATTTTGTTTACTTCTTATTCTCAATTTTGTTTATTTTATAATTTTCTTTACTTTACGTTTGAAATATTTTTTATAATTTTTTAAAAACTTTATTTACTTCATATTTAATTTATTTCTATACTTAAATCTTATACTTTAGAGAAAACTATATGAATGTGTTTTTAATTTAAATTTTTTCCTTTTGCTTTTCAATAGATTTGGACAAGTGAGTCCAAAGCCAAAGGACAAAATTCCTCCGCTTGATTTTGAAGGAAAGGAACATTTGTCCAATGGATATGGAGATGATAGAGAAATGGATCGTGCACCAATTCCACCCAGGTGACTATTTTTTTATAAAAATTGAATTAATAAGGCTGCGTCTACAATAGAAAAAAATAATGTGTAGAAAAATGTGTAATTTGTAGTGTAATGTGTATTGTTTTTAGCACTGCCAACTGTCAGGGTCAATTACACTATACATTACACAATTTTCTACACATTATTTTTTCTGTTGTAGACGCAGCATAAAGAGAATAATTAATTTTAATTATTTCATTTTAACAAATAAAATAAACAATTTTAAAAATCGTTTTTTCTGTAAATTTAATTTTTTAATTATTCGGTCTGTTTTTTAAATATTTATTGTTTATTATCGAAGAGAGGAAAGAGAAGAAAAAAAAAGTTTTCTTCTTTCAGACGAAGCGGTTTAAGAGCGTCGCAGAGATTTTCGCCATCGTCTGATATTGAAGAGGAAGGCTTAAAATCGGACGATGTCAGGATTCGTGATGAAAATGAAAATGTTCCCGATGATTATGTATTTAAGAGATTCAGTCAAGATGCTGTGAGAAAATCGAATTTGTCAATTAACAGTTGCATGTCGATTTCAAGTACCGCGAGCGGTTACACGAGGAAAAAACGAAGAGCACCTCAACCACCAAAACCAAAAAGTCCCGTCGAAAACAAGGAGGTTTGTCTTTTTTCCAATTTATTCAATTCTAAACTAATCTTTTTTTCCTTTCAAATAAATTAATTGCAAATAATTTTTTTATTTATTTACATTATGGAAAAAATTGAATAGTTTTCCAAAGTAATGTTTCTACTATAAAATAAATTGTAGATAATTTTCAATTATTTTTACTATTAAAAAATTGTTTTTCTATTATAAAATTAATTGTAAATAATTTTCAATTATTTTTACTATAAAAAATTGAATAGTTTTCAAACTAATTTTTCTACTATAAAATTAATTGTAAATAATTTTCAATTATTTTTATTTTGAAAAAAATGTAATAGTCTTCGAAACTGATTTACTTATCAAATAAATTGTAAATAATATTTAAATATTTTTATCATGAAAAAAATTGAATAGTTTCGTAAACTAATTTTTTTATTACCAAATAAATTGCAAATAGTGTACAAAATATTTTAAATATTTTGTTTAAATATTTAAATATTTAGTTTAAATAAAAAAAGACTAAAACTTCCAAATATAATCGACAAGAATTTTTCAATTTCAGGAATTTCTTCCTCTGACGGAATCAAAAATATCTCCAATTCCAGATCCACTAGAAATATCGCGAGTCGCCGAAGACATTGAGGAGCTCACAAAGAAAACTCAAACCGATGAAGACGTTAATCAACCAAAGGAATCTAGTCCAATCGAAAAGAACGTCGATATTTCCCCTAAACTCGAAATCACCATCGAGAATATCAAGAATTCCAAAGAATCATCAAAATCCCCCACTGAATTATCGTCAATCGAAATAAAAGACGAAAACACGTCTAATAATTCACAAGAAGAATCAAATTCCAAAAAAGACGAAATAATCGAAGTGGAACTACGAAAGAAATCCGAAGAAACTTTGGAAATAATAAAAGAAATAACACCGTCTGAAAATGATGATGCCGATGATCTCAAGAAGAAAAACAAATCCACACTCTCGAGAAGTAATAGTTTTTGTGTCAAGGATGAAATTGAAAAAATAGAAAAAAAATTAAACAAACTCGAAACTCGTCGTAAGTCAGAGGATTCGATAAATCATAATTCGCCCAGTGGACGTTTTGCAATTGAGGAGAATCGTCGTCACTTTTTCCAGGATCTCGTCAACGATCCAACGGGAGTTAAAGTCGAAATAAAAGAACTTCCCCGCGAGCAAAACAATTGTCACGTCATTCGTTTAACCGATCCTCCAATTCCAATCGAGGCCCCACAGGAGCCGGTGAAAATCATTGAATTACACATTGAGGAGCCAATTCGTAAAAAACCGGAGATTTTAGCCGATAATCCAATACCAAAACCAAGACGAAGTAGTGCCTTAAGTTTGGAGAGACAGCCTTCCATTCATGGCGATATTAAACACGAAGATTCACAACCAAAGGGAAGTTCACTGTAAAAATCGCATTTTTTTCTTAATAATAATCGAATTTGTTTGTTTTTTCAAGAAATGAAAGTAACGCGAAAAAAAATTAATAGACTGCAGTTTTTAATAATTTACGAATATAGAATTTATAATTTACGATTCCATTTCTGTGTGACAGAAGAATAATCATTTTTTTTTGTTAGTTTAGAGAAAATTATATTTTATCGAATATTTTTATTGTCCTGTCATTGGAGCGTATATTGTTCAATTTTTAATTATTTATTTTTCGAAAAAGAAATTTCAAGAGAAAAAAAAAAATTGCTCCTTTAATTAACAATATAAAGTGTACATTGCTATTTGTTAATAATAAAACTATATTATTATAGAATTTCGCACAAAAAATAAATACATTTTTTCTGAAATTCAAACAATGTTTTTTTAATTTAACCCATTTGTTTCAAAGTAAGAATACTTTTTTAAAAAAATTCTATTTCGTCTCTTTTGGATAACTAAACGAAAAAATTGAAATCTGTTTCTTTTCGATTTTTTCGTTACAAAATGAAAATAACTAAAAACTTTAATCTTTTCGTTACTGAACGAGAATAATTTGAAATACGTTTCTTTTCGATATTTTTGTTACTGATCGAATATTTGAATGTGAACGGATTCAATTATTTAAAAAAATTGTAATACAATTTTTTAAAAATATTACAATTATTCCCGAAAGTTTTGATAAAATTTTTTTTTTTGTTAGTGAACAAAAATAATTCAAACTCAATTCTTTTCGTTACTAGACGAAAATAATTGAAATCCATTGCTTTTAGTCTGGAAACAAAAGAAAATTATCGAAATTCTATTCTTTTCGTCACTAAACGAAAAATAATAGAAAATCGTTTCTTCCCCTTACTAAACGGAAATAAATAGAAAAATATACGAGATTATCAAGATTTTTAATTCTCAATTTAAAAAAAGAACTATAAATGTAATAATTATTACTAAAAAAAATATAATATACAGTATATAATTACTGTAATATACACATATTTACAGTTTAAAGTTTCGCAACTCTTTGACCTTTATATTTGATAAATCTGTTTAAATTCGTCCTCACTGTCGATACAACTGAAGCGTTATCGCCGAGTTTCTGTTTCTGTTGTCGTATCTGCAACAAAAAAAACCAGTTTCTTTTTTTCTTACATAATCGATATTGAATTTCCACTATCTGTGGAATAAGTTTACAATATTCACATCACTTGTATTTTACTTCTTTCTATTTTATTTTTCGCTTACCTTATTTTTTAAGATAGACATAAAATTCTTTAGTTTCTCAACTAAATTTATATCTTTCGCTAAAGAGTCTGTCTCGTCTTCAGCAAAAATATCCATAATTGCATCTAATGATTCCGCCATCACCCAAACTTCATTTTCTTTCGTACACGTCTCGAGAAGAAATACAGAAATGTGCTGAAAAAAAATTTATTATTTTATATTAAAATTAAATAAAATAATAAAATCTATATTATTAGTATTTTTCTAATCTCTGTTTGCTTTATTTTTAATTCTTTTGATACAGGAATTTCATTAAAATTGATATTGAAAATACTTAATTGAATTCTATCGAGGAATTTGATTAAAATTGCATTAAATATAATTGATCTTCTGCGAAAAATTTTTATTATTTATTAAAATAATTGAAAGCTTGCTAAGAATTATATTATTTATAAAAAGTAATTCAATTTATGCGAAAAATTTTACTATTTTTGAAAATAATTCAATTTTTTAAAATAATTTTATTTTAATTTTTATAAATAATTGACTTTCTGTGCAGAATCTTATTATTTTTGAAAAGAATTGAATTCTTGGGAAAAATATTAAAACTTTTGAAAATATTTAAATTATTTTGTCGAATTTTATTAAAACTTTTAGTTTTATTGAATTCCAGAAATCAATTTCATTATTTATAAAAATAATTGAAAAGATTTCAATTATTTTTATTGATTCTTTACAAGATGTAAAGAATTTTATTAAAATTTTTAGAAATAATTGAATTTATGCGAAGAATTTTATTATTTTTTTAAAAGAATTGAATTTTTTTGTCGAATTTTATTAAAACTTTTGGTTTAATTGAATTCCTGAGACAAGTTTCATTATGAATAAAAATAATTAAATTCTTGCGAAGAATATTACATTTTTTTTTTTTTTTTGAAAATAATTGAATTCCTGTGACGAAAATTTAAATTTCATTGAAAATAATTAAATTCTTATGTGAATTTTTAAATTTTTAGTAAATAATTGCAATCTTGTAAAGAATATTAAAATTTTTGTGATGATAATTGAATTTCTGGGAAGAATTTAATAATATTTTTGAAAGAATTGAATTCTTGAGAAGAAATTTACTGATTATGTAAATAATTAAATTCTTGCGTAGAATTTCACTAAAATTTTTGGAAATAATTTAATTCCTGCGACGAATAAAATTAAATTAATTAAAATAATTTAATTCTCGTGTGGAATACTTTTATTTTATTGAAAATAATTGAATTCTTAGGTGGAATATTAATTTCTTTTTTTGTAAATAATTGAAATCTTGTAAAGAATATTAAAATTTTTGTGAAAATACATTGAATTCTCGGGAAGAATTTTAATATTTACTAAAAAAATTGATATTTTTAGAAGAATTTTACTAAAATTGTTTAAAAAATAATTGAATTCTTTCGAAAGTTTTTATATTAAAATTGTATTGAAAATAATTGAATTGTTTGGTAGAATTTTTTTTTTAATTTTTGTAAATAATTGAATTTTTCGTAACAATCGTTATCAAAGAATAATTATTTTTTTAAGTTATTTAAATTGAAATGACTCCAAATGATTTAGAAATATCATTGCAAACATTCCCCGGATAATTTTACTACTTTTACAATAAATTTTATAAAATAATAAAATTCCAAAAGGTTTCAAAAGATTTAAAATTCAGTTTTAAAAAATATTTAAATTTTGCAATTAAAAAAATAAAAAAAAATGTGAAATTCTGATCGTTCTTCGTTAATTAAAAAGAAAAATACCTTTATTAATTCCAGAGATTGCGGATTTTGAACGTTCAATAAAATTAGAGCGAGATTTCCAAGAATTCTTAGTAAATTGGCTCTAACATTTGCATTCGAACATTGTCTCTCGCCATTACACATTGGCTGTAAATCGACAATATTTAATTTTTGAAAGACATTCGCCTTTATTTCGGCCAATTTTTGCAAAGCTGCTCTCATTGCCGATGTTGCAGACTCCAATAAATCAATATCATTTGGATCGGCGTCTGTGAAAACTACTTTTCCAATTTCACTCCACAATCTGAAAATTTAAATTATTTTTTAAATTCAATGTCTGAACTTTTAAATTAAATTTAAATTAATTTTCCGTTTACAAATTTAAATTTAAATCAATTTTTTAATACAAATTTTAATTTTCTTTTTGCTGAATTGAACTAAAAAATAACTTTTTTGTTTTTGGTTTTCCAAGCCGAATTTTTAAATTTGAAAAATAATTAAGTAAAATTACCTGTACAAATTGTCAACACCGCCAAGAGTATCGACATCCAAACTCGAGAATAAATTATTTAAACAAAGAAAAGCGCGACATCTCAATATACGAAGTCGTTTTATTATAAAAATACCCTCGGGATTTAAATCAAAAGCCTTTATCACATTCTCTTCAATAATTTCAGTTTTACTCGAAACTATTTTCACTAAATCAGTACTTGCAATGACTTCAATTAATTCCACGGGAATATTCGAATACGAATTTATTGTCTTATCTTCAATTTGATCAATATCCATATCCTCCTCATATTCATCGGAATCCTCAAAATCAGATTCATCATCACTCTCCATATCGTCTGTGCATAAATTAGCCAAAATTTCCAAAGCCTGTTGTTGAATTGATACAATTTGATTCATTTCGCGAATCATTTTACGTGAATTGCGCGTTAAATTTTTTTCATTTAAAAATGCCTTCGTCAATGAATCCATTTGACTTTGATAATTGAGATTTAATGTATCGGCAAGATTGACAATGACTTTACTGGCAATTTTCAATGAATCAATTTCAGTTCTAAATGAATTATTTATATTCATTAATAAACCGGCAGCCAATGTTCGCAGTGACATTGTATTGATGATATTTTCATTTTCAGCTTTCCAATCGAGATAATTTATTAATGTGGATTCTTGTTTTTTTAATTCGACAATTGCCGTTGGATTGTCCTCGGATAATGTGAGAATACATTGAATTGCCACAATGCTTAATCTTATTCCATATGCTGATGTATCGAGAAATTTAATTAAAATTGAAAGTAAATTCTCTGAATTTGAACGTTTAATAACACTCTCATTTTTTTCAGCCAACGTCCATAGTAATGTTACCGCTTCGATGAATGTTTGCTTTTCTTGTTCGACTTTTTCCTTTTCTTTTGGATCTGCACTTGGATGCCAATTCGAATAATGCTAACAAAAAAATAGAAATTTATTTATTAAATTTCTAACTTTTTTCATAATTTCCAAACATATTTTTAATTTTCTAAATTAACTTCTCAAAAATTATTTCCAAAATTATTCAATTATTCAAATGATTTAAATCTTGTAAAGAATATTAAAATTTTTGTGAAAATAATTGAATTTCTGGGAAGAATTTAATAATATTTTTGAAAAAATTAAATTCCTCAGAAGAAATTTACTGATTACAATGTAAATAATTTAATTCTTGCGTAGAATTGTACTATAAATTTTTTGGAAATAATTCAATTCCTGGGTCGAATTTAATTAATTATAAAAGTAATTGAATTCTTGAATTTTTTTATAAAATAATTTAATTCTTGTGAGGAATATCAAAATTTTTGTAAAAATACATTGAATCCTCGGAAAGAATTTTAATATTTTTATTAAAAAAATTGAATTCTTCAGAAGAATTTTACTAAAATTGTTTTAAAAATAATTGAATTGTTTGGAAGAATTTTTTTTTAGTTTTTGTAAATAATTGAATTTTTGCCAAAAATTTTATTATACTTTTGAAAAAATTTAATTTCTGCGAAGAATTCAAAATTATATCAATTAAAAATTTAATTTTAATTAGCTTTTCGTTTCAATCGTTTTTCGTAACAATCGTTATCAAAGAATAATTATTTTTTGAAGTTATTTAAATTGAAATGACTCCAAATTGTTTAGAAATATGATTGCAAACATTCCCCGGATAATTTGACTACTTTTACAATAAATCTAATAAAATAATAAAATTTCAAAATGTTTCAATAGATTTAAAATTCAGTTTTAAAAAATATTATAATATAATTAAATTCTCAAAAATTATTTCCAAAATTATTCAATTATTCAAATGATTTAAATATTTTCTAGAATTTTTAATTAAAATTCCATATTATTAAAATTTTTTAGAAATAATTGAATTGTTTCAAAGAAAATTGAAATTCTTACAGGAAATTTTATTAAAACTGTATTGAAAATAATTGAATTCCTGTCAAGAATTTCATTGAATTTTTTTTTAATAATTTCATAATTTCCAAGAATTTTATTAAATTTTTCAAAAATAATTGAAATTTTTTTAATTTTATTTATCTTGAAGAGTTTTATTAATATTTTTTAAAATAATTGAATTGTTTCGAAGCAAATTAAACTTTTTTCAAGAAATCTTATAAAAATTGTATTGAAAATAATTGAATTTCTGAGAAAAAAAATTTATAATTTATGAAAATAATTAAAATAATTCTTGTAGAGAATTTAATTTTATTAAACTTTGTAAAAAGAATTGAATCTATATTTCTAAATTTTTAATTTGAAACTCAATTGAGTTTATGAAAATTGTAAACGCAACTCTTATCAAATTCAATAATTTTTGGAATTTCAAGTAAAATTATTAATTAAATAATTTATAAGCAGGATTTTTATGATAGTTCTTCAAGAATTAAATTATTTGAAATAAATTGAATTTCATATTCTGTAAAGTTCAATTATTGTCAGAAATAAATAAAAATTAACGTTTTATATTAAAAGTTCGTGGTGATAACAAACTTTGTAAGGCAAACAAAAAAATTCGAGAAAAATTAAATCTTTGTAGTATTTTCAAAGGTTACTAGAGATAAAAATCCTTAATCTTTTTATAATAATTCTAAAATTCAAATATTTTTTCTGTTCTTTTGATAAAATTTCCTGACTTTTCCCTGATAAATTTTCTTTCCCTGAATTTTTTCCTTGATCAACCCGTTTAAACTGTTTAAACAATTTAAATTATAATTTAATATTTAAATTATTAAAATTTCTGCAACCCTTATAAAATATTATTGATGAATATAATAAAAGATTACATTTTTTAATAAGGCCGTAAGTGGAGTCATAAGATCGTCATTCAATAGACACGTGTAAGCTTCTTCTCCGCCGTTTTCTGCAATAATTCTCAATGCACTGGCGGTAGCTGATCGCACCATTTTATTTTCATCAACTAAATAAGGTCCGACAATTTTTGCAATATTATCTTTGGAAATTTGTACAGCAATCGACTCTTCATAACTCATTGACTCCAATGTTTGGAGGCCGGATATTTTCTCCTCCATTTCAGCAGAACTCAACTTTAGTGTAAATAAGTAACGAAAATTCATTAGATTATCATTTCAAAGAGGAGAAAAATAAATTACATAATTTATAATTTATAAATAAATTAATAGACAAACAAAAATTATAATAAATAAAAAAATCACTCAATTTATACATTTACATTACATAAAAAAAGCTATGTATAGAAATAATTTCAAACAGTCAAGTAAATTATTTACTGTCAAAAATCATATTTTAAACGAGAGCGCATTTTTTAAGAAAATGTAAAAATTGTATATATATGAAATCATTTTTCGGTTTTGTAAATAAATAGACTTAAAAAAACTTACCTGTTCCATAACTCGAAGCAATGCTTTTTCTTTAGTTTCCTCAGACACATCGTCCAATTCCTCGTCGAAATCTTTTTCACTAATTAAACCAGTGGGATTTTGTTTATGTGGTTTACGTCGTTGTCTTTTTTGTTTCCCCATTGTTATCAATTTTTACCAATAAAAACAATAGAAACAAATTTCCAAAAAACACGTGCGCCTGTTAACCCTTTAAAAATTTTGAGGTTATGTATCAGAAAAAGACTGACATCTCCGGAATTTACGTTTTCTTCCGAAAATCCCGTAAATTAAAAAAGATGTGTTTCTATTGGTCGAAAGAAAGTAATTGTCCAGTTTTAACAAATCGCATTCGAGTTTTTTTTTATTAAACGTTGGCAACATTGATTCATAGAGTTTCGTAACTTCACGATAAAAATACGTAAATGCTTCCATTTAAAATGTTTATAAACAATGTAAACAATAGAATAACGGTGGAAGTATTAATTGTTTAGGATTGTTTACGATGAAATTAGTAAAATTGAAACAAAATACCAACAATGAATTACTGTTGAGGATAATATTCGATAAATTTATTGAGTGTTAAATTCAGCGAATTGTGTAAGAAGAAAAAATGGATGATTTGATCAAGAATCAACAGGCAGTTAATAAATTAAGGAAGATTACAAATTTATTTGATATTTAGTGAATATTATTGTTATATTATAATAATAGACATAATCTGTCATCACCTGAGGTAAGTGTTGTTTTATTCTAATTTTTTACTTTAAAGTTCGAATTGTTATGTCAAAAGTTTGACAGTTCATTAATTAAAATTTCTCAAAAGAATTCAATTATTTTTTCATAAATAATAAAATTCTTCTCAAGAATTTAATTATATTCAAAAATAATAAAATTATTTTCTAGAATTCAATTATATTTAAAAATAAAAAAATTATTCAGACGAATTCAATTATTTTGAATACAATTATTTTAATAACATTTCACGAAAGGATTCAATTAATTTTTTAATTTTTAATAACATTTTTCGAAAGAATTCAATTATTTTCTAAAATTTTAATAAATTCTTCGAAATAATTCAATTATTTTTATAAATAGTAAAATTCTTCTTAAGAATTAAATTGTTTTTAATAAAGTTCCTTGAATGAATTCAATTATTTTATTTAATAAATTGTAGTAAATTGCTGACAAAAATTTAGTTACTTTTTAAAAATTATAATTAAATTCAATAATCAAATGCTTAGTTTCAATTATTAACAACCACGATTATTGTTACAACCTAAAAAAAATTCTTCATGAATTCAATTATTTTCAAAATTTTCAATTAAAATTATTAAAGAAACTTCATTATTTAAAAAAAAAATTCAAAGAAATTCTTCAAAAGAATTGAAATTAGGATTTTCAAAAATTTTAATAAAATTCTTCGCAAGAATTCAATTATTTTCATAAATAATAAAATTCTTCGAGGGAATTCAATTATTTTCAAATTTTTTGATAAAATTCTTTGCGCGAATTCAATTATTTTCAAATTTTCAAAGAGAATTCTTCGCGAGAATTCAATGATTTTTAAGACATTAATTTAAAAATTGAAATTTTAAAAGAAAAATAAAAAGAAAAATTAGGAAGTCCACAATAAAGAAAAATATATATTTATAAAAAATATTTCATTCATTTGAAAGTTAAGGGAAGCAAAAGTATAAAAATATTTAAATTTTTATTTTAAAAAATTATTAATTACATTATTTTTCTTTAAAAATTCTTAAAGTTTTTCAATAATTTATTTCAAAAATTCGAAAAAAAATAATTGAATTTCGGAAGAATTGCAATTTTTAGAAAGAATTAAATTTCAAAAGGTTTTTCATTGAAATTATTTTAAATTTTCATTTCTGGGGAAAAATAAATGAGAATAAGTTTAAAAATTTTTGTTTAACAAAAAGTATTGAACTTTTGAATAATTTAATTTAGAAATTCCTAAAAATTGATTCTTGAAAAAATTTAATTAATATTTTCTAAAAATAATTGTATTTCCGAAAATAATTAAAAAAAATTGAAACAATTGAAAATTTTGTCAAATTTCATTGAAATAAATTTGTATATTTTGTTGAATTTTATTTGTTTACTTTTAAAGTATAATTAAAAATATAATCGTATTTTCGAAGAATTCTAATTGAAAATTTGGAATATAATTGAATTTTAAAATTTAGAATAAACTTATTAACGATAATTAATAAATTAAGGTTTGCATGCTCTTTAAGAAAGAAAATTTTTTCTGCAAATTGTCTCTAAATTAAAAGTCATTTAAGGCCAGGAAGACACAATCAGTGATAAGAATACTCAACATTTTTTCCAATCTCTTTCTTCCAGAACTAATGTGCGTTAATTAAAAATAAATTTTTAAAAAATGCCTTAAATACTAATTATTTTTGATATTTTCCAGTCATTTTGGTCAGTTGGAGTTGAAGAAACTCGATAAGTATACGAACTTTTTTTTTCCAAAAAAGTGTTTTGAAATTCAAAATAATATAAAATGAGAATTTTTAATTTTACAAGAAAATATTTTACTAAATTGAAAAATTAATTCTTAAGTTTGTGCCCAAGTGTTCACAGGAAAAATAAGAAAAAAATCGTCAAAAAAAAATTCTCATTGCAAATATTCGAATTTTTGGCAGAAACTTTTGTAAATATTTATTCAATTCTTCGTAAGTAGGAAAAAAATATATTTAATTATCAAAAAAATATTTTGATGAATTTTTAATTTGTAATTTTTTTCTTACAGTTTGGAACATCGTATTTTTTTCCTGGAAAATTTCTTCAAAATGAAACCTCTAGTCAAAAATTCAACAATAATTCTAATTATTCTTCTCATCGAAAGCACCGTAACTTGTAAAAATTACAATTCATCAAATAATAGACAAATTTTGAATTCTCAAATCGATGAAATACCAGAAGATTATTTTCAAATTTTCACCGATCTCGAAAATATTAATTTGGGAAATAATAAAATAAGAAAATTCGAGAATGGAACATTCAGAAATTTAAAACTATTAGAATGCATCAATATGGCAAATAATGAAATATCCGAATTGTCATTTGATATATTCAACGATTTATCATTATTAAAATATATTAATCTTGAAAATAATAAATTGACATCATTACCAAGTGGTATTTTCACTAAAAATAATCAACTCGAAACAATAAATTTATCGAAAAATTATTTTCAATCATTGCCAGATGATTTATTGGAAAATAAGAAAAATTTGAGAAACATAAATATTCAATCATTGGAAAAATTGACAAATTTATCGAGTGGATTTTTTAGTAATTTTCCCAATTTAGTGGAAGTATTTGTTAATAATTGTAATTTGGAAAATTTACCAGAGAATTTATTTCATGGATCGATTAATTTAAAAAGAATAAGAATAGACGACAATAGTTTGCAATCATTGCCTGATAAATTATTTCAGGGTTTAATTAATTTAGAGGAATTGAATTTGGGAAAAAATCGAATTGAAAGTATACCTGATAATATTTTCATTTCGTGTAGAAAACTTCAGAAATTAGAAATCGATAATAATAATATTGTGAAAATATCAAGGTAAAAACACAATTTTCTTTTTTGAGAAATAAACTTTTTTTTCCGTTCTTTTTAAATTTTTATCTTTTCTTTTTCTTGTTTTCTTCGTTTATTTCCTTTTGTTACTTTTTATTTTCTTATTTTTTCGTTTCTTTTTATTTTGTTTTTTCGTTGACATCTTTCTGTTTTCTTGTTTTTTTTCAATTTGTGTACTAACAAATATTCTTTTCTTTTACAGAGCGACATTTAATGGTCTCCATTCATTAAGAAAATTATTTATTCAACATAATAATATAATAACGATTGACGAGGAAAAATTCGCAATTATGCGAAATATCACCTACATAAATCTCTCTCACAATAATATTAAATATATTTCAAAGACAAAATCAAAAAGTGGAAGCAAATCGTCACTAAATAGTTGCAAAAATCTCAAAGAATTAGATCTTTCGTACAACAAAATATCAAATTTCCGCAAAGAATGGACGAGAATTCCACAAATTCAACGACTAAATCTCTCAAACAATGTTCTTTCTTCAATAACGGTTTGTCTATTATTGATTAGATATTTATTTATATTTATAATATTTACATTTGTATTTATTATTTTTTATTAAATTTTTATTTCGTTATTTTTATAATCAACAAGTTTTGAACTAAACATTTTTTAGAAATATATTTTTTTTATTATCGATTTCCTAATTTTTGTATAATTTTTCTTTTTAAATTCCTCTGAAAAATTTTTTATTTTTGAATGTATTTGAATTCTTGAGAATAATTTTATTATTTATGAAAATAATTAAACTCTGATGAAGAAGTGTATTAAAATTAAAGAAAATAAGAATTCAATAAGTTAATTAGTTAAAAAGTGAATAATAAGAATAAGAAAAAAAATTTCGTTCATTTAAACATTCAGAACTTTATAGGAATATTTATTTTTGTATCTTATATTATTTTTTTAATTAATTATTATTCAACATTAAATTAAAAAAAAAACTGTTTTTACATTCACAGACGGATGATTTGGATTTAAGACACAATTACAGTTACTCTCTCGACGTTTCCTACAATAAAATCAAAAGAATTCACTTCGATAATTGTGAAACACGTTTTCCCGATAAATCAAAAAGAGACATAAAATTATTCCTTAATGACAATCCAATTGAATGTGATGACACTCTATACGATCTTTTACAATATCTAGATGGAACGATGACTGCAAAAGTTCGTGAAAAATTATTGATAGAGATTGGACAAATGAGATGTCCAGAACTAGTGAACGAATACGGTGGCATTCTATTGTCGGAAATTAATTCCAAAGACTATATAAGTATTCCATTTAAAGAAGGAATTGTTAATTATGAATTATGTCCAAAGGAATGTGATTTAAGAAGAAAACGTTCTGAACAAACATTTATTATTGATTGTTCGTATAGAAATTTTACAGAATTACCCGATGCACTATGTTATTCGAGAGAGGACAGCGATTATAATAAATTAAATCTCACTGGAAATTTTATAGATGATGTTACGAATATCACAACAATTGGCTTTGATAAAGTGGGAATTCTCGATTTATCCTATAATCAAATTGCAACTCTCACGCAAACTTTATTTTTGCAAAATAAATACAAGGTAATTCTAATTAATTATGAATTAAACTGTTTTGAAAAATTTATAATCTGAAAAATGCAGTTTCAGAATAATTTATAGATTTAGAGAATATTTTTACTAGAAAAGTTTACAAATTATTTTATTTTCCAATATTTTAGGCATATTTTTTTTTCTTTTTTGAAGATAAGATTTATGTTAAAAGATGTTATAATTTTTGTAACATTCAAAATTTTAAATCTGAAATAATTTAATTCTTGCATCGAATTTTATTAAAATTGATGAAAATCATTTCATTACAAGAATTTTCGTAATTTATTTAAAATAGGTAATTAAATCCTTCTGAATAATTTAATCAAAATTGTATAAAAAATTATTAAATTCTTGTAAAGAATTTTATCAAATTTTTTTCATATATAATTGAATTCTTTCGAAAAATTCTATATAAAATAAAAAATAATTGAATTAATTCGAAAAATTACATAATTGTATTCAAAATAATTGAACTCATGCGAAGAATTTTATTAAAATTACATTAAAAGTAATTAAATTTTAACGAAAAATTATAAATTTTTCTTTTTTTTATGAAAAAAAAATGAATTCTTGAGAAGAATTTTGTTGAACTTTTTTTAAAAATAATTAAATTCTTTCAATTCAAGAAATGTACTCAAAATTGTATTTCAAATAACAAAATTCTTTCGAAGAATTGAATTAAAATTGAATTTTTAAAGAGAATTCTATCAAAATTTTTGAAAATAGTAATTAAACTCTTTCAAAAAGTTTTATAAACATTTTTTAAAATAATTTAACTGCCAAGAATTTTATTTCAATTATAAAAAAAGAATTTATTAAACATTTTATTTTATTTTTAAAGATAATTGAATTCCAGTGAAGAATTTTATTAAAATTATATTCTAGTGAACAATGATTTTAAAATCTTTTTAAATAATTGAATTCTTTCAAGAATTTTATTAAAAAATGATTTAAAAATAATAAACTTTTTAAAATATTTTTTTAAATAATTTTATTTATGCAAAGAATTTTATTCAAATTAAAAAAAATTACATTAATTAATTATTTATAAAGTGAATTTATTAAATTTTAATTTGGAAATTATTTAAAAATTGAAGTCGTCGTAATTTGAATAAATAATCAGTTTTGTAATTTGCATAGTAATAATATTTTTAATACCGCGTTTTCTTTATTATCTATAAATATAAATTTCATAAAATTCAATTATTTTTAAAAATTCTAATAACATTTTTCTGAAGAATTTAATTTTATTTGTTTAAAATTCTTTGCAACAATTTAATTATCTTAATACAATTTTAATAAAATTTCTCGAAATAATTCAATTTCTGAAAAATTTCGGATTTAAAATTAATCAAATTCACGTATTATTAACTAATTAATTATTATTTTTAATGTAATTTGAATTCTTTCGAAAAAATTGTATTTAAATTTTATTCAAAATATTTTAATTCCAAAGAAGAATTTTTCTATCTTTAAAAATAATCGAATTTCTGCGACGATTTAATTTTTTTTTTTAAATTTTAAGAACATTTTCTTACAATTTCTATAAATTTTATTCAAATTTTATTGAATATAATTTAATTCTTATAAAGAATATTATTCAAATCGCATTAAAATTAATTAAATTCATGTGAAAAATGTAATCAATTTATGGAAGTAATTGAATTTTTTCGTAGAATTTTGTTGTTCAAGATAGTAATTGAATTCTTTCATCGAATTTTATTAAAAGTTTTGAAAATAATTGAATTTTTCTTTTTTAAAAGAAAATTAAAATTTTTTTGAGGAATTTAATAAAAATTGTATTGAAAATAATTGAATTCCTGCGTAGAATTTTATTGTTTATGAAAATAATTGAATTCTGGAGTAAAATTTTATTATTAATGGAAATAATTAAGTTCTTGCTGGGAATTTTATTAAAAGTTTTAGAAATAATTAAATTCTTTCAAGAAATTTAATTAAAAATAATTGAATTCTAAGTTTTCTTGAGGAACTTATTTAAAATTGTACTTAACAATAATTGAATTCTTACAAGGAATTTTATTAAAATTCAAAAAAATAATTGAATTCCCTCAAGAAATAATTAATTTGTTAAGAAGTGAATTTAAAAAAAAAATCTAAAATTATTAGAATTATTATTATTATTAGAATCTAAAATTATTTAAAAAATTGAAGTTAATATTTAAAATAAAGAATTTTTCGAATTTTTTTGAATCTTTAGTAAGAAATGAAAAATAATAGGAAAATATAAGAAAAATTGACAATAAAAAGTAAAAGAATTCATTGAAAAATTTCCTAATTTTTCTGTTTCAGATGTTGAGACTAAACAACAATCAATTGAAAACAATATCATTGGAACTAAAGGAATTAATTTACTTGAGCGTCGATAGAATAAAATTCGGAAATAATCCATGGGAATGTGATTGTGAAACCTCACATTTATTGGAACTTATTCGCCTGAATCTCATTGAAGATACGAACAATTTAATTTGTTCTAATTCAAATTTACAAATTAAAACACTTTCATTCCAAGAATTATGTCCAATGAATGTTGACGTACTAATAACGCTAATTGGCATTGTTGTCGGTGTAATTGGCCTCGTACTCGGCGCAATTACAATATTCTATCAACGTTTTCGTAAGAAAATAAAAATTTGGCTCTACCTGCACAGTCTTTGCTTGTCGCTCATCACCGAGGAGGATTTGGACAAGGATAAAATTTACGACGCCTTCATCAGTTATTCCCACAAGGACGAGGAATTTGTCATCAATGAATTAATTGCAAATCTTGAAAGTGGACCACGACCGTATAAGCTTTGTATTCACTTTAGAGATTGGCTGGCGGGCGTTTGGATTCCCACGCAAATAGCGCGTTCAATTCAAAAATCGAGAAGAACAATTGTCGTTGTCTCGACAAATTTCATTGGAAGCGAATGGGGTCGAGTGGAATTTCGTGCTGCTTACAAAAAAGGTTTAAGCGAAGGTATCTCGAGAGTTATTGTTGTACTCTACGGCGATATTGGACCAATTGATAATTTAGAGCCGGATTTGAAATCATATTTGAAAATGAATACCTATGTTCAATGGGGTGATCCTTGGTTTTGGGATAAACTTCGTTATGCATTGCCACATGGACACGGTATTCCAAAAGGAGCAACGACATCTAGTAATAGACCACATCCAACTGCTCAATTGGATTTTAATAAAATTGAGAGGACAAATTACACTGATATTGAATTAATTTCAATGGAACAACACGAAAATAAAAATACTCAAGATTAGGAAAATTAGAAAAAAAGTACGAGACATTATTTTATTAATAATATTTTTTCTATAGTCAAAAAAATAAAATATTTCTTTCTAATTTCTATTTTAATTTAAAATTAATGAAATTCAAAAATTATTCAAAGAGTTCAGATTCAAAAAATTTTAATACAATTTTAATCAAATTTCTTGAAAGAATTCAATTACTTGCATAATCAATAAAATTCTTCGTAGGAATTCAATTATTTTTAATACAATTTTAACTGAATTCCTCAAAGCAATTTTAATGTTCTTTAAAAAAAATTAAACTATTTTCATAAACAATAAAATACTTGGCAGGAGTTCAATTATTTTCAATACAATTTTAACAAAAATTCAAAAAAGAAATTTCAATTTTCTTAAAAAAAATTCAATTATTTTCATGAACAATAAAATTCTTCGCAGCAATTTAATTATTTTCAATACAATTTTGACTAAATTCCTGGAAATAATTTAATTAATTTAAAAATGTTTATTAAAATTCTTCTAAACAAATTCAATTTTTTGAAACCAATTTAAAAAAAAAATTTGTAGAAAGATTTGAAGTATTTAAAATTTTTTAAACAACTCATGGAAATGTTAAAATTATTTAAAAAATTTTAATAAAATTTTTCGAAGGAATTTTATAGTTTTCAAAAATTTTAATAAACTTTCTTGAATTTAAATATTTTTAATACACTTTCAATGAAATCTCTTTAAAGACTTAAATTATTTTACAAAAGTTTATTAAAATCAATTCAATTCAATTATTTTTATGAATAATAAAATACTTCGCAGGAATTCAATTACTTTCAATGTTTCAATACAATTTCATAAATTCAACATTATTTCCTTTCTTTGTTTGTATTAAAAATTTTTATAAATGAAAAAAATTCTTGATAAGAATTCGATTGTTTTCAATACAATTTTAATCAAATTTCTTGAAAAAATTAAATTATTTTAAAAAAAATTTAATGAAATTCTTTATAAGAATTCAATTGTTTGCATAAAAAAAATCTTTGCAGGAATTTAATTATTTTCCATACAATTACTATTAAATTCCTCCTAAGAATTTAAATTTTCTTTTAAAAAAATTAAATTATTTTCATAGACAATAAAAATCTTTGCAGGAATTCAATTCTTAATAATATAATTTTAATAAAATTTTTCAAAAAAATTTAAATATTTTCAAAAATTTTAATCAAATTGTTCGAAATAATTTATTTTTTTTCAAAAGTTTTTACAATTTTTTTTTTTTTTATTTCAATTATTTTCAATAACATTTTTACAAAATGATTTCAATTATTTTTAAAAATTTTAATAAAATTTCTTGAATCTACAATTATTTTCAATAAAATTTAAATAAAATTTCTTGACGGAATTGAATTATATTAAGAAATTTTTATAATATTCCTTAAAATAATTCAAATAATTTCTAAAATTTTAATAAAATTCTTCTCAAGAATTCAATAAGTTTTATAGATAATAACATTCTCGCGGGAATCCAAATGTTATTAAAAGTTTTTTAAATAATAGAAATTTTTATAAAAATTTTATTCAGATTGTATCGAAATAATTCACTTTTTTCAAAAATTTTTATAAAATTTTTTTCATGAATTGAATTATTTTCAATACAATCTGAATAAAATTTTTATAAAAATTTCTATTATTTAAAAAACTTTTAATAAAATTCCTTGTAAGAATTCAATTATTTTCAGTACAATTTTAATTAAATTCCTCAGAAAAACTTTGAATTTAATTATTTTCAATAATTAAATTTCTTGAAAGAATTTAATTATTCTCAAAATTTTCAATGAAATTTTATGAAAAATTCAATTATTTCCAAAAATTTTAACCAAACTTTTTGAAACAATTCTAATTATTCTTAAAAAAAATTTAATATTCAATGCAAGAATTTAATTATTATTTTATATAAATAATAAAATTCTGTGCAAAAAATTGAATTACTTCAAAAAAATTGTACCAAAGATTTTAGTAAAATTCATTACAGAGAAAATTATTAAAAATATTGAATTAAAAAAATTGTATTTAAAAATTATAGAAAATATTTAAATTAAAATTTTTATCACATTTTTTAAACAAAAATTTCATCTTTTACAATTAAAAAATAAAAGTGAGACATAAAAATAAATAAAATTCAGTTTTTTTTTTAAATAAATTGATTAATTAATTTTTATTTTTTAATCTTCAATGCATTAAAGTAGAATTCAATTAATTTAAAAATTCAAAACATTTAAAAAGAGAAATTATCAAAAAAAAAAACTAGGAAATAGAGAAGCAAACAAAACCAACTGACTTCAAAATGCGAACCGACTACCGAAATATAACGATCATCATAATAATAATAATACAGATTTTTATTTAACGAACCATTTCTCCATCACAATTAGAGAAAAATATTTTCTAATTCTATTGCTTTCTCATTGTACACGAAAGTTCAACAAAAAGGAAAAAAGCTAGAAAATTGAAGTTAAAGGAACATAATGATAATGATGATATAATTAGCCACGTTAATGGGAAAATGATCTAATAATGAAGTATTTTGAAAATCGAATTTCTCAGAAAACAGAACAAACGACAGTTCATAAGGTGAATAGAAAAAGTTTATGTCGTGCATGTTTCCGTGTGTCAATAATGATTGAATTGCTGTTAAAAATAGTTAAAACCAGTTAAAAATAGTTTAGAAGCAGAAGGAAAAAAAAATGTTCTACAATAAAAACAAAATTGGAAGATAAAAATTTTTGTGCCAAACAAGAAGATAGTGAAAAATGAAAATCAATGCAACATTAAAAAATTACATATACGATTATAACTAAAAATTTTCAAATCAAAAATTTTGGAATAATTTTCCAAAAGAAAAAAGAAATTATGCAACTAATACAATGGAAGATTTATCTGTTACTATTAACAATAAAAATTTCGACCGCATTTATTCAACCACCAGCAGAAATAAATGAAGACGGATATCGAATTGTCCCCGTTTATAAAAATACAACAGAAGTAACTGAAAATCCAAATTTCTCATTTTCTAGTGACAATTTAATTTTATCAAATTACAAAAACAAAATAACTGCATTGCCAAAAAATTTTCTCCAACCTTTCCCCAATCTCAAATTTCTCTCATTGGGAAATAATAATTTCGAGAGATTTGCACCAAATACATTTGAAAATTTAAGGCAATTAAAATTTCTCAACATCTCAAGAAATGAATTAATAGAATTACCAAAGGAAATATTCGATGATTTAGAATCATTGAAATTTTGCATTCTCTCTCATAATAGATTAAAGGTATTGCCAGTGGGAATTTTCGATAAAAATCCAAATTTATTGGTTGTCAGTATATCGGCAAATAATTTTAAATATCTACCCGAAGAATTATTTAAAAATAATCGACAATTGGAATTTGTGAGAATTCGATTTAATAATAAACTGGAATATTTACCGAATCGATTATTTAGTGATTTAAAATATCTCGTGAGAGTGAGCATAAGTTTTTGTCGTTTAAAAAGTCTTTCGGAAAATCTCTTTAGTGGTTCATTCAATTTAAGAGATTTACGAGCACAACACAATGAATTGGAAACATTGCCAGCGAAAATATTCAATGATTTGATTTATATCAAAGTAATACAATTGGATCATAATAGAATTAAAAGTCTGCCGGACAATATTTTTAAATCGTGTATAAATCTTCAGGAATTGTATCTCGTTAATAATGATATTTTAAAAATATCAAGGTAAGTTATCGCGAAATTTGAATTTTTTGAATTAAAAAACAAAAAAAATAAATAAATTAATAAATAAAAACAAAAAAAAACTAACTATACTTTTTTTTTAGATTCACATTCAATGGTCTCGAGTCGTTAAATGTATTAGGTTTACACAACAATAGTTTGACAACAATTGAAGAAAAAGCATTCACGACTTTGCCAAGTATAAAAAATATTGATCTCTCTGAAAACAATATTACGCATTTTCAAGAAATGAAAAATGAAAATGAGGTCACGTCTGCATTTAGTGAATGCAAAAATCTCGAAAAATTGGATCTTTCACACAACAAATTGTCAACATTATCGAGCGAGTGGATTTTAATTCCTGAAATTAAATACCTGAATTTATCAAATAATTATCTTACATCATTAACGGTATATTTATTTTCTATACTACTCTTGAATATTAATAATTTCTATTCTAATTAATCTTCTTTACTGAATACTAATAATTAATTAATTATCAACTCAAACTATAATTGTGTTTGATTATTGAATTTGTTTTTCAAATTTTTTGAATAAAAATGCAAATTCTTGAAAATTATTTTTAAAATTTAAATTTAAAATAATATTTTCTATAATTTTTAAATACAAATTTTTTTTAAATTCATATTATTTTTCATAATTTTCTTTGTGATGAATTTTACTAAAATTTTTGAATATTATAAAATTTGTTTGAGTAATTTAATTAAAATTATATTCAAGATAATTTAATTGTAATTAATTGTAATTAAATTCGTTTAAGTAATTTTTTCCAAACTGATTTAATTTCCGAGAGGAATTTTATTATTTATACATACAATTAAATTCTTGCAAATAATATTAAAATTTTTGAAAATAATTTAATTCTTTGGTACAATTTTTGTGAAATTTTTTTATTGAATTTCTGCACATAATTTTATTATTTGTATAGAATAATTGAATTCATGCATTGAATTTAAAAATTTTTTTAAGAATAATTGAATTTTCAAAGAATTTGATTAAAATTTTGGGAAATAATTGAATTTCATCAAAGAAGTAATTTTTTTATGAAAATAATTTAATTCTTGCGAACAATATTAAAATTTTTCAAAGAAGAATTTTATTAAAATTTCTAAAAAAATTTATTAAAATTTAAAAAAATATTTGAATTCTTTTAAGGAATTTTATAAAAATTTTTTCAATAATTCAATTTTGTCAAGAAATTTTATTTAAATTGGATTGAAAATAATAGTTTTTTTTATAAATTTGAATTGATAATTTTGAAAGTTGAATTGAATTTCATGAAGAATTTCTGTAACAATTCTTATATTATTATAGTTCTTGTTAATTATTATTGAATTTTATTAAAATCTTTAGAAAATAATTAAATTCTTATCTTAGAATTATTTTTACTTTATTAATTTAATTCGAAGGAATTCAATTAAATAAACTTGATAATAATTGAATATTTTGCAAAAAATTTACCGAAAAACTTTTAAAATACTTGAATTCTTGAGAAAAATTATGATTAAAATTTTTGAATGTAATTGAAATATTTCGTGAAATATAAAAAAATTGTATTAAAAATAAATGAATTTTGATAAAGAATTTTATCAAAATTTTTGAAAATAATTTAATTTCTACAAAGAATGTTATTAAAAATTTTTTTGAAATAATTGAATTTTTACGTTTAAGTTTATAAAACATGAAAATAATTAAATTTTTTAAATAATTGAATTTGTTCGAGAAATTATATTAAAATTGTATTGAAAATATTTGAATTTATAAGAAGAATTTTATTAATTTATCAAAAAAATAATTGAATTCTTTTGAGTAATTTTGATGAAATTGTTTTGAAAATAATTGAATTTCTGTGAAGATATTTATCATTTATGAGAATAATGAAGTTTTACGAAGAATTTCACTAAAATTTTTTAAATTGACTTTAAATTGATTTAAATTCACTTTTTAGTGTATTTTCTCTAAAAATAATTAAATAATTGAATTCTTTTACAGAATTTCATTAAAAAATTTTTTAATTTGACTTAATTGTTTCCAGAAAGTTTAATGAATTTTCTAAAAATAATTAAGTAATTGTATTCTTATAAAGAATTCGAAAGAATTTTTTAAAATAATTTAATTTCTTCAAGAAATTTGATTAAAATTGTATTGAAAATAATTAAATTCTTGTCAAGAATTTTTTTCATTTATGAAAATTTTGAATGAATACAAAGAAAGGAAATAATGTTGAATTTATGAGATTGTATTATTAAAAATAATTGAATTCCTGGGAAGAATTTTATTATTTTTAAAAATAATTAATTTGAATTGATTTTAATAAACTTTTTTAAAATAATTAAATGTTTTTATGAAATTTGATTGAAATTGTACTGAAAATATTTGAATTCAAAAATAAAGAATTTTATTGAAAATTTTGAAAACAATAAAATTTTTTCGAAAAATTTTATTTAAATTGTTTAAAATAATTTTATCATTTCGATGAATTGTTTGAAAATTTTTTAAATATTTGAAATATTTCGACAAATTTTATTAAAATTGTTTTGCAAATAATTTAATTTGTTTAGAAGAATTTTAATAAACATGTTTAAAATAATTAAATTGTTTCTAGGAATTTAATAAAAAATTCTATTAAAAATAATTAATTTCTTGCGAAGAATTATAATTATTAACTATTTAGTATTTTAATGTAATTAATATAATTAATAATTAATATAATTTGGTATAAAATATACTAAATTAACTAATCAGTATATTAAAAATACATTTAAAAAATATTTTCTAAAGCACTTTTCTCTCTCCACAGACAAACGATTTCGATTTAGAACACAAGCACAATTTTGTTCTCGACGTATCGCACAATAATATAAAGGAAATTTATTTCACCAATCATGAGACTGAATTTGATGTGGAAATCGGAAGGAATATAACATTATTCCTTAATGACAATCCACTTGAATGTAATGACGCATTATACGATCTTTTACGATATTTAGATGGATCGATGACTGCAAAAGTGCGTGAGAAATTATTTATTGAAACTGGAACAATGAGATGTTCGGCACCCAAGGAATACGAGGGTATTCCATTGTCGCAGATAAATTCCAAAGATTATAAAAGTATGCCATTGGGGGAGCAAATTGTCAATTATGAATTATGTCCAAGGGAATGTGATTTGAGAAAGTGGCATGCCAATAAAACATTTACCATTGATTGTTCGTATAGAAATATTACAAATGTGCCAAAAACATTGTGTTACTCGGGAGAGGAGGGCTATAATACTGAATTGGATTTAACGGGAAATTTTATTAAGGATTTATCCCAAGCACCGCCATTTGGTTATGAGAAGATGAGAAACATCTTTCTGTCGCATAATCAAATTTCGAATATTACACTGGGAATGTTTAGCAGTCCTAAACTCAGGGTGAGTTTTGGAATTATTTCTAAAATTCAATTTAATTGCAACGTAAATATGTGAAGGAATTAAAATATTTTCCAAAAATTCCAAATTGTTTCATGAAACATTAAAATTAGAAATAGAAATTTAATTAATTAAATTAATTTTAATTTAATTTAATTTGAAATTGAATTCGAATTTAAATTTGAATTTAATTTGAATTCCAATTCTAATTTCATTGTAATTTGGATTTCAATTCTAATGCTAATGTTAATTTCATTCTAATTTTTAATTCAAATTCCAATTCTAATACTAATTTAATTCTAATTTTAATTTATTTCCAATTTGGATTTCAATTTCAATTCTAATTTAAAAAATTTTAATTTCAAACTCTAATTTAAATTTTAATTCTAATTCTAATTTTTATTCTAATTTGGATTTTAATCCTAATTCTAATTTCTTTCTAACTTTTAATGCTAATTTAAAATTGAATTTCAATTCTTAATTTTAATTTTATTCTAATTTTGAATTTTATTCTAATTCTAATTCAATTAAAATTTGAATTTCAATTACAATTCTAATTTCAAAATACAAATTCTGATTTGAATTTCAATTCTAATTCTAATTTAAAATTAAATTCTGATTCTAATTTAATTCGAATTTGACATTGAATTTTAATTCTAATATTGATTGGATTTCAATTTTAATTTTAATTCTAATTCTAATTTAATTCAATTATTTTCAATACAATTTAAATAAAATTCCTCATAAGAACTTAAATATTTTCTAAAATTTTAATAAAATTCTTCTCAAGAATTCAATAAATTTCATAAATAATAAAATTCTTCGCAGGAATTCAATTATTTTCAATACAACTTTTATTATATTCCTTGAAAGAATTTTAATTTTCTTTAAAAAAAATTTAATTATTTGCATAAACAATAATATTCTTCGTATAAGAATTCAATTATTTTTAATTTTAATACAATTTTCATTAAATTCCTCAAATGAATTTAAATTTTCTATTTAAAAAATTCAATTATTTTCATAAACAATACAATTCTTCGCAGAAATTCAATTATTTTCAATACAATTTAAATAAATATTCTTTATAGAATTAAATTATTTTAAGAAATTGTAATAAAATTCCTTTGAACAATTCAAATATATTTTTAAATTTTAGTAAAATTCTTTGCAAGAATTTAATAATATTTTCAAAAATTTTAATAAAATTCTTCGAAATAATTCACTTTTTTCAAAAGTTTTTATAAAAATTATCTCATGAATTTAATTATTTTCAATACAATTTCAATAAAATTCTTACTTAATAGATTTTAATTTTTGGAAAATTATAATAAAATTCCCTGTAGGAATTAATATATTTTCAGTACAATTTTAATTAAATTCCTCAAAAGAATTTAGAATTTAATTACTTTTAATAATTAAATTTCTTAAAAGAATGAAATTATTTTCAATAAAATTTTAATAACATTTTTAGAAATTTTAATAAAATTATTCTCTCAAAAAGTTTAATATTGTTTGCAAGAATTAAATTATTTTTATAAAAAAAATTAATTCTTTGACGAAATTCAATTATTTTCAAAAATTTTAATCAAATTCTTTAAAAAAATTCAATTAATTTAAAAAAATTTTTAATATTCAATGCAAGAAATCAACTATTTTATATAAATAATAAAATTCTGTGTGGAAATTCAATTACTTCAAAAAAGTTTTACCAAATTGTACCAAGCAATTAAATTATTTTTAAATATTTTAATATTATTTGCCAAAATTTAATTGTATTTATAAATAATAAAATTCCTCTCATATAAATTCATTTAGTTTGAATAAAATATTAAAATTCCTTAAAAGAATTTAATGACATAAAAAAATTTAATTAAATTTTTTATAATAATTGAATTATCTTAAACACAATTTTAATTAAATTACTCAAACGAAGTTTATTATATTCAAAAATTTTAATAAAATTTATCACAAAAAAAATTATTAAAAATAATGAATTTAAAAAAAATTTGTATTTAAAAACTATAGAAAATATTTAAATTTAAATTATTAATCACATTTTTTTTTAACAAAAATTTCATCTTTTATTAAATTTTTCAATTTAATCTTTAAATGTCTTCACTCTAAATAAATTTAATTGAATTTAAAAAATTCGTCAATGCAACGACAAAAATTTGTTACATTTTTTGTAACTTTTATAATTTTTGAGAATAGAGATATTAATTAATTTTGAATCTAAAATTATTCAGATTAAACTTGTTAATTAATTAAATATATGTAATAAATATAAATAATTAATTAAATTTGTCAATTGAACAAAAAGAACATAAAATTTAGTTCTATTTTAATTATTCAAATTTTCAATTTAATTTTAAAATCTCTTCACTCTAAATAAATTGAATTGATTTTTCAAAATTTTTCAATGGAACGTCAATAAATTATAACAATTTTTTTGTAACTTTTATTATTTTGGAGAATAGAGATTTTAAGAATCTAAATTTATTCAGATTAAATTTGTTAATTAATTAATTAATTAATCAATCAATCAATTAATTAATTAATCAATTAATTAAATAAATTTGTCAATTAAACAAAAAAATAAATAAAATTCACCCTATTATTTTTTTTCAGCTCGTGACACTCGACAACAATCAACTATCATCAATGTCATCAGAAATCGTGAGGCACTTTAGTTTATCAAAAATGACCGCAACACTTGGCCATAATCCCTGGAATTGTGATTGCGAAAATAATGATTTACGAAAAGCTTCCCAGCGTCCCGTCACATTTATTCGCGATTCAGATGAAATTCTTTGCCAAATTTCCAATGAGCCAATAAAATCATATCAAACCCTATGCGTAATCGATACAATTGTCATAATTGTTCTAAGTACAATCGTTGCACTATTGGGCGTATTATTTCCCGCCCTATCAATTTTCTACTGTTTCTATAAGAAGAAAATAAAAATTTGGCTCTACATACACAATATGTGTTTGTCCCTGGTCACTGAGGTTGAATTGGACAAGGATAAAGTTTACGACGCATTCATCAGTTATTCCCATAAGGACGAGGAATTTGTCGTCAATGAATTAATCACAAATCTTGAATCGGGACCAAGATCATTTAAACTCTGCGTTCATTTTCGCGATTGGCCAGCTGGCGGTTGGATACCATCGCAAATATCACGTTCAATTAAACAATCGAGACGTACAATTTTCGTGATATCGACAAATTTTATAAACAGTGAATGGGCAAAAATGGAATTTAGAGCAGCGCATAAAAAAGCTCTCAGGGAGGGTAGAACGAGAATTATTGTTGTACTTTTCGGCGATATTGGACCAATTGATCATTTAGAACCAGATTTAAAATCGTATTTGAAAATGAACACTTACGTTAAATGGGGCGATCCTTGGTTTTGGGATAAACTTCTCTACGCATTGCCACACAGATCAGATGTAGTAATAGGAAACACACAATTGTAGAATGAGATACATCCAAATTTTCTTTTTTCATTTCATTCATCCATTCATTCCACCCTTTCATTGCGGGGGGAGGGGTCGTGGATCGTTTGTGCAAAAAAAAAAATTCCACACACTTAAAAAAGGTTTCATATTGGAGCCTGAAAAATTAAAAGAAAAAAACAGCCGATTATTTGTGATATCTTTTTGGATTAGTTTAAATATATAATTTGTTAAGAAACATTTTTCTAGAACTCTGTGAGTGTAGAAAATAATTTCTGTTGTGATTAAAAATGTCCAGGGTTATCAAAAAAAATTTAATTTTCTTTTTCCCTCACTTTTCCCTGATTTCCAATGAAAATTTTGACTTTTTCCCTGACGCTAAAGAATATTCTGATTTAGTTTAAAAATTATTATCTGATTTACTCTAAAAATTATTAGATACAAAAATGTTCTATTACATTTATTGAAGAATTTCTTTAATTGGAAAATTATTCGAAAACATAAATAACTTCTTTTTTAAATAAATATTTAATCAATTATTATTTTTTCAAAAGGAATTAAAAATGTCAAATTTTATTGAAATTCAACAACTTGTAAAAATATTATTATAAAACAAGAAGAAGTCAAAAAATTCAGATTTTCAAAGATTTTAATTTGAAAACATTTTCAAAATTCAATTATTTCTAAAAATTCACGCTTTAATGCTTTTAGAATTCAATTATTTATTTTAAATTGTAACTGAAATTCATTTTTAAATTAATTTTTATTAGAAGAATCTACGAGAATTCAATTATTTAATTTGTACAAAAATAAATAATTTATTGAATAATTGAATGTTTTTTAAAATTCAATTCTCATAAAGAGTTTTATCAACAAATTTTTAAATAGTTGAATTCTTTCGACAAATTTTAATAAAATTAAGAAGAATAATTACATTTTTCGAGGAATTCGATTAATAATGTCATTTAATTTTCTTTCTCAATTTAAAATTTTTTTTTAAAAATAAAGAGTTGGAATTTTTCCAAAAAATTAATTATTTTATGAAATTATTTATTTTTATATTAAAATAATAATTGAATTCTCGTAGCATAATTCTAATAAAAATTGATTTAAAAAGGAATTTTAGGTAAAATTTTAGGATTTTTTTAAGATATAATTAAATTTTAAAAAGTCTTTCAATTGAAATCTACGAAATATTAATTGCTGCAAAAGTATATGCAAAAGTATATATTTTATATTTGAATATAAAAAATTATAAATTTTTATTTCCTTGAAAATTAAAAGTTCTGAATAAAATTATTCAAAAATTCTAAAAAAATAATTTAATTTTGGAAGAAAGAAAAATTTTGTCCAGTTCAAATTTTTATAAATAGTTCAATTTCAAGAAGTCTGAAAGTATTTTGAAATTTTCATTCATGTGAACAAATAAATAACAACAAATTTAGAAAATAATTGAATTTTACAAAAAATTATTCTATTTAAATTAAATAATTCAATTCTCGATGGTAAATTTTGATAGGAATTGAATTAAAAAAATTCAGTTAAAATTCTAGAAAATAATTGAATATTTGAAGCGTTATAGCAGAATAAACAAATTGACTAATTAATTGTAATTATTTAATATTTCAAAAACTTTAATAAATTTCTTTGCAGAAATTCAATTAATATTAATACAGTTTCAACAAAATTTCTCAAAAGAATTCAATTATTTTGAAAAATTTTGATTAAATTCTTTATGAGAATTGAAAAATTTTTAATACAATATAAATTAAATTTCTCTAAAAAATTCAATTAATATCGAAAATTTCAATTAAATTCTTATCAAGATTTCAATTATTTTCATAATTTTATCAATTTTTTCGCAAAAATTCAATTATTTTAAAGAATTTTAATAAAATTCTCCACAGAAACTAAATAAAAAAAACTTTGTTTTTGAAAAAATGTAATTGAAATTATTTTGATTTAAATTAAATTCTCGAGAATGATTCTAAAAAAAAATTGAAACAATTGAAAATTTTCGACAAAATTTCATTGATATATATTTTATATTTAAAGAAATTTTATTTTTTTACTTTTAACAATTATTTTGAGAAACATAATTGTATTTTTGAAGAATTCTGACTGAAAATTTGAAATTGTAATTTTGGAATAATAATAACAAAATTTTTACTACTTCTTTTCAGTCTTAAATCTTAAAAACTTTTTGCTACTTTTTTTTGGGAATTAATTACCGAGTGCAAAGCCTAAATTTCGATTAAATAATATAATAAATATTATTTAACTTTTTTTCACGTCAAATTAGTTATTAGTGTAAATTTTAATTTCTACTTGAGTGTATATTTACACTCAAGTTTTTTTTTATAAAAATTAAATTAAAGTAAAAAGATACATTTTATAAAAAATGCAAAGTCAAGTGTTCAAAAAAGACCAAGAATAATTTTTGCTTGATATTTTACAAAATCACATTTATTGTGCTTCTGTAATTTTATGTACATAATAAAGAATGATCGACAAATCTAATGAATTTCTCATTCTTCTCACGTCTCTTTCAACTTATTCACTAAATTTGAAAGTGTTTATATAATTAAAGGCATAGTTATTTAAAAAGAAACCATACCTTTTGCCTGTACAGAGATCTTTTTATTTTGAAAAAATTCACTATTATTTCCTTATTATTATTATATCTCATACCAAGATACTTAACAAATAGTTGCCATGATAATTCATCTTATCCTCTTTTCTTTTTCTTTTCTTTTTTGTGTAATATTGCATATATAAATAGCAAGCTAATTATTAATAATTAATCTATCATCCACAAGGCAAGGAATATTTGGAATTTGCGATACTATTCTGTTTTTTTATTTATTTTTCTTTTACTTTTTTTTCAAATTAATAACGAAAAATTCCTCTTTTATTCCAAAAATTATCATAGTACTCTTAACTGCTATTTGGCAGTTTGGCTTTAATTATTATTATTTGTATAGATCGATTTACGTTACAATACAAATCGACATAATTTCTTTGTACAATTATTGCAGAGTTAAAAATACTCTTTTTTTTTATTTTGTCGTTTTTTTTCATTTTCGATAAATCAAATGAAACGAATGTCTTATGCATTCTCGACGATCTTTCACTATTATAATTAGTTTTTATTTTAAATAAGCCATCTACGTAACAATATGTGATGTTGGCAATGTTATTTTTCCATTTTCTTTTTTGTTTGTCTTTTTCTTTTCTCAATGGAATAAATGCCATAGTTTTTAAATAGAAATGCAGGTACAAATATAAGAAACAAGAAAAGTGTAAAATTGACATTTAAATTACTTGGTAAAATTCTTTTTTTGTAAATACAAATTTTCTCTAAATGATAAAATAACAGTGAACAAAAATTCACGTAGAATTTCATTATTTATGACACTAATTAAAATTTTTTCTCTAAGAAAGAAGTTTTATTTTTATATAGAAAACTACTGATAAAGAGAAGGTTTTTTTCCAATATTTTTAATTATCTTCAAAGTATTGTATTTCTTTTACTAGAAATTTGAAAATAAAACGAAAATTTACATCCCCTTTGACATTCATGAAAAAATGATTCAATTTATTGGAAATTCAGTACCTTTTTTTTTTTAAAAAATTAATCGGAATAGGTATTTTTTGGCAAAACAAAATTTCTCCATTCCAATGTATTCGATAGGAAAGGAGAGTGAAAAAAAGTTAAGCCAGTCGTATAATTGATCTTTGGATGAAATAACATTAAGTATTTATAATTTAATTTGCAGTAAATAGTAACTATATATATGAAAATGAAATATATTACACATTACCTTTGTTTTTCTTTTTTCTTTTCAACAGCGATTAGTTTTCTTTCTTTCATAAGTTTTTTTTCTTTTTCTTTATTCTTTATGATGAAAGTTGTCGCGTCACGAATGAACTAATTTCTAATGTTGTCAAGTAACATCATTTCCACGCTTGCTTTTGGGCTTTTTGTGAGGCCAATTTTTTCGTGACATATGACGATATCACTAATCCAGCGAGAACAATAACAATTAGGTAATAATCGAAATCTTCTTTTAGAACGTCAAAAGTTTTCGATGGCGCTACTCTAGTGTAGAATAAATCTGCAAAAATAAAAGAATTTTAATATTATTATTTCAATTTTTATTTACTTTTAGAAATATTTTATAATGTGGAATTATTATTTTTAACTATTAAAAAAAAATTCTACGAAATAATTCAATTAGTTTTTATAAATAATGCAATTTTTGGCAGGAATTCAATTATTTCCATTTAAATAATAAAATTCTTCCCAAGAATTGAATTATTTTATATTCAATTTTAATAATATTCCTCTAAAATATTCAATTACTTTTAAAAACGTTAATACAATTTTTTCAATGAATTAAATTATTTTTAATCCCTACAATTTTAATTAAATTCATAAAAAGAATTTGATTATTTTTAAAGATTTGAATAATATAATCTTCGCGGAAATTCAATTACTTTTGATAGAATTTTAGTAAAATTACTCGAAAGAATTCAATTGTTTTCAAAATTTGTATTAACATTATTTTGTTTACTAGAATTTAATTTAATTTCAATACATTTTTAAATATTAAATTACCTGAAAGAATTTATTTATTTTCAAAAATTGTTATGAAATTCTTCGAAGTAATTCAATTATTTTTAAAACTTTCAATAAATTTCTTCGCAATAAACAAATTATTTAAGATTCGAAATTATAAAGTTGAAAAATTAGGATAATTAACAAAATTTATTGAAAGAATTGAGATACTTTTAATAATGTTAATAAATATTTTTGAAAGAATTTAATTTATTTTCAATCAATTTTAATTACATTTCTGAAAATAATTTAATTGTTTAAAAATATTTTATTAAAATTTCTTAAAAGAATTCAATTATTTTAAATAATTTCAATTTAATTCTTTATGAGAATTAAAATATTTTCAGTAAAATTTTAATTAAATTTCTTGAAAAAATTGCATTATTTTCGAAAATTTCAATTAAATTCTTGGCAAGATTTCAATTACATTCATAATCAATAAAATTTCAAATTTTACAAAACAAATTCTTCGCAAAAATTTTATTATTTTGATAAAATTCTTCATAAGAATTCAATTATTATTTTTATATATAATAAAATTCTTCACACGAATTCTATTATTTTTAATACAATTTCATAAATTCAAACATTTTTTTCTTTCTTTCTTTTCATCAAAAATTTTCATAAATAGAAAAATGTTTCACAAAAATTCAATTATTTTCAATACAATTTTAATAAAATTTCTATCAGAAATTAAATTTTTTTTAATTTTTAATAAAATTCCTTGTAAGAGTTCAATTATTTTTAGAACAGTTTTAATTAAATTCCTCAGAAGAACTTAGAATTTAATTATATTTAAATAAATTTCTTGAAAGAATTCAATTATTTTTTTGCTAAATTAATAAAATTCTTCTCAAGAAAGTTAATTATTTTCAAAACATTTAATAAATTTCTATCAAAAATTTAAATCTTTATAAAGTTACCTACTAACATTTGTCGAATAAATGCAATTATTTTCATAAGTTTTGTAAATTTATTCGTAGAAACTCAATTATTTTCAAGACAAATTTGAAAAATAATCATTTATAAGAATTCAATTATTTTCATTAAATAATAAAATTCTTTGTAGGAATTTAATTATTTTTAATTTTTATTTTAAATAAAATTCTTTATCAAAATTCATTTATTTTTAATACAATTTTTTTATATTCCGCGAAATATTTCAATTATTTTCAATCATAATTCTTCCCAAGAATTCAGCTATTTTATAAGTTTTTAATAAAATGCAAATAATTTCAATAAAATTCTTATTAATTCCTAGAAATAATTTATTTTGCATACAATTTTAATTAGATTTCTCAAAAAGAATTTAAATATTTTCAAACATTTCAGTAAAATTCTTCACAAAAATTCAATTTGTATATTTTAGAGAAATATTATTAAAATTGAATTGAAAATAATTGAATTCTTGGGAAGAATTTTATTATTTATAAAAAATAATTGAATTATTTCGTAGAATTTTTTTGTTAAATTGTTAAAAATAATAATATTCTTTATAAAAATTCAATTAGTTTAAATACTATTTTTATTAAATTCCTCGTCAGAATTGAATTATTAATTTTAAAATTTTAATAAAATTCTTTGCCGAAATTGAATTATTTTAAAAGATGTTTATAAAACTTATCAAAACAGTTCAATTATTTTAAAAAATTTGAATAAATTTCTTCTCAAAAATTCATATATTTTCATAAGTTTTGTAAATTTATTTGAACTAATTAGAACAAAAGTGATATGAAAGACTATTATAATATAGGTTAATTATTAATTATTAAAAAAAAATTAGTTTGATTAGAAATGTAGAAGAATTGTAAAGAAAATAAATATTTGACTTACCAAGACCATGTACAAAGACTAGACAAGTACTTTCAAGGCCACTGGGACTCGTATGGATTCCCGATACTCCAAAGACACTTTGATTATAATTTATAATAGAGTCCATGTGAATTGGAATCTCCGGCATGTATGGTATCACTCCTTCCTCTCGAATTTCTGGATTAATCGGTCTTCTCGGATCGACCAGCATCCATGGCAATTCTAAAATGCCTCCATTCGCCAAGGCCACTTTTCAAGAAAACAAATAATATTAATACTAAATAAATAAATTCAACTTTGCAAGAAAAATTTGATTTTCTTTTTCCGATATCAAATTTTTTTTTATTAATTTATAATAGAATTCTTTTATCAATACTAGAAATTTAATATTTTTTCCAGTAAGTTTTGAACCGATTTTTCTAACTAATTTCCATTTTCCTGAATTAATAGTAGTAATTTATTTATTTAGAACATTAATGAGAATTTAATAATATTAAAACAAAATAAATATTTGCTAAAATACTTTTTGATTTAAATAAATTATTTCAAAAAAAAAGAACCAAAATCTTTACCTATAATATGTTTGCTTGTTATTCCTTTCTCGGTGATTGTTTCCTTCATTGATTCGATTGACGCTGGGAATATAAAAGCTTGTCTTTCGACAATCGGTAACTTTGTCGTGGACAATGAGGAAAACACTGCGAAGCAGAAAAATAATTCCACATTAAGCAAAATCAAATTTTTTCCCTTTTCCAAAAAAAAATTTAATTTAATTTAAATTAATTTTAGCGAAATGTAAAAAAAAAATGCAAATACCAGTTGAATTATTTTGCGTTTTTCCCTCGTAGAGTTCCAATGAAGCGATTTCTGTTCTTCGACTTCTATCGTTGAAGTAACTATAGACTAACCAATTTTCGGAATGTACCACGTGCACTGGACCACGTACTTTTTTGTGTACCATCGAGAAAATCATCGATCCCGACACAATATCCAATAGATAAACGTTCAATGTATCTGGAATTTGAAGAAAAAATTTATATTAATTTAAAACAAAAAATATTAATGAGAAATAGAAAGAAGAAAGAAATTCGAAAATTGTTTAAAATGTTATTGATAGAGGAAAATAATTACTTTTATGTGTTGCACTGACTCCCTGAGTAACAACAGCGACGAGATTTGGATTAATATACTTGTAAAGTACCGAACGATCGTTCAAAACACGTCCTTGAGAATGAACATGCTCGAGGGGATTTTTCGACACAATTTCAATAATCTTTTGATTCTTTGGCGAGAGCACCAACTCCCAAACTTTATCAGCGACTAGATTCTAAAAAAGAGAATAAAATTCATTAAAAATCCCATTACTAATTGTAATTTGCATAATAATAATAAAGTGATTATAAAATTCAAAGAAATTTGAAATTTTTTTAAATTTTATTGATAGAGGAATAGCGCTGGCTAGTATAAAATTAATTAATGAAGAACGAACCTTTTCACTACTGTAAGATAAGGAAAATCCGCTAAGTACACCAGTGGTTTGATCGGCAGTAAATAGATACATGTTCTTTCCCAATGAAACTGCAACCGGCGTTGCTTCCTCTGGAATAATGTGAATTTCATTTTTCTCATCGAGTATCAAAATACTGCGAAGAAAATCGTCAGTGGCTGCATGTAAAAGCATCGATTGCTTTATTTTAAAGTCAAATTTCATTAATTTTCCTATTGATTGACCAGTTATTGGATTGAATGTGAATATAACACCGTTTCCGTTATCCTGTTAAATTAATTAAAATTAATATTATTTACTTATTAAATTTTATAAAATTAATATTTCATTTTTTATTTTCAAACTTTTGAATCTTAATTTTTAAATTTTAAACTTTTGAATCATAAATTAATTAAAACAAAAATGGGCAATTATTTAATTTTACATTTTTGAAATTTAAAATTTAAAAAAGAATTTAATTTTTATTTATTTAATTTAAACGAACCTTATTGGCTGCAACTAAGGCGCATTGGGGAGGATGAGGAAAATGTCTGCTACCTCTTTGTAAATATAAAATCATTTTATTTGAATCCTTTGATAATCCTTGAATGTTTGATACTCTCGACTGCCAAATTATCTCTCCCTTTCTCGTCTCAATACCGAAAATCTAAAAGATTCATTAGTTTTTTTATTTTACATATAATTTGATAAATATCTTACTTTTATTTATTTTTAATAAATAAATTAATTAATATATTTATTTATTTTACATTTAATAAAATAAATAAAAGAAAAGAAAGTTAATGAAATTTTCTCTCACCTTTCCACTGGAAGTGACGGCAACGATCATTTTATGAAGACCAAATTTATCGCGAACCAAATCGGCTCTTTGATTTGATTGTTGTGGCTCAATTCCCAAAAGTGACTGAATCAATGATTTCGCCTGATAAACTTGTGAACTAATCCTTCGTATAACCATGTCAATGATGTTCCCTTTAATTATTTTTTTTTTTTTTGAAAGAAAATTTAACAATTAAAATTAATTTCTCGAGAGGAATTTTAAAAGAAAATTTTACAGTTCATCTAAAAGCAATGGGGAATTTTATTAAATTCCTTTCGCAAAATAATTTTACGACAGCAGTAATTTTACTGTCGTCCACATTATTTTATTCTACATCTAAAATTCTAAATAATTTTACGACAGCAGTAAATTTACTGTCGTCCACATTATTTTATTCTACGTCTAAATATTTCCAATTTTCATGCCTCTAATAAAAGTTCAAGCCACTATTTCTTTTTGTCTAGTCCATTCAACTAAAATGTTGAGAAACAATTATCTCACATTCTATTTTTGTTTATTTATTTAATAATCACTAATCACAATAATTACCAATTACGTGATTTTTAGAAAAAAAGGTTTTTTTTGAAACTCTTTTTTTAAAGTAAAAGTTCCAAGCAAAACAAATCATGCAATTTCTTTCAGTATATTTTTGTCTTCTTTTTTATTTATTCAACTAATTAAAAATAAGAAACTAATATTTAAATAAATAATCAAAAATATAACCATGCAAAATTCTTTAAAAATTATAATAAAATAATAAAAACAAAATTCATTTTAAAAGCGAAAAATTAGAGATTTCACTTTCTAAAGATTTCGCTAAATAACTAAAAGTTAATAATAAAAGAAAAATATAGTAAATAAGTAAAGGAATAATAAATAAAAAAAAAGTAAATAAATAAAAATAATAGAAAATAAATGAAAAACAATTTAGTAAAATTAGTTCGGTTAACAAAATTAGTATTAATTAGTAATCGATATTAAAAAAAATTCTAAAAATATTTTAAGTGAAATAAATCACGTGAGTAATATTTATATATATCTAATAAATTTAATAATAATATTCAAACATTGTGAAATTAATCAACAAAAAAAATATAGGAACCGATTTTCAAAAAGAGACAAATAAAAACAAAAGATAGCTAAGAATAAAATTTTTTTCAAATGAATTAAAAGAAAAAATTTAATGTAAAAGCAGATTTTCATTCTGCAGTTAAAAGCGATTCTACTTGTGAATTTGAAATGTTCTCAAATTTTGTTTAACATATTTTTTCATCCAACTGAAATTCTTAAAAACAAAATAAAACCAAAATCAGAATTTACTTTTTAAAATTATTTTTCTCAATTTTAATTAGAATCTTTTTTCTACTCCATAAAAAAAGAATAATACAAAATCGAAAAATATAGTTTAAAAACTTTTTTTCTTTTATTTAATTATTTTTATATTTATTTTTTAATATTAAATTTATATTATTTTTTATTATTCAATTTACATTATTTTTTTATTTAATTACAATTTAAAAAAGAAGCTTTATTTTAATAAAAAAAAACGTGGATAAAAATTTTGTTTTTTTTGCCATGAATGTAAAAAATTGTTAAACAATAAATGCAGATAATTCAAATACCACATTTCTACTGGTCAATAATTTGAAAGAAAAGTATCAAAAACACGAAATTCAAATCATGCTGCTGATATAAAGCGTTTCTATAAATCGTACGTGAAAAATAGAATTTTCAAACTATAGCCTGTTTTTTATTGTCTCTACTTACATGAACCGTCTACATCAATACCTGTCAGCAGCCATTCACAGAAGAAAATTTATTAATAAATTACGAAGTTAGTTATTATTTTTTGAAGAAAAATATGCATTACGTTCATTGGCTTGTTAATTAATTTTTTCAATAATGATGTATTAAAAGAGAATAAAGTTATGTACATATTACGAGAGGATGAAAAAATTTATAGAAATATTAATAGAAAGATTAATAATAATAATTATAGAAAGATTAATATTTTAGTTGTAAGTATCAATGTACACTTACCAAACCTAAATAAAAACGATTGACGTGATTGAATATTAAAATTTTATTTTTCCAAATAATCATTATCCGAATAATTTTTTTTTTTGGTAATTTTGAGTATAATTTGAAAATTATTAATATTATATTGTAATATTAAGAGGCCTCGGATCGACTTTAAAGCGTAAAAAATCAGATTTCTAAATTCAATTATTTAAAAGTTGAAAAATTTTCATTAAATAAATATTTAAATACTTGTTATTATTTTCTTTAAAAATAAGTCGAAAAGAATCAATCTTTCTGAAAATAGGAAAAAGGAGACTATTCTTTTTTAAAATAATCTAAAAAAAAGTTTTAAAAAAATGTCACACTATCCGAGGCCTGTAAACACTAGGAAAAATAAAATTCGAATACGTGTCTAAAAAAAATGTTACATTAAAGTAAGAAAACAAATAACTCACTTTCTTTTTGATCGAATTCCGTTTCAATTGCTTGATCTCTGTCCGACATGGGAAGTTCGACAATTTCCGAAGTCACAATTGAACTCAAAGCTTCCTCTCTCACCCAAACCAATTTATTGAATTGCAATAATACAAGACTATGATCCTCCGACGAAACAAGATTTCTACACATTATTCCCTTCGATTGTCGTGGACAAATTGACGCCATTATAATCGGCGCTTGCAATGAATTATGATTAGTGGTAAATGACAATGCTGGCAATGGTTTCATACTCGAAAGTTCCGTTGCTGTCACTTCCGTCATCTGCATTTTCAAAAAAAAAAGAAAAAGAAAAAAATACAAAAAGAATTATTAAGCATAAGTTTTTTTTACAAAAAGCAATAAAATATTTTTACAATTTTTTTTCGGATTATGCAAAATATTTTCTTTAGAAAAATATATAAAAATTTAAATAGAAAAATATATTTTTTTTACTAAATCGTTGATTAAAAACGTTGTGAACTTCACGAACGCGAAAAGAATTACAGGGCTCGAAGCAGTGAAAGTATTTAAAAATACGGAATTTACGGACCAAAAATTAAAAATTACGGACCATTTACGGACCAACTGACAAAAATATAGAATCAGGCCGAATCAGACAAGAGAACATTTTACTTAAAACTAGAAATTAAATTTTTCATAACTATAAAACATGAAGAAATCGATAACTCCGAGTCTTCGACTCGAAGTCATCGATTTCTTCATGTTTTATAATAATTTATAATAATTATTAATAAAAATAATTTATAATAATTAAAATCATTATCAATTCAATTACTATTTATAGGAATTTTTATCTAAAATTCTTCTTTATATCGATTATTTTTAATAATTTTCGAAAAAATTCTTTGACAATTTTCAAATTCATTTCTTTACAATATTCAATTTTACGAAATTTCCATTATTCGTAAATTCTTTAATTAAATAAATATTAGAAAATAGAAACTAAAAATAATATTAAAAAAACTCAATTAAACTTTTTAAAAAAAATTAATTACAAAATTCAATTATTTTTTAAAATTCACGCTTTATTGCTTTTAATATTCAATTATTATCCAAAATTTTAACTGAAATTCATAAAAAATCGTTATCAACAAAATTTTTAAATAATTGAATTCTATCAACGAATTTTAATAAAAATTTTAAGAATAATTACATTTTTCGAGAAAATTTGATTTAAATTATATTAAAAATAATTGAAATTCTGCATTGAATTTTATTATTCATGAAAATAATTGAATTCTTGCGAAGAATTTGATTAAAATTTTAAAAAATAATTAAATTCTTGTAAAAAATTAACAGGAATTGAATTATTTTTAAAAATTTTAATAAAATTCTTGGCATAAATTAAAAATAACAAAATTCTTAGCAGATCTTCAATTACTTTCAGAAATTTAAATTTTAATAAAATTTTTCGCAAGAATTTAAATATTTTCGTAAAATAATAAAAAATCTTTGCAGAGATTCAATTATTTTTCAAAAGTCTTAATAAAATTCTTCGCAAGAATTCAATTATTTTCATAAATATCAGAATTTTAGCAGAAATTCAAAAATTTTTAAAAAGTTTTGATAAAACTTTGTTTTTTGGTAGAAATTCAATTATTTTTAAGACAATTTTTAAAAAATTGTCTCGATAAAATTCAATTATTTAAAAAATTTTAATGAAATTCTTCGAAAGCATTCAATTATTATAATCTGAGATTTTAACTGAAATCTATTTTTAAATCAATGTTTATGAGAAAATTCTACCAGAATTCAATTATTTAAATACAAATAAAATGCAAATAAATAATTTATTGAATAATTAAATGTTTCTTGGAATTCAATTCCTATTAAAAATTTTATGAACAAACTTTTAAGTAATTAAATTCTTTGGACGAATTTTAATAAAATTTTTAAGAATTTTTTCGAGGAATTCGATTAAAATTCTATTGAAAATAATTGAATTCCTAATGTTATTAATGAAATTCTTGTGAAATTTTTATTATTTTTTATTGAAAATAATTAAAAGTTTTTGTAGAATTTTATTAAATTTTTTTTTAAATAATTAAATTCTTTTGGTAAATTTTATGAAAAATAGTAGATATTGAACAATTTTTGATTTTTGCGAAGAATATTATTAATTTTGAAAATAATTGAAATTTTGCAATGGATTTTATTAAAATTTTTTAAAATAATTTAATTTTATTAATTTTATTACTTTAGAAAATAATTGAATTCGTGTGATAAATATTGTTAATTATGAAAATAATTGAAATTTTGTAATGAATTTTAATAAAATTTTTGAAAATAATTGAATTTTGTCGAAGAATTTTGCTATTTATTTATAAAGATAATTGAAATGTTGACAATTTTTTTTAGATTTTTTGAAAATAATTGAATTTCCGAGAAGAATTTTAATATTTCTAATTAGATAATTGAAATTTTGACGAGAATTTAAAAAAAATTTTTGAACATAATTGAATTTTTTGCGAAGAATTTTATTACTTTTAAAAATAATTGAATTTCTGCAATCATTTGTAATTTCTCTAAAATTCTCAAAATTATATCGTACAATTTACGAACTTTTCATCCTTTTTGAATGAAATTACGGTACTTTACGGACCTACTTCGAGCCCTGGAATTATTAAAAAAAAAAATTGATAATAATTATAAAAGCTTACGCCATTTTTACTGATCATTTCCAATAGGGCCTTCTCCTTTTCGACGGCAACAATATAAACGGAAGCATCGCCTGAAATTTCTTTTTCCAATATTGTCGGCTCATTTTCAGTGATGAGAATTCGTTTTCTCGCATTGCCATCGGCGCTTATTATCAGTGCGGATTTATCGCCGCGAACTAATTCAAGACGATAAGGACTTTGAACTCCCGCGCCAAATATACTGTTTATCGTGATTGTCTGTGGCTCTGAATTTGGTTCAAATATATTTATTAAAAAGAGAATTGCCAAGTCGTTCTCGCCTTTCAAGCAACCTAAATATGGCGCCGCTAAAACGCACCTGGAAACAAAATTTTTAATTTTAATAAAATTATCCGAAATTTCATTATTTTTCTTTCATATTATTTGCCAACCAAAACGTATTCTTTAAATTATAAACACGAATTCTAAATTTTTAATTTAATAAAATTATTCTGAATATTTTTTTCTCATAAATTAATTATTTGCCAACCGAAACGAATTGTTTAAATTAAAAATATGAATTTTAAATTAACAAATGGATTTATCTTATTGAAATTAAAAATTAAAAAAATTACAATTTGTTCTAAATTAAAATAAAAGCAATTGTAGTAGAATTAAATTTAATTAAAATAGAAATAAAGGGAAAACTTACTCGGTTTCTGGACTTATAAACGGAGCGGAAACTGTTCGTGTTTTTAGCTTCTCTCCGGTTTTACTGTCATATGATGTAATTTCAACACCACTGTTGAAAATCGGTAGAATGTGATTTAAAATACCGTCCTTAATGTACCATTTCACGTCCTCTATCCTAGAAAAACAGATAAAAATTTATTATAATAATTATTTGGAAGAATCTTTATCGAAACCACACAATATTTGCTCTTCCATCAATATTTAACAGACAATGAAATGATTTATTTAGAAAAAGAAATAATTATCAAATAGAAATAAATAGAATTACGAAGGATAAATCAGATAAATAAATAAAATTACATAATTTTACAACTGAATAAAATCACATAATTTTAGAAATAAATAAATTTACTTTAATTTTAGAAATAAATATAGATATACGAATATAAATTTCAAAACGAGAAAAATAATAAATTCAAAGAAAACAAAACATTATGAACATATTTTGCCATTTACAACATCGATTCTCTTTTTCTTTTGGAAAAAAAAGAGTTTACAGTGTTTTTTTTTGTGTTTGTTTATTAAAAAATAAAAGTGTCGATTATAGTGAGGTGCAAATTGAAAAGATTATTTTTCAAAAGAACCTTTTAATATCGTACAATCCTACTGTTGAAAATGATATAAATGGAGAGTCAATTCTGAAAAAATTTACACATTACGTTTAAATATTGAAGAAAATAAAATTAAAAAACAAAAAGTTTCCTTTCCTTTCTCTTAGAGATTATTTCTCGTTCCTAATTATTGATTCAGTAAAATTTTATAATATTTAAACATTTTATTTTAATATTTTAACTATTTAGATAATAATATAAGTCATGTAAATAATTTAATAAATGATTTCAACAATCAAATAAGCAAATAAAAATAGTTAACTCAATAATTAAATAAACAGAGAAATAAACATTTCTTTGCTTTCAATTTCGTAAACTGTTTAATAATTATAGAAGTTATTTAAATAATTAAATTGAAATAATCAATTAAATAAGTAAATGAAAATTGTTATTTCCATCACTACAATTCAATTATTATATTAGAATTAAAAATAAGTAAATGAAAATCAAACGAATATTGTAAATAAAAATACAACAAAAATAGACAAAAATTTCTTGTTTAGAATATACATAAAATTCGAGAAATAAATACTACAGAATAAAGTAAATAAAAATAGTTATTTGAGTAATTAAATGAAAATAGTTGTTTGTATAATTAAGTGAAAATAGTTAATTGAATAATTAAATAAAAATGGTTGAATAATCAAATGAATATAATTATTTAAATAATAAAGTGAAAATAATTACTGAATAAAAATAATAATCATAAAAAAAAAATATCGTAAAAAATACTAAAAAAATCCTAAATAAATTGAATAGAATAATAATTTTATAATTAATAATGTGAAATTTACCTGTCGGGGTTTCTCTCCGTCAATGGCCATTCGTTTATAATATGTCCACTTGCCAAATCCCAAACCCTCACAATCGCTGGTATACCGCCACTTACAGAAATTAATAATTCATTTTCTATTCCGCTTAGTGCCCTTATTCGGCCGCCACTGCCTCGCTCTAAAACTCTTCTCCAAAGTATTTGACCTAAAATTAAAAGAAATTTCATTAATTTATAAAAACTAAAAAAAAAGAATACGATTTCATGGTTTTTTTGAAATACCTTTTTCAGTTCTAAAAATTAAATAAAAATTGTAAAAATAAGTAAAAAAAAAATTGTTTACACTCGTCTATATAACCGTAAAAAACAGAGGTAAAATTATAAATATTTTACAAAAATGATTCTTCGGGAGAAAAATAGAATTTTCTATGTTCTATAAAAAAAAGTAAAATCAATTTTGTAAAAATGGTTTTAAATAATTGAACTTTATTGTATTTAATTACTATGTTGATATCTTAAAAGAATATTTTCCTCTACGACTGGTATAAAAATGTATTGATTAATTCAACTATCAAATTTAATTACACAGAAATATTCATAAATTAAAATTCTCGTTTTTTAAATTTTAAAACAAACGTTACTTTAAAAAAAATAAAAATTCAAAATATATACAAATTTCTCTTTAATAGTTAACAATTTCTTTATAACTGAAAAATATTTGAAAACAAAGTTTTTAACTGAAAATACAAGTTATAAAGTAAAGTGTGTAAAATAATACACATTTATCGACAGTAATATTTGATTAAAGAAAAAAGGAATAGAAGACCTTCATAAATATACAATTGCATATGCCGAATGACACCGATGACACTCACCTGACTTGAGATTTAGAGCGGCGATGACATTTTCTTCTGTCGCGACAATGATTTTTTTCGTCGTTGACACCGTGTCAAAACTGGCAAATTTAACTTTTCCAACATAACTTTGTTTCCTAATTAAAAAGAAGCCAAAATAATAACACTTTAAGATTATTTTTTCTACACTCAAAATTAAAGGGAAAATTTTTATTCAATTTTCTTTATAGAAAAGAAAATTGAATTGTCATGTCACAAAAAAAATTTGTATATATAGAGGCAATAATGAAGAAAAAAAAAATTGTTATGAAAAAATTACCAGTCAAATTTTCCTATTTGATCCTCGTAAAGTCCCAATGAAACACTGAATAGTCCAATAAAAACAATTAAATACTGTAATAAATGTGCATTTCTTAAAAAACAATTAATATTTCTTTCAAAATTCAATAAGAAGGAAGCCATGTCGTTGAAAAATTATTCTGTGAACGTGGCCCGTTCGTATTTGCTTCTGCTTGTTGTAAAGCCGCCGGCGGCCATTTGTAAAATGACAATCGCCTATGTTCACGCTGTTCTTGTTTGAGAATTCATCGCCAGCGCCATCTGGGTAATAAATTAGCCCGCGAAAATTTAAAAATTCGAAAAAATTTTATTAACTTGAGAAAAAATAATGTTAAACTATTTATATAGAATAATAAATAAATAGAATAAATAATAATGAGTATTTTTTTTCTATTTTTCGATATAAAATATTTTTACACTTTCGAGAAAAGTTAAACTTTCAATTAACTCACCATTCGTGATTCCTTCCTTTGACTTTTTGATAACAGATTTGAAAACAGAACAAAACACTTGGTTCTAATATCTAATTTCACTTTATGCATTATTCGAAATTTATAAATTAATATTCAGTTGTAAACAAATTTCAATGATGGTTTACTTGCGACAAAACTTAAAATTATTGCCGTCGTTTGATTTGCGGACAAATCCGGAACTAACATTTTTTCACTTAAATTAATTAATTAAAGCAATTATCAATTAGTTTTATTACTGGAATACGATTGTAAATCATTTAAATTAATGTAATTGAGCTATTTATCAAGTAAGTTTATTTAAATAATGCAAAATATTGTAAAATGCGATAGTGGGCAAGTTTGTAAACAACATAACCTCTAAAAGTGACAGATCACGTGTGATTGTTTATTTAAGAAAACAATGCAAAGTCTTAATTTCGAAAATGTATTTCAAGAAAATTATTATTAAAATAAACAAAAATATCCTGTCTGAATTGAATAATAAAAGTATAAATTGTATTAATTTTAATTAATTTAGTTTATTTCGTTTATTTACATCTTTATTTGTAAGTTTCTAAGTTTACTTTTCTTTTAATTTAAAAACAAATTTTTCATGCTCCATTTGTTTACATATCAATTAATTGTTGTGGTGAGTTTTTTTTCAATGAATTAAAATTTCACAAAAGCAGAAATAATTAAATAGTTATAATTAATGTTATTTTAAATATGATATGAAATATATAATTATTTTTTGCTGTTTAAATAATTAATAATTAATACAAATAGGTTTTTGATTTTGTGGGAAACTTTCCTTCTTATTTTATATCAAATAAAATAAATATAGTACAAAATGGATTGTTTCGTTTATTTTTGTAAATAAATAAAAATAAATTAATAATTTTTCTGCTATACAAGATTCCAAGTATAATTTTCTTGAACTAAAAAGAAATGTATAAAATATAAAGAAATAAGAATAAATAAAACAAAACTAATATCTTTTATGATGAGAATGTAAAAATATTTTTTTTTCCAAAATTCTAGAAAGTGATATAAATAATTATTAAATATTTAAAAAATACAGTATTGTAGAGAGTTTATTTGAAAAAGTTTCTTGAAAATACATTATAAATAAAAAATAAATGCTTCCTAATATCGTGTGTAGACATGCATGTTATTTTTATTCATTCATTTTTTTTTAAAATGAATAATTAGAAGTAAATTATTAATTTCGAGGCCTGTAATATTGTTTTTTTAGTGCCTATCTCAGTATATAGTCAACGCAATAAAATTACATTTCTTTTCACATTTATAATTTGAATATAATTTATTGAACAATCTTTATTTAACAATAAATAATTAAATATCTAAATAATTTATTCGATAATATTTATCTATTTATTTAATATAAAAATAAATAGTTAAATTTATAAATAATTTATTAAATATTTTTTTATTTATTATTTTATCGTATAATCGCAAATATTCCCTAATTATTGAATTAAATAATTTAGAATCGATTGTTTCGAAAATTAATTGAAAAAAGTTTTTTATTAATAAATATTAAATAATCTCAAATTTTCCATAATTAAGGAATTTGATAATTTACAATCGATTGTTTTGAAAATAATTAAAATTATTTGAATTTAATTGAATTAAGTAATTTAATTTAATTAAATAAATTGTATTTGATTGCGTTGTCTACTCTGATTTTTATAATTTTTTTTACATCCAAAATCGAAATTATAATTAAAAATATCGTTGTTATCGTACTATACAATCATACATTCTACTGAAATATTCCCAGAATAATTTACAGTTTTTTTTTTCTTTTCAAACAAAAAATCATGTTCAATAGCCTCGCTTTTTATAATAATAATTATAATAATAGTAATAATAATAATATTAATAATAATAATTATAATAATAAAATTTGTCGTGTTGAGGTTCTCACGACTTTCTTATTAATTATCATAAAGATACAAAATAAAATTTTATTTTTTTTTATTGCAAATAAAACTTGAAAAGCAGATTCACGCTGACTAGAATATTTTACAATTGATTAAATTCATTTGTGGAATTATTTGCAATACGCAGTGAAATTCGTAAATGTCACGCAACAATAATAATAATTTATTATTGCGAATAATAGGCATGCAAACTTTGGTTTAAAGCAATATCGAGTTAAATTTTTTTCATCCAAACAAATTAATTTCTGCTTTCTATACTTTTTTTTTGTTATTTTTTTCTCTCTCTTTTAAAAGACAGCTACTGGCAATTCCTTTTTCAATCGCATTGACTCCTAAGCATTTCATTATTATTACTTTTTTTTTGTATTTACATTTTTAACACATTAGCTGACACACACTTCGAAATATTTTTTTTTTTTAATTCTACAGAAGCAAATATTGAAAACAAAACAAATCAGTCTAATATAAAAAAATTCACACCATTTTTTTTTTCTAAAGAAAAAAATGAACACTTTGTGCTATATATAAAAACTGGTTAAAAAAAAAGGAAAATAAAAAATGGAAAATTGTGCAAATTCCTTTTTTTTAAATGCGCATACAATTGAAAACAAAATTTGACGAAAGAAAAAAGGAAGAAACACACTGAAAGAGACTTAATAATACGGTTACATTATTTTAGCTTCAAAGCTCGATTTCACTTTCGTTTTTTCATTGTTTTTCACCCTCTTCTTCTTCTTCTTTTCTTTTTTTTTTTCTTTTAAATAAATTAAAATATTCTTAGGCTTCATTTCAATTGTACAACTACTATTATAATTCTTAAACTATTTTTTTAGCTGCTGTCACAAACCTTCTTGTGTAGTACCAAAAAATTAATAATTACACAATAGCTTTCTTAAAAAAAAAAAATGATCGATTGTAAAAATTGTGAAAAGTGCTTATTCAGTTATTGAATAAATGCACTATTTTTTCTCCCCTTTTTTTAATAATATACAATAAATGCAACATGCATAATGATATTAATTACTAATATAATACAAAAATTGTTCTGCAGAGCAATTATCTCATTTTTTTTGTCACTAAATCAAAAATCTTGTAAAGACTCTAAATTTTGTTACTGAAATTCTGTAAAGAAAAAAGTTAATAAATCGACAATTAATTTATTTATTAATTAAATTGCAAAAATTTAATACTCAAGAAAAAAAAATTTTTTCCAAGTAAATTAAATTAATTATTATTAAATAAATTAAAATAATCAATTTTAATTAATTAACTAATTTTTTTCCCTAAAGGAAGTATTTTTGTTTCTATTTTCTTTACAAAATATTTTCTGCTTTGATATTAGACAATATTTTCAACTACAAATTAAAATTCACGAATGAAAAAAAAAATGCAATTTTATTTCTCAAAGAACAAAATTCAGAATCAAAGTTCAAAAGTTGCAAAATTATTATTTTGGTCGAGCACTCTTGAGCGCAAAAATAATAATGTTCGCTTGTATTTTTAAAAAATATGAAAAAGAATTATTATTTTTATTGAGATTTCAAAATAAAAAAAAACTTTTTTCCCCTTTTTTTTGTGTTAAAAATTTTTTTCGAAAAAAAATGTCACGTAAAAGCACCAAAAAAAGATTAATTATTCTCTCGTTTCAAAGTACCATTGTAATGAAATTTTTATGTTTTTGTCATAATTGATTATTTGAATGCATAAAGGCCTAGTTCTCGTAATTGTATGTAATTAGAAAAGAAAAATGAGATTTTTCTTAAAAATTCAAGAAAGAAGACGAGAAAATTTTTCATTTAAGGAAATTGATGTTTAATTATTATTATTAATTATTAATTATATTTATTATTAAAAATGTTAAGTTAAAAATAATGAATTATTTTTAATTAAACTGAATTAATAATAATAAATTATTTACTCCCATTTTTTCCAGAATTTTATTTTTTCACTTTCTGTTCAATTTTAATCGAATTAATCAAAAGTGATTAAAATTACAATGAAAAAAAAATATTTAATAATTAATAATAATAATAAGTTTTGACAATATCAATGGATCGAAAGTCCTTAAATTTTTGGTAATTGAGATCAGCTGCAAGGCATTTTTTTTCTTTTCTTCAAAATTGAAATTATCATTTTTTGTTTGTTATTCTACAGTATATACATTTAGCAAGCTGTAACGAGTTTTTATTGAATATTTTTTCAGTAGTTTCATTTTAATCTTATATTTTACTTTAGACACATAAAGATAGTCATTCAGGAATTATGAAAATTATTTTTCGTATTCTTCTTCTTTTTTTTCAATAACACGATATTTTTTTTCACATTGAAAAATATGTCATTTAAACATTTTAAAAATGTCATATTTTGCTTTTATATTTATATATTATTTAAATAAAAAAATTAGTTCAACTAGTTTTTTATTTTATTTCCTATAGTTTTTTGAATAGAAAAAAAAAGTTTTTTTATTATATTATTTCTATAGTTTTCTGAATAAAAAAAAATGTCGAAAAAAAAATTCGGAAATTTGAAAAATAGGTTTATTTTTTGAGATTTCTTCAGTTTTAAAAACTTTGTTCGTTCTATTTTTTTCCTTTCTTTCTTTCTTTCTCTTTAAATTGTATCATACACGTGTATAGAGTAGATATCTTTGTTTTTGATTATTTCCTTGCTTTAACTTAATGAGGTAAAGTTTTTTTCTTTCTCTATGTTAAGTGGCTCGTAAAATAAATTTGTGAATAATCGCAAAAATATTAATTCGTTTCTCTACATTCGTGTTTCTTTTTCGAAAATTCCTCCATTCTGAAGATGATGGAATTATGGAAAATAGTTCTCAATCACAGATTTAATTCTCGCATTCGTTTCGGTTTTTGGTCCTTTGCAAAAAGCGATTTATGACAAAAAAATAGAAAAAAATACAGTAAAATAAAAAAAAAATAGAAAAAAATACAATAAAATAAAAAAATTAATAAAAAAATGGAAGAAAATACAATAAAATAAAAAAATACAAAAGAATATTAATAAATAGAAACTAATATCTAAAAAGAAGCTGACCACCAAGTTTTTTCTCAAAAAATAAAAAAAATACCAATAAATTTTCTCTTTTTTTTCCAAGAAAAGAAAAACGAAGACGAGAATGAATCTAAAGAGCTAAAAATGATTTTTCTAATTGTTACTTTTGTCCCTTTCGTCTGAAAGTTCAAAAGTCATGGACAATAAGAAATAATCTTTACCTGACGAAATTTACACAGCATTTAATTTTTTTTTTTTGCGATTCTTACTTTCTAGTACTTGTATTCTTTCCTCTTTTTATTTTTATCTCCCCCGTTTTATTTTATTACCATTTCGAAGTTTTATTTTTGTAAAAATTCTAGAAGAAGAGTTAAAGAAAAAAAATTCTGAAACTGTAAATTTGCCAAAAAAAAAAGAAATATTATTAAAAAAAAAAATCAGAAAAGTGACTAGAATTCCTTATTTTTAATTTAGAGAATTCTAGGCGAAGAAAAATTCACAGTAGATACTGAAAAGTATTTACGAAGTCTTTCAATTACGTATAAAAATCAGTTCGTCTCGTAAGCATATTTAATATGGCAGTATTGCTTGTATTCGTGAAAATAATTGTTTATGGTTCATATATATATTCTATAATTTATATATATAATTATATAAAGTAAAAACTTCTTTGAGCGAAAAATCGTACATATCAAAAAGTATGTACTTTATTGTGACGCATAAATATTTTCTAAAATTCTTTCCATTTCGACAGTAGATTTTTTTTAGAGTCCAATTTCAATTTCAATTTTTTTTTGACTCATTACAATTTTTAATTGGATTTTTGAATTATTATTTCAATAACTAATTATTAAAAAAGTTAAGTAATTAATTAATTAATAAAATAACTAATTATGAAAATTTCGAGTCAATTACTTTTCTAAAATCATATTTCGCCTGTATTTTTAATTGGATTTCTTAAAATAATTTTTTAAAAAACATAAAATAATTATTTTAAAAGTTAAAATAATTAATTATTTTGAAAAATAGAAAATAATTAATCATTTCTAAAAAAAATACTGAATTCGAATTGTAGAAAATATTCACGCATTCTCGTTATTATTATTAATTTCTTTTCTTCTCTTCAAGAAACAATTATTATTATGGAAAAAGTGCTAAAAACGAATTTTCATTTCTATGGCACAATTTATAATATATACCAACTATTGCTCTATACTCTGTAAACTTCTAATTAAAATGCTTTCAAACTTTATATTTCTAATTGTACATGTAATTAAATATTTAATAAATGTTCCATTCTTCATTGAAACAGAAATAATATTCAAAAAACTGGCACTCTATAAGTAACTTTAAAGTTTAAAGCTTTTACTATTGACCACAATTCTACTTTTGATATTTATAATAATTTTTTCCCCTTACTTTTTGTTTTCAAACTAGTTTTTTTTCTTATTTTTTTTGAAATTACATTCTAAATATGCACCATTTAAGTAGAATTGCCATTAAAAAAAAACAAATTATGGCACTGAGAAATTATTTTTGTTTTAAGCTGGGAGAAATTAGTCGAAGAAAAAAAATAACGGTGCGAGAAAGTTTTCGTTAATTGAAAAAGAAAAAAAAAATTAAAAAGAAAGTACAGTGGAAATATTAATTCATCGAACTTTTGTAAAATAATTGAGTAAATCTAGAAGAATCTAGATTTTTCGATGATTTTATACCTTTTTTTTTTGTTTGTTCGTTTTCTCTTTTTACCTACTTTAGTTTTCTGTTGGGGTTTTTTTTTCATCTTCGTTTTGCTTACAGTAGTGAGCACCTTCGTTGACGACGTTTTTGTGGTTCGGGTCGTAATACAGCGCGAACTGCCTCGTCGAAAACTTGTTTTAATCCACGTTGCGTGAGTGCTGAACATTCCATGTATTTAACAGCTCTTATCTGAAAAATTTATTTATTACAATTTAAAATATTTTCAAATAATTTTAAAAAAAATATTTTCATTTATAAAAATTCGTCTAAAATAAAATATCACGTATCTTTAAATATTCCAGGGGGGAAAAATGAAATAAATTATTTCTTTAGGGTAAAAATAATAGTAGAGAATATGTTTCTCTCCTTATGGTAAATTAAATTAAAATTATAACAGGAGATGTCCCTGGGATAATTTTAATTTTTCTAATCTTTACAAAAGAGTTTAAGAATTTAAATAAAATTGACCTTGTTCGCAAGTTTCTGTCCCTGTTCACGTTTAATAGCGCTGAGTCCTTGTTCGGCGAGTGCAGTGAGTGTTTCGCGATCATCTCGCAAGTCAATTTTTGTCCCAACGAGAATCATCGGTGCATCGGGACAATGATGCTTAATTTCTGGATACCATTTACTAGTGACATTCTCAAAGGAAGAGGGACTTGTCACTGAGAAGCAAATAAGAAACACGTCTGTCTGCGGATATGAAAGGGGACGCAATCTGTCGTAATCCTCTTGTCCTGCAGTGTCCCACAATCCCAAACTCACAGGAATTCCATCCACCACCATAGGAGCAGAATAATTGTCAAATCTGAAAATTTCAAACATCATCAATTAATTTGTTTCATTCTTTTCTTATTCCTTCTTTCCTTTTTAATTCAGGGAAGCCAGAAAAATTTAATTTTGTTTTTCCCTGATTTCCAGACAGAATTTCGACTTTTTCCCTGAACCTAAAGAATATTCTGATTCACTCTAAAAATTATTAGATACTCAAAAAAATGTTCTATTACATATATTTACAAATTTCTTTAATTTCTTCTTCTTTTTTAAATAAATATTTAATCCTAATTATTTTTCCATAGGAATTAAGATTTTCAAAAATTTTTAATTAATACAACAAGAAGAAATTATTTTTAATAATTTTTGAAAAAGTTCTTTAACAATTTTCAAATTCATTTGTTTACAATTCAATTTTACCCAAAAATTTCGATTATTCGGAAATTCTTCATTTAAATATGTATTAGAAATTAAAAACTTCAAATAATTTTAAAAAAAAATTAATTCTACAGAATTGTTAGTTAAAAGTATGAAAAATTCCGATTTTCAAAGATTTTAATTTAAAATAATTAAATATTTCTTAAAATTAAATCCTCATAAAGAATTTTATCAATAAATTTTTAAATAATTGAATTCTTTTGATGAATTTCAATAAAATTTTTTAAGAATAATTACATTTTCCGAAGAATTCGATTAAAATTTTATTAAAAATAATTGAATTCCCAAAAACAATTTTTTATTATTTATGAAAATAATTGAATCTGTTTAAAAAAATATTGAAAATCATTGAATAGAGGAAAATTTTTAAAAATAATTGAAATTTTGACTTTAATTTTATTTTAATAGAAAATTTTAAAATAATTGAATTTTCCTATAGAATTTTATAATTTTATCAGAAAATTCTACGAGTATTCAATTATTCAAATACAAAAATAAATAATTTATTGAATATTTCTTAAAATTGAATTTTTACGAAGAATTTTATTACTAACTTTTGAAAATAATTCATTTCTTTTAAGAGATTCAATGAAAATTTTACTAAAATTTATTGATTTCTTTGAAAGAATTTCATCACAGTTTTTGAAAATAATTGAAAACTTTTCAAGAATTTTATTAAAATTTTTAAACGTAATTGAATTCTTAAAAAAAGTGTTCTTAAAATTGTATTAAAATTAATTATTTATATATTCTTCAGAAAAATTTGATTATTTAATTAATTTCTTGACAAGAATTTAATTAAAATTTTGTGACAATAATTTAATTGTTCCGAAAAGAATTAAAATTCTTATTATTGAAATTTTAAAAAATAATAATTGAATTCATGTAAAGAATTTAAATAATAATTTATGAATATAATTGAATTCAGGCGAAGAATTTTATTAAATTTTGTTTAAATAATTGAAATTTTGACAAGAATTTTATTAAAATTTTAGAAAATAATTGAATTCTTGTGATGAATTTTGATATTTATCAAAATTCATTCTTCTTGTCAGAAATAGAAAAAATTGAAGATTTTGCATTTAAATTCCTAGTTTATGAGGCAAAAAAAAACACAAAAATTCAGAATTTTCTTATGAAGTCTAAGAATTTAATTTTTTTTCCAGTACTTTTAATAAAAATCCCTGACTTTTCCCTGATTTTCCTGACCTATGGCAACTCTATAATTTCTTTTCCATTTTATTTCTTTCTTTCATTTTTTAATAGGTATCTTTTCTCCTTTAATTCTCTAAATAGACTCAATTTTGTCTTGATTTAGATTTAAAGGTTAAAACTAATTTCAAAATCCATTAGTTCCTCCTTTTTCTATTTAAATTCCCCCCCTCGAATTAAAATAGTAAATAACTTGAGGGTGTCTTTCGGAAAATTATCTTTACGTTGAGAAAGAATGAGTTTATTTTTAATCATTAAAGAGAAAGGAAGACAAGCAAAAAGATAATGTGAAACGAATTGCTTCCTGTGAAGAGTAGGGTGTTTGTGAGCCCTGCTAAACTATTAATAGACACCCTAGTTTACTGTTCTTAGGAAGACTTATGTGACAAAAAATAATAAAAAAAAAGGAAAGAAGAGAAAGTGTCACATCATTGAGATATTCGCATAAAAATAATCTATTTAGTCTTCAGTTTGTTAAGTGCCAAGTAAATTCTTCTCCTTCATTTTTCACGCTTCAAAGTTGCGATAAACATGAAAATAGAAAATAAACAGAAAGAAGATAATTTCATTATTATTTTGTTTAATTAAAAAAAAAAGAAGATACTCACACTGTAGGCACATATTCTCCGGGAAAACTGTCTGTTGTGTATGATATCAGCATGCAAGTTTTTCCAACAGTTCCATCGCCCACAACAACACATTTAATTGGTCTTCCCGAACTCATGTTTAATCTGTAATTTCCAAAAAAAAAATTAATATAAAGGTAGAGACATTTTTGAGAAAAATATTCAAAAAGTAAACTAAGTTTTACACAGAGAACAAAAATTTATGTACATAAAACCAAATTTCCCGATTGTGAACGTCAAATTAATTTTTTACTGCAAATATTTGCAAAAAATTACCGATTGCAATAAAAAAAAATAACATTTTTTAATGTCACACAATTTCAGTCAAATTTGTTCAAATTAGAAAAGAAATAAATGAATTTTCTACAGAACTTTACATTAAAAAAACACCGATTATTTAAAATACACGTAATTAATTTCTACACGTTTATCTTTCCTTATTTTTGTTTCTTTTGGAAAATCGATAAATTAAAACAGAAACAGACGCACTGAATGAAAATGCAAAATTTACATTATATTAAAAAAAAATGTATAAAAACTCTTCAAAAATCAGATGCAGTTTTGAGAATTTCAAAGTAAATTAATCATTATTTTCATGTCCAAAATTGGAATTCTTAATTATACGAGAGAAACTTCTTACCAAAAATGGATTAGCGGTCTTGTGTAAAAACGTTGGGATTTCATAAGATGATTTCCAAATCAATCTTTCTTAACAAATCACTGGTAAAAACTAGGTTGCCATGATGGTTTTTTTTACGAAAAAAAAATATCAATCAAAATTGATAATTAAACTTAAGCAGATGTTTCTCTGAATCACTTCCTTATTTCACTTTTTTTTCCTCTCTTTCTCTCTCACTCACTCTTTTTTTTAATAAGAAGAACACTGAATATAGAGAAGCGCAGGCAGACAGGGTTGAGGTTATCTCATTTATTTCCTGATTACCATTGAATTTACTTGAAAATGGCGATATTCTCGATGATAAAAACACAATAATGTTTCTACCTAAGCTCTCTTTGAGTTTACAAGAACTTTATTTTTCTTTACTTTTCAGTCGAAATGGAGATAATTTAACTCTGCCCTTTTTTCTGTATCAAAAAAACTTATAAAGATACGCAGTTTATAAAATCTCTATTGTAAATGGTTGGTTGGTTTGGCTGACCCCGTAGGTCAAGTGCTCTTGTCCTCAACGTTAACATAAGGTGATTATAAAGGAACCTGCAATTCAACATTACAACTCAGTTCAAAGAACAACCGCTTATTTTGTAAACAAACTTATTAACATTTAAAATGCAAAAATTTGTTATTATTGTTTAAAAAGTCTAAAAAATAACATTTTTCGACGGTTAAAATGAGACTATTTATCTTTCTTTTCTTTGTTTTGAGTTAAATAACCAGTGTTTTCTTGAAAATAAATAAAAATGTCTCAACCCAAGGTAAATTTTACAAATTAAGAAACATTCACCATAAAGTATTGTTTTAAAAGTTTCAAAAGTTAATAACGTTAATAACTATAAACATTTTATTAAATTACAATAGAAGGCAATTATTCAAGTCAAAATTCTACTAAAATTAAGTTCTATACGCAAACTATTCATTATTTTAAATATTTATTTTAAACGTTTTAAAGGTTAGAATTTATAGGTTAGACTTGTCAATAAAATATATAATTTTTTAAAGATTTTTAATGATTATATTATAATAAAATTCTATTATTATTATAATTATAATAAAATCATCGTCATAATCTGTCCTCACGTAAATTTAGTGTTGATTTATTCCAATTTTTTATTTTATAGTTGGAATTGTTATGTCAAAAGTTTGACAGTTAATTTATAAATATAATAAAATAAAGTTTATTTTTTTGAAAAAAGAGATAATAAATAATTTTTTTTTAATAGTTTTTAATGTAAATTATTCTATTTTCACAGAAAAGTACCTGGAATCTGCCTTCATTTGATTGTCCACCTTCAAAAACGCCGGCAAAATTGAAACGAAATGCCTCAATGCCAATAAAATCGCCAGACAGTCCACCAAAGAGGAGTTTGACGAGAAAATATTCCGAGGAATTTCTAATAAAAAAGGAAAATATTAGCAGTCTTGCATTACTAATGAAAGCTTGCTATCCAAATAGTTCGTCTGATTTAGCAATTAGTCGACAAAAACAGCAAGAAATTTCCTCATGGATTGAGAGTAAAACGAGTCGTGGAAAATCGTGTATATTAATTATTTCCGGTCCATCGGGTTGTGGAAAAACTGCAGCGATTCGTGTTATTGCCAAAGAATACAATTTTGATATCACCGAATGGATAACACCATTAGATCAGCTTATGGATGAAAATAGTGAGAATTTTCTTTTAGAATCCAAAGAATAAACATTTTTAAAAATTTTTTGTTTAAATTCACTTTATTTATTATTTAGTTTTTTTATAATAAAGTCTTTAACGTCCGAGTGGTTTTAATAATAATAAGATAAACAAAGACATTTAGACAAAGAATGTCTGAATATATTCGTTTATCTTATTATTTTTTTTATTTATTTATTTTATTCTAATTTGGATTTATTTTTTATTTTTTTCCTTACAGATAGAGTTATGAGACAAGGGGACAAATTCGAGGAGTTTTTAATACGAGCGACTCGATATAATTCAGTATTAAGTAACAATTCAAGACGTTTGTTGTTAATCAAAGAATTGCCAAATGTTTTCTTAGATGATAAAGAAGGATTTCACGCTGTTTTAGAGTAAAATTATTTTGTTATATATTTAGATAGAATTAAAAAAACTAATTTACTGTTTGATAAAATTTGAATTTAATTATTTATATATTATTAAATTTTTATTTAATTTTAATTTCTTTATTATAAACTTAGAATTTTATTTATAATAAAAAAAGATTTTAGAATAATTTATTAAATCTAAGATTAAATTGTTTTTGAATGTATGACGAAAGAAATATTTTTCAGAAGGTACACTGAATACGGAAGAGAACCGCTTGTTTTCATTAATACAGAAACCGGAAACTCGAGAATAATGCAAACTGTATTCGGAGCGAATGTTCGAGAAAAATTTGGCATCGATTTAATTAAGTAAGTGAACTATTAATTTAAATTCAAAGTTCAGTATTTTTAATTTTTTAACTAAAACTTACGTTTTTATTGTTTTTTTTTAGTATATACGCAACAACACAAGTGGCGATGAAGAAAACCTTAGAGCGAATATCGAAAATTCTCAATGGAAAAGCGAGTCATTTTTTGAATGTTACACAGGAAAAAATAAACGAAACACTTGCTAATAACATCGGAGATGTAAGAAGCGCCGTATTAAATCTTGTTTTCGCCTCATTAAAGGGTAAAGAATTTAAATAATTTAAATAAACTAATTTCTATATAGATCAAAAATAGAATATAGTTTTAACTATTTAAAAAAACTAATCCTTATTAATAATAACTATTTTTAAACTATTATTTTTTATGAGATTAGTTTAAAAATAGTGATTTCTTCAAAAAATTGTATTGTGAAATGAAAATGTTCTCTCTGTGTTTTAAGTACCCGACAGCGTAACGAAAAGTACATGCGAGGTGCGAGAGGAAACTTTAACTCTACTTCATGGAATTGGAAGAGTTATAAATCCAAAAAGTAAAAATATAATATTAAAGTTTGCAAAAATAAATTTAAAATAAATATTATTAATTGCTTGACAAATTAAAAAATTTTACAGGAATTAACGAGGGAAATTCTACAAAATTCTTTCATAATCCTGACGATATTGCAGCATTTTTTCAATCGCAAGCCGCAAATTTCGTTCATTTTCTACATGAAAATTATTTAAATACAATGCGAGATATCGAACGCGCCGAATTAAGTTCCGATATTTTGAGTGCAGCCGATGTTCTAACATCCGAATGGCGGGTAAGCAGATTGAAAGAAAACTAAAATTACAATTACAATACATTTTTTTAATATACTTCTTTTATTTTTTTTTTAATTATCATAAATTATAAAAAGAAAAAAATGAAAAAAGTTGCAAACTTCAAAGTTAACAATAAATAAATATTTCTTATTGCCAAAAAAAAAGAAAGAAAAATAAAATAAATATTTTCATTATTTTTTTGACAGGATTTGAATTTAAACAAAGTGTCATTATCATTTTGTGTCAGAGGATTAATGGTTGCAAATAATAATCCCGTGTGCGGTTGGAATCCAGTCAAAAAACCACAAAACGCTTTTTTGAAAACGTAAGTAGAGTATTTTCATTAATTGAACTCGATTATAATATTTTTGAAACAATTGTATCAAAAATTAATTTTCAATTTCTAAATTTACCCAATTTTCTATTTGTTTCATAAGTTCTTAAATTATTTTTCATTTAAATGTTTTGAATTTAAAAATTACTTTATTGAAAATTATTGAATTGTTAAGAAGACTTTTATCAGAGAATTTGAAAATAATTGAATTCCTTCGAAGAATTTTATCAAAAATTATGTTAATAATTAAATTTTACTAATCTTATTAAAATTGTATTAAAAATAATTGAATTCTCGCGAGGATGTTTATTATTTATAAAAATATGTAATTGAATTCTTACGAAGAATTGTGTTAACATTTTTGAAAATTCTAATTCAATTCTTTTAAAGAATTTTTTTTGGTTTTTAAAAAATAATCGTTTTTATATATAATTGTAATTAAAAATTTAATTTTTGAATTTTATTACAATTTTTTAAAAATAATTTAATTTTTCTCAGAATTTTATTACAAATTTTTTAAATAATCGAAATCATTCCAGAAATTTTATTAAAATATCTCTTAAAAATAATTTAATTCTTTCCAATTAATAAATTTATTATTTACATTTTCTATAAAATTATTCAGAAAAAAATTTTAAATTCTTTAGGAGAATTTCTTTAAATTTTTTTGAAAAAAATATACTTTTTTTAATAATTGAATTTTATGAAGAATTTCTTTCAACTTTTTTCTAAATAAATCATTTCTGTTAATAATTGCAGTTAAAAATTTGAATTTTTAATTTTATTAACATTTTCTGGAAATAATTGAATTCTTTTCAAAATTTTTTTACAATTTCTAAAAATTCTTGAATTCTTTCGAGAAATTTTATAAAAATTCTACTGTAAATAATTGAATTCCTGTAAAAAATGCTACTAAATTTATAAAAAAAATTTGAATTCTCTAGAAAAATTGTATTACAATTTTCTAAAATAATTGAATTCTTCTGAGAAATTTCATTAAAATGGTACAGAAAATAATTGAATTCCTAAGAAGAGTTTTATTATTTATAAAAATAATTTAATTTTTGCGAATAATTTTATTCTAAATATTTAAAAATAATTTATTTCTTTTGTAAAATTTTATTAAAATTTGCTTTAAAAATTATTGAATTACTAGGGATAATTTTATTAAATTTCTAAATTATTTATGAAAATTGAATTATTTTCATAATTAATCTAATTTTTCGCTGCAATTTATAATTATTTTAAAGAATTTTAATAAAATCCTTCGCAAAAAATTTATTATTTTGAAAAATTTTAATAAAATTCTTTGTAAAAAAAAATTTAATTCTTTTCTTAAATAAGTAATAAAAATCTTCGCAAAAATTCAATTATTCTGAAAATTTTTGTTTAAATTTTTTATGAGAGAATTGAAATATTTTCAATACAATTTTAATTAAATTCTTCAAAGAAATTCAATTATTTTCGAAAATTTTAATCAAATTCAACCAAATTTCAATTGTTTTCAATTATTTTCGAAAATTTTAATTAAATTCTTAGTAAGATTTCAATTGTTTTTATATTTAATAAATTTTTTCGCAAGAATTTAATTTTTTACGTACAATTTAAAAAAATAAATTAATGTCAATAATTAATTTTTCAGAGATAGAAATTTAGCTTCTGCAGAAATTTCCTGGTATAAATCATTGATAGATCAAAACTTAAAAAAATCCAATGAAGGAGAAATGGAAAATGCAGTTGTTGATGAGGAAACAATAATTGAAGATGTTGATTAGTCACTTGGTCATTTTCTTCTTATTTTTGGTGTTATAATATTGTATTTTTTATATTTTCTATAAAATAAAACGACAAATCTTATTTGTTCCTTCAATTAATTATACTCATTAAAAAATAATTTCTTTAAGAAATTATTATTAGAAAAATTCAATGTTTATTTAATAGAGAAGTAAGAAAAAACCGAATGTTCAAAACATTGAAAAATTAAAAGTTAGAAAGAATTAATTAGAAATGAATAAGAAAATTAGAATTAGAAATTACATTAGAAAATTAGAAATCTAATAAAAATTAGAAAGAAATGCAAAAAAATTTGAATTTTCATCTCCTTGAATCCCCAAAGTCGTAGAATTTTCAAAACATCAAAAAACTAAAGGATCGAATCTCTAAAATAAAAAAAGAAACATTTTTTGTAAAATGCATTTTATTCGATATCTCAAAAGTACAAATTTATAACGAGACTAGACAGCTACCGACTGTTTTTTTTTTACCAAATAATTTTATCTTAACTACACATCATTAATCGAAAATTGAATATTACAATAGTAATAATGATTAAAATGATATTTGCTTCAAATTTTTAGTCTTAAAATAGGGGGCAAAAAAAGTGACAAACGACGATTACTTTGTACTACCTTTTTTTTACAACTCACATAACAAATACTGAATTAAACGCTTTTTTTGTTAAAACTACTTAATTAAAATCCATTGTTTTTCTTCCTCTTAATATAAATTGAATACGAATACAGCTTTGCGCAAAGGAACATTATTAATATTAAAACATTCGATATTTTGCCTAAGATCAACATTTTACGATGCCTAATACAGTGTTTACTAAAAAAAAAATCCGTCTTTATTATTACAATAATAATTAGAGCTCAATTAAATCTTGTTTCAAGTTTGTTCTGCACATACATTAAAATTCTATTTACATTATTGTTGTTGGAACATAAATTATAAAAGTTAATACGCTCAAAAATAAAAGTATAAAAATATACAATATGACTATATAATTATATGCAATGAAAAAGCTGCAAATAAATTTTTCAATTAAAAAAAAAACAAAAAAACAAAATTGAATTAATTCACGTGTGATTATTTTAAAATTAAATATCAATTTATTTACAAAGGCACTGTTGTTGGGCCTTCGGAAACAAAAGTGATTATATATCACATATTTTTTTCAAAGTCTCTGTAATTCTTCTTTTAATTTCTTTCATAATTAGAAATTAATTTTTTTTAATATTAATTTATTTCTGTGTAAATTTCTATCAGAAAAGTTTTTTTTCAATATTTGAATTATAAATAAATATTTTGAAATTTTTTTCGATAAAAGAAAAAAAAATGTAGAGCGTAAATAAATTTTCTCCAAAGGGAAAAAACATTTTTTTTCAAGTAACTTAACAAATTCTTTCTAATCGCAATTTTTTTAATTATATTAATTTATAAATATTTGATTGTACGATTAATAAAATCTGGAAAATCTATCGCTAAATTTGATTTTTGATTACGTAAATATCTGTAAATACAATTCTTTTTTTTTCGTTTTTGAAATTGTATAGCTACATAATTATAATATTATAAATTTAAATGCCATTTAATTTGGCACAGTGACGCAAGTAAGTTTTGTGCTTATTGGATTCAAAAAAATTAAGCAAGAATGGCAATATTACTAATTTTTTTTCTCCACTATGAAAAAGGAAACACTTTTGTTCACTCTATAATTGGAGCCAAATACATAAATTACAATAAAAAATAACGGCTATCATTAAACAGATTTAAATCTTAAAATTTATGAAAGACATAATTACAATTTATGTTCAATAGAACAGTGAAATAAATTAAATTTCAAAAGAGTTTTTTATAAAATGATTCTTTTTTTTACCACAAATTTAATTAAATTTAATTTATTTCCAAATAAATTAAAAGTTGGAAAAATTAATTTATTTCAGTTTAAATAAAAAATTGGTGTTATTTGAAAAGAAATTTAAATTATTTTCCGAAAGAAATTAAATTTTAACACCTTGTTCGTTAAAAATAAAGTTTAATGGTAGCAATTAATATTAGATAATTTTTCTTTAAAGATCACTTTTGCAATGAATACTATTTGATAACAGCTTACAATGTTTCATTTTATGGTCATTCTATCTGTTAATTTACTAGAACGTAATATTGTAAGTTAATAAATCTTCGACATATTTAATATGCATAATATTAATGCACTTCATTTTCTTTTTTTACTCTTTTTTCTTTCTTTTTTTGAAGCAATTCATCTAGTCTATCAGAAAAAAATATAAATAGCCTAATATATATATATTTATTTTCTTAATATATTTTATGTATGTATGTATATATATAAATTCTTTTGTAAATTCTAATTTTCTGCACAATAAATATTTTTTCTTCTTATTTACTTTTGTTTTAGCAGGTTTGATGAGCGTTATTGTCAGTTTATAAATTGTATCGACCACATTTTTTACTTTTATAAATATTGTTCGTAAGGAAGTAGTACGCACATCTATTGAGAAATTTAAAAATAATAAATCTCACCTACTGAATTCTGGAAGTGGCTTTGCAATGCCTTCATTGTACGCTTTGTGAACAGCTTCACACACAAATCTATATTGACTCTGAAATTAAAAATAAAGCAATTTATTTAAGTAAAAGTTAAGAGAGGTAATAATAATAAATTAAATACGTTTCATTTATTATTATTATTTTTTAAATTAAAAAAATGTTGTATTTTCAAAAATAAACATCAATTTTTGAATGATCACAGATTCAAAATTTAAAGAATTCAATTATTAAGTACATAAATAATATTAAATATTCTTGTTTATTATTATTCAAAAATTTTAATAACATTTTTCGCAAGAATTTCATTATTCCGATAAATAATATTTTTTAGAGCAATTTAATTATTTTCAATACAATTTTAATAAAAATTTCTCGAAAAAATACAATTATTTTTAAAAATATTACTTAAATTTGATTATTTTCAAGAATTTTAATATAAATTCAATTATTTTCGCCAATTTTGATGAAATTTTTTTAAAAAATCATATAAATTCAAGTATTTTCATCAATTTTGATAAAATTCTTTTAAAAAATCATTATTTTCAAAATTTTTTATAAAATTTCTTCACAAAATTCAATTATTTTTAATAATTCAGTTAAACTTCTTCGAAACTATTCAATTATGTTTATGAATTGTAAAATCCTCGGCAAAAATTCAATTATTTTCATAAATAATACAATGATTCGGATGAATTCAATTATTTTTAATAAAATTTCTTGAAAGAATACAATTATTTTTAAAAATATTATTTAAATTCAATTTTTTTTTAACAATTCTGATAAAATTCTTCGAAACAATTTAATTTATTATTTTCATAAATTGTAAAATTCTTGGAAAGAATTCAATTATTTTTATATTAATAAAATTCTTTTGAGAAATTCAATAATTTTCAATACAATTTTAAAAAAATTCAATTAGATTCAAGATAATTTCAATAAGATTTCTCTAAGTAATTAGATTAATTAACTTAATTTCTAAAGTTCGATTATTCTTAAAAATTGGAATTAAATTTCTCTAAACAATTCTATTGTTTTCAAAAGTTTTTAATAAAATTATTTGTAAATTTAAATTATTTTCAAAATTTTCAATTGAAATTATTTTAAAAAATTACATTATTTTTACGAAATTTAATAAAATTCTTAAAAAAACTCCATCATTTTCAAGAAAATTGAAATAAATTCTTCAAAAAAATTAAATTGTTTTAAAGAATTTTAATAAAATTCTTGACAAGAATTAAATTATTTTCAATACAATTTTAATTACATTTTCTTGAAAGAATTCAATTATTGAAAAAAATGTTGATAAAATTCTTAAAATGAATTCAATTATTTTCAAATTTTTTGATAAATACTTTGCAAGAATTCAATAATTTTCTGTACATTAATTTTAAAATTGAAAACATTTAAAAAGAAAAATTATTTTTAAAAGTTAGGAATCAAAAAAGCAAACAGCAACTAACTTTAAACTATGGACAGATTACCGGAATACAACAATTATTATTAATATAGATTATTTTTTCTTTAAAAATTCTTAAAAAATTATTCAAATAATTAAATTAAATTTACAATTTAAAAAAAATAATTGAATTTTGGATGAATTACAGTTATAATTTTTAGAAATAATTAAATTTCAAAAGTTTAACTAATTAAATTTAAAGAAAAACTGTTAGAAAAATGATGTTTTTTAAAAAATGAAGAATTTTCATTAAATTTCAAAAAGCAAATCTTCTAAAGTAAGAGCGGCAGCGAAAATTTTTGCTAATTTATTAATAATATAATATATTATTATTAATAGTAATAATAATAATTTCATTTATTATTATGGAAATTAAAAAAATTTATTATTTTCAAATATTAATTTCAATTTTGGAATAATTTCAGATTCAAAATTAAAAAAAAGAAAAAACTTACAGCATTCTGTATCATCATTGCTCGTTGATCTCTCATCGATCGAACAATGTCAAGAGGATATACAGGTTGATTGGCTTCTATTAAACACAATGCAGTCTCCATGAGGACGAGAACACCAGTTCGACCAATTCCTGCCGAGCAATGAACAACCGCAGGTTCCACGATTCCGGTTCGCGCTGCCCTGACACGTTCGGTGAACGTTGTAAATTGCCTCCAATCATTCGGCACGCCATGATCTGGCCAACCACAATACTGCATATGCGTTATATCTCTCTCCTCACCTGTCTATTATTTCAAAAATTAAAAATTATTATTAATAATTATTAAAAATTATTTACGCAAGGTCAAAGTTTACTTCGACCTTGCGGAAAATGCGGTTACTAGGTTTTTACTTTAGAGAGCAGATTTTTAGAGAAAAGAAAAAAAATACAAAAGAGAAAATTAAATAACAGATTGAAAAATGAATTTGAAATAAAATAAGAAAACTTACATTGATATCACGAAGTATAAATTCACGGAAGACAAAAGTATCCTCCATTTTTTCCGAGGTAGATGTGAGCGTGAGGTTTCTTAACGTAAGCGTTTCATTAAGAAGTGGCCAATATTGATGGCACTTGGTTCTGCCGCGTTCCACCAGCGTTGTTAACATTACGACAAGCGTGCTGCCTGCCTCGAGAACCATTTGCCAAAAATCAGCCACCGTCGATGACAATGGACCCTGTGTCGCTATATATCTGTTGATAATACCCGAACCCGGTATCTCCATATTCACGTAATTGGCATTAATATAATCTCCATTTACCGAACCCATCAAAATTACTCGCGTCACGTCATCTGTAAATTTTTACACTTCTTGTCAAATAATCATATTCATATTAGTTAAATATTAATAACTTTAAAAATTAAATAGCAAACATTACGCGCGCGGAACGTCGAATTCAATTTATTATTATTATTATGCAAATCACAACATTTTTAAATTTCAAATATAAATTTTTGAATAATTTCATAATCAAAATTTTTTAAATTTACTTATTAAGCACATAATTAATTATTATTGTTTATATTTTCAAAAACTTGAATACAATTCTTCGGAAGAATTCAATTATTTTCATAAATAATAAAATTTACTGCAAAAATTCAATTATTTGCAACAAAATTTTTATAAATCCATCAAAACAATTTAATTATTTACATCAAAATTTTTATAAATCCTTCAAAACAATTCAATTATTTTTTGAAATAGTAAAATCTTTGCAAAAATTCAATTATTATCAATAAAATTTCAAGAAAGAATTCAATTTTTTTCTTAAGCACGTTATAAAATTTTCCAAAAGAATTCAATAATTTTCTAAAATTTTCATAAAATTCTTCCTTAATATTCAATTATTTTCAATACAATCTTAACTAAATTCCTACAAAGAATTTAAATTTTCATTAAAAAAATTCTATTATTTTTCAAAAATTTTTCAAAAGATTTCAATTATTTTCATAAATAATAAAACTTTCCGAAAGATTTCAATTATTTTCTTTAATAATAAAATTTTTTCCAAGATTTCAATTATTTTTAAAACTTTGAAACAAATTCTTGTCAAGAATTTAATTTTTTTGATAAATAAATGAATTCTTCGAAGGATTTCAATTATTTTTAAAAATTTTAATAAAATTATTCGGAAGAATTCAATTATCATCATAAAAAATAAAATTCTTTAGAAGATTTCAATTATTTTCATTAATAATAAAATTCTTCGCAAGATTTCAATTATTTTCAAAAATTTAAATTAAACTCTTGTCAAGATTTCAATTTTTTTTATAAATAATTGAATTCTTCGAAGGATTTCAATTATTTAAAAAAATTTTGATAAAATTCTTCGGAAGAATTCAATTTTTTTCATAAATAATTGAATTCTTTGACGGATTTCAATTATATTTAAAAATTTTAATAATTATAATAAAAATAATCTCGGAAAAATAAAATTTTTTGGAAGTTTTCAATTATTTTCATTAATAATAAAATTCTTCGCAAGATTTTAATTATTTTAAAAAATTTGAAACAAATTTTTGTCAAGAATTAAATTTTTTTTATAAATAATTGAATTCTTTACATAATTTCAATTATTTTCAAAAATTTGAAACAAATTCTTGTCAAGAATTAAATTTTTCTTATAAATAATTGACTTCTTTACATAATTTCAATTATTTTCAAAAATTTGATATAAATTCTTTTTAAGAAATCCTTTCCAAGTAAAATTCATCGCAAAAATTATTTTGAAAATTATCTTAAAAAGTTGAAGAAATTCTTTGTTTAATTTAATTATTTTCAAAATTTTCAATTGAAATTGTTTAAAAAACTACATTATTTAAAAAAAATTCTTTAAAAGAACTTAATTATTTACAAAAACTCTAATAAAAATATTTAACAGTATCTATTATTTGGAAAAATTTAATTATTTTCTATATTTTCTTTAAATTTTTTTTTATAATGGAGTTTCGTTAATAGTTTAAATTGAAAATTTCGAGAAGAATTTAATTACTTTCTAAAAATTTTAAGAAAATTCAATAATTAAATGTTTAATTTGAATTATTAAGAAACATGATTATTTTAAAAACTTGAAAGAAATTGTTCACAAAATTAAATCACTTTCAAAATTTTCAATTTAAACTATTAACGAAACTCCATTATAAAAAAAAATTCAAAGAAATTCTTTAAAATAATTTAATTATTACGGTTTTTAAAAATTTTAATAACATTTTTCTCGAGAATTCGATTATTTTCATAAATAATAAAATTTTGCGAAGAAAGTAAATTATTCTCAAATTTCTTGACAAAATTCTTTGCAAGTATTCAAAGATTTTTAATACATTAATTTTAAAATTGAAAATATTTGAAAAGAAAAATTATTTAAAAAGTTAGGAAACAAAAAAGCAAACAACTAACTTTAAACTGCGAACGGATTACTGGAATAAAACGATTATTAATAAAGATAATAATAAATATTAATAACAATAAAAAATAATCAATAAGTCTTTAATTAATATAGATTAATTAATATAGAAAGCATCTAAAGATTTAAGATTTAATTTAAGCATTTAAAGAAACTGTATTTGTTCGCTCACATGGTGAAATGTCCCTGTATCGATTTTTATTTTGATTCTCCGGCTTCTTGGACTCCAACGATGTCAATTCTGGATTCTTTCTGTAGAGTTGTTCGTATTGCGCGATAAGAGCTCCACTAGCTAAACCATCAGCAAGAAGAAGCATTGACTGCGCAAGAGCGTCGGATCCAACTGCTGTGTGTGGAACATCGGGTACGTATCTGAGAAGAAGAAAATTATTTCATTTTAGAAAAAAGAACAAGTTCAGCTAATTGTATTTCTAAATTATTTTTACCTGTAGGGTGGTTCTTCCTCCGAATTTTCATCAGTGCCAGCAAGAGCGTTATACAGAGCGTTGGGACGTACTGTTAATGTTAATTCACCGGTGCCAGTGTCGCGCGATTGTCGAATTAAATTCACGACATGCTCATGTATCATTCCGTTTACATCAATTCCATTTATGTAAACAACCTGAAATAAAAGCAAAAAAATACAATTTTATATAATAAATGAAATAAATTTTATATTTTATGGAATTTTATTTTTTGACTTGCAATATTTTGAAATGTAATCGTAGTTTTGAATCCAAGTGAAAAAAACTAAATAAAAAATAATCTACCACTGCAAATTTATTTTTACCTGATCTCCCTCATTCAATTTCGGGTAACAACGATCAGCGGGCGTATTGGGAGCAACGCGAGACACTAAAATCGGCATTTCCAAATCCAATCCGCCCTTCACATTGAATCCAAATCTACCTTGTTCATCTGGTGTTAATCGAATCGCAACCAAACCATCTTCTAAAATTTGCTGTAAAATAAAATTAAATAATTTAAACAATTCTTTAAAATTCTTTGAAATTTAAAAAATACGAAATTTACCTGTGGAGGTGGTGAACTTGCAGGTTCACTGTAATCCGGAATATCGTAAATATTCCGTTCGACAGCCGTGTCGTCATCAGCGTAACTAATGACTCGAGATCCTAAAACTGGAGAAAATGCTCCACCCTGGGTATGCGTTGCTGTAATATCTTCTCTGGTAGATAAAAATCCTCCTTCACTGCTCGACAAAAAAATCGACAACAAACATAAAATAGAAGGAAAAAGAAAAAAATAATTATTTAAATTAATCTTTTCACAATTTGTTTAGAATAAGATTCATTTAATTCTAGTATTAAATTGAATCGCCGATGACTAAAAGGTTTTTATTGGTCCCTGGAAAAGCTTGAACCAATAAAAGTATTTAAAAATACGGACATTAACAATCAAATTACGGACCTTTTTTTTTTGAAAAAAACTGACTTTTACGGACCTTTACGGGATTTACGGAACCAGGTCGAGTCCTTCAATTATGAAAAAATATAATTTCGTTTTTTAATAAAAAAATTAATATTTTATACTAACTCATCACTGGGATTTCCTTCAACCCATGCTTGTCGGGGTTCACGAGCACCGAGAGACTGTACTTTATTGTCGTATGGCCTCGGCGGTCTGGCAGGTGGTGGAACGACTTTTCCCTTTTCCTCAACACTCGGAGCTTGCGTTATGCCGTGCACTAATCGTTTACTTGGCGATCTGCACGAAACACTGCGATCAATGTTACGATAATAATTTTCTTTTAATTCTTTCACACAATTTTAATTTATACAAACATTAAAATAATAATTATTATTATTAAATAAAATTATTAATATAAATTACTATGTATTACCTTATAAAAGTTTTTTCGACTCTCGCTCGATGTTTACCATCTTCGACAGTTTGAAATTCCGTACGACCTGAATACGTGAATCGACTGCTCAATGTCAGTGGAAACCGTCGTGGTCTCATCTTAGGACTGTGTAGTCGAAAGAATGTATGATGTTCTACGCAGGCCTTCCACAAGTTCTTCGAACTACGATATGTTTGCATATTGAAGCCTAATAGAGTGTCATAATTTTCCGACTGTAAAATTAAAGAAACAAATTTTTTAAAACTATAGTCTATCTAATTTTATAACTAAAAATCGATAGTTAATTTAAAAAAAATAGCAAAAAGCTAGTAATAATAAAATCAAAATTCCTCACCTGCTCTCTTCTGAGTTGAATAAAAAATTGTTTCCGCTTAAAGGAAATTTTCACGATTTTCGACCATGAAAATATATTGATTCTAATGTTGTTCTGAAAGACAACTAATCCTATTGATGTAACGCCTAGTTGTATTTCCTTGTTAGTCGAATCCTGAGGAAAAAGAATTTCTTTTATTAAAATTCTTCCTCATTAAAATATTAATACAATTATTATTTCACAATTATTATTTTCTTTTTTTATTTTCATTTTCTTTTAATAAACATGCATACCCTTGCCTTATGCAATTCGACTCCATACATGTCCAGCCGTTTAGCATGATCCAAAAAATTGAATTCCGCATCTGCTGGCAGCTGCCCTCTATAAAAACAATTAAAATAATAAAATATCTTTAGTTTGTAAAGTGTGAAAAAATATTCAAATTTTCTACAAAATCATACTTGTGTAATTTGTGTAATTCGGCAATTTTCTTTTCCATTTCTTCGTTCTGACCGGGAATCAACTGTAAACGAGAAAGATAACCGGGACCATGTTCTTCCGGATGATAATCACCCAACTCGGCTGCAATTAAGTCAATAAAAAGAAATTAAAATTAGAGAAATTAGAAAGTAAAATAAAAGCAAACTGATGAAAACTTAAATTTTCTTACATTGAACAGTATAACTGGCAATTAGACAAGCAGTGCTTGAAGGAAGTTGCAGTCTTCCCTGTAGAATGTCCCTTCGAATTTGTAAATAAAATTGATATCTAGTGTATTCCTCTTGCAATTTACTTGGATCAGAAACGTAAAATTTCACTCTAAAGAAAAATTGTCCACCTGAAGCAAAGAAATAGAAAAATTCTTCAAAAACTTTTTATTATCACTAATTGCATGCGAGTCAGCAATTTTTAAAATATCTTAAAAGCAGGATCTTTACCCTTACTTCTTATTTGCTTTTTTACGAGTTTAGAAGGATCCAACCATCGCTGAAAAAGAAAATGCAATAATCAGTAAAATTAAGATAAACTTATCTGCTTCAATAAATTCTTTTTTTTTTATTATCAGAGTTGCTACAAAAATTCAATTTTATTTGATTTCTCATTTTCGGACAAAACTTTAGCCATTTTCCCTGAATTCTCTGACCTGCAGCAACCCTAATTACTAATTTTCGAATCAGACTTTTTGGCAATATACTCACCATTACATCCGGATTGGGACTCGATGAATTGATGGTACCGTTTTCCGCATATTGAAGGCCAAAATAATCTTTTTCTATTAATTCTAAGTGTTGAAAAACAAGATCTAGTAAAACCTGGCCCTTTGCACGTTTCTGTAATGAATTTTTAAGAGCTTGAGAATAAATAATTAAATATTTAAAAAATACTGTACGTAATTAATCATTTTTGCCTCAAAATTTTCTTTAAGAGTATTAATTTATAGTTACTTAAAATGAAACGTACGTCTAGTTGAAATGTGTGTTGAGTCTCATCAAGAAAAACAACAGTCGCTGAAAGAGACTTCAATCTCCGGTCTCGCGCCAGTTCTGCACCTCGGACGTGGTAGCTCCCACTGGAGCCACTCAAAGCTCTTCGGGATACACTTTCAATCATCTCAAGAAAGCAAAGGTGAATTAACCACCTTCGCGGCACCACCTCTCAGCCACTTTGACCACCTGCAAAATTTACAAAACGAGGGAAATTAAATATTTTTAAAACTGAAACAATCACTATTTTTATTGTAAAGAAAAAAAAAAATTTTAATTCATAAAAAGAATATCTAAATTTCTTATTCTTTTTTTCTATCTTCTTTCTTTGTTTCAAAAAACTTGAATGTAAGATATTGATTAAATAATTGAACTTTCCAGTGGTACTCGAGTTTATTCTAATTTTTTTTTTAAATTCAATTATTTTCCAAATTTTCAATTAGAAATCTTCAGAAATACGATTATATGTCAAAATAATTTTTAAAAGTAAACAAATAAAATTCATTAAAGTATTAAATTTACTTCAATGAAATTTGACAAAATTTTCAGTTGTCTCAATTAAATTATTTTCGGAAATACAATTACGTTTAGAAAACTTTAATGACATTTTTTCAAAAAACAAATTTTTTCGTAATATCTGAATTAAATTATTCAAAAATTCAATACCTTTTGTTAACCAAAAATTAAAAACTTATTCTTAATTATTTTTTGACACGAATTAAAATTTCATCCTAATTTCAATGAAAAACCTTTTTGAAATTTGATTTAAAAATTGCAACTGAGAACTTTAATTCTAAATTTTTGAAAAATTCAATTATTTTCTAAATTTTTCTCCTAAAAAATGCAATTGCATTTAAAAGTAATTTTTAAAAGTAAACAAATAAAATTATTTAATAAAATTTAATTTAAAATCTTCACAGAAATTCAGAAAATAAGTCAATAATTTTTCAAAGTGTAAGAGAGGAAGAATTTAATTTAACTTTTTGTAAATAATTGAATTCTCGTTGAAAAATTTTATTATTTAGGAAAATAATTGAATAATTGTGAAGAATTAAAGAAAGAATTTTTATCAATTTTTTAAGAAAATAATTAAATTTCTCAGAAGAATTTTAATTATTTCTTTTTAAATAATTGAATTCTCGTGAAAAATTGTAACTAATTTGGAAAATAATTGAATTCTTGCCTGGAATTTTATTTAAATTTTTATAAATAATTGAATTTTAGAAAAAAATGTTATTGCTTGTGAAAATAATTGAATTCTTGAGGTAGAATTTTATGAAAAGTTTTTAAATTGATTTTTTTTTGAAAAATTTTATGAACTATTTTAAATAATTCAATTTCTGTAAAAATTTTTTTATAAAAAAATTGAATGTTTGCGAAGAATTTTATCAAAAATCTTTTGTGGAATTTTACTAAAATTGTATAGATATTGAAAATCATTGATTTTGGAAAAGTTTTTGAGAATAATTAAATCGTATTAAACAATTTTTAGAATTTTTTTTTATTTTAACTATTAGCGAATTTAAAGTGATTTTCGGGAATTCAAGTATATCTTTAAAAAAATGTTAACTACTATTTTTCAAAAATCTAATTTTTTCAGAATTTCCAAATAAAATCTTTTAAATTTCAATCATTTTTGTAAAATAAATATTTTATGAAATTTTAACTGCAACTCTTCCAAAATTCAATTATTCTTTTAGAATTTTTGAATAATATTATTAAAAACTTTGAATTAAATTAAGGAAGCTAACAAATTAATAATTTTTTATATTTAAATATTATGATACTTTTACAGCAATTAAAATGTCAAAAATTGAAATTTAAAAACTTTTTGTTTAATTATTTCTAAAGAATCCTGCTTTAACACTTCTAATGTATTTTCTAAAGTTTGAACTAAAATTCTTTTTTAAATCAATTCTTATCAGAATTTAATTATTTAAGTACAAAAATAAATAAGTCATAGAATAGTTAATTATTTTTAAAAATTGCAACTGTACTTCTTTATTGAGTTTTCGAAAATAAAGCTGAAATTTTGGAGTTAAATTTTCTTACTCCACTTATTTTATTATTATAATTTAATAATTTAATTTTTATAAAACTGAAGTTAATTATTTTCAATTTCTATCAAATTTACAAGGTAAAGGAAATCTTCTTACCTTCCTTCGAAAATAATATTTGTAAATTAGCTTTTTTTTCTCTAAAAAACAAAATTATCGCGAAAGGTTATGTGAAGTCATGTGAACTATAGTTCCAGTAAAATAAATTGTATCATTAGAAGTCATTAACATTCACTGTTTGTGCTTTTACTATTGTCACGTGCAGAAAAAAAATAGTACTCGATTGACAACGCCAAGAATAGATTTTATTAAGATTTTTGATGATTTTTCGTTTCAAGTTACATAACTTTCTGAATACTACCGGGAGTATATGTGGAAGTAATGTAGAGCAGAGTTTCTCAAAATAGTTTAGACACCAAGCTAATCTAAATTCTCCTCTGAATTTGAATTTCTCTGTTGGTAAATTTACTGATTGTCGCAAAGAAGAGAATATTTTCCAAAATTAGCAAAAATCGTTTTTTTTTTAAAACTAATTTCAATTAAATCAGAAAAGCACTAAATTAACATATATTCTACAAAAATAAGAAAATACTAGGAAATTAAAACAAATTTTTCAAAAGTCAACAATAGAAAATTGTTATACAAAAATTATGCGGTTTAGCAAAGAAATTAAAAGCTCAAAGAAAAATTACTTACATTCATGATACTTATGCTCGAAATTTTTTTTGATGATTCTCCACAAATTAAAGAAGATTGCTGCAAAAATGAAAATTATAAAGATTATAAATTAAAACAAAATGTGTCAAGAAAAACAAAATTTAAGAAAAGTATCTAGTTTCTAAAATTACAAAAATAGAAAATTCGATTACACAGATAAATGAAAAAAAATACCCCAATCTCATAACTTGAAAATTCAAGGTAATCGATTGTTGCAAAGGATAATAATAGACTTTCGTCAATTAACAAGACCTTTTCAGTTCCAAATAAGTTCAACTAAAATTTGCCCTACTCATTATGATAGAAAATTGCAGAAATTTACAAATGTATTATAGATCGAGGAAAAAATGACAAAAAAAAAGAACATAAATTATTAGTGTTTTTTTTTAAAAATAAAATAAGTTACTTTCACTCACGTCGCTTATGAAGACGACCAGTTATGAGAAAGCTGCCTATGAACGCCAAATGTTACAACCACTATGCTAAATGTATGTTCTCGATGACATTTTTGATTGTTTCTCGAATATTTAGTGTGAAAGAAAGCAACACTAGTGACTCATGCACTTCTCGAAGCTCTGAAATTTATGGAAACCACGGTTACTTTCGAGATTAAAAGATAAATTAATATTTATTTAATTAAGAAATATCTAATGCTTTGTAAGAGTCACAGTTGACGTTCCATAAACTATAATTCATGTAGAGGGGAAATTTTCTTGTATTTGTCATAAAGGGAAATTTACCTAAAGGCGAATTCACATGGTAAGCATTTCATTTTAAGGTGCTTACACACTTCACGGCCGTGTACTCCAAAAGTATTGTGATCGTACCCTTATGCATTACGAGACCAATTGCACCTACCCAACCCTGCAGTCACTTTCGTTTCGAGGGGGAAGATCCGCAATGTGTGAGTAGAATATAATTTTATTTATTATAAATTCACTAATTATTGTGACAGAAAATATATAAATACGCATTTTGGAATTGATTTTCAATTCTTGTTTTTATAGTGATGTGTTTTATAACCCGTCATTATTGTAATCAAGCAATCAGATTTAAGGATTTAAGCAAGAATTCTAGGTTATGTTCATTGCTTTTTGAAAGTTTTCCCGTTGTTGGCGGTTGGCGTCTTTCATATTTTTTCATCAAAAAAAGAAAGAAAATGTTAAAGATTACTTATTTTTATACGAATTTTTTTGTTTACGTAAATATAAAGTATCATTAAAACCAGAAAAAGAATAATTTTTGTGTAAATCGCGTCGGCGAAATTCGTCAAAATCCTGCGATTCTCTCTATGTTGAATTTCTTTTGTAATTGTTCGCAATTCTATTTTTTTAAAGACGACCTTGAAAAACGACTTTACGTAAAAAAAAGTTTTAACAGAAATGATTTTCTTTTTGCAGTTCCTGTCAATTGCCCAATCATTGTCAATTGTCGAGACTGAATATAATGTTAATATTGAAATAAACCGAAAATAGGAGAAGAAAAATCCATCATTTTGAGAATTAGAGTGGAATTAGTCGACGAGAAATTATGGACATATTTTTGGAAAAATATTCCTTCACAAACATAATTATGGTGAGTTAAAATTTTATTTAAATAATTTATATATTTTATATTCTAAATAATCAATTATAAATTCGGGGGAAAAAAATTTATTAAACATTTTTGTTTCCATTCTTTAGAGAACATAATATATTTTCCAAATCATTCATTTTTGAACATAATTTTATAGTTTCGAATAACATAAAAAATCCAAATACAACAAGATGCGAAAAATGTATAATAAAAAAATGTATTTGAAAAAAAAATTGAAATATTTCTGAAATAAATTAAGTAAACAATGCAACGAGTTAGTTCCACGATAGGGCCATATTTATTCTTGTCAAATAATAAACCAATCGATGCAATAGTCCAGAAATTATTTATGACCAATTTTGTTGTTTGCAATATATCATTATTCTGAAATAGATATAAAAAAAATTTTAATAATTTTTTAAAATTAATAATTAATAATAGTTAATAAGTTTCAATGCAAGAGATAATTAATTGCGTATTAAATATAAGAAATTATTATTATTGAACAAAAATTAAAACTGAACACTATGAAAAAATTTCTGAATAATTTCGGGAAAATTCAACAATAATAGTAATAATTTTCCAACCTAAAGAAAATTTTCAGGATTGACACAGGTCAGGGAATTCAGGGATTTTTATTAAAGGAACTGGAAAAAATTAAATTTTTAGAATTTTACACAAACATTCAATTATATTTAAAAATAATACAAATTTCCCAGAAATGCAATTATTTAAGATTTTTTTTATAAAATTACTCGCAATAAGTTAATTATTTTCATAAATAATAAAACTCATTGAAGAATTTCAAGTATTTGTAATGCAATTTTAATCAAATTCCACGAAAAATGTAATTATTTTTTAAAATTTTATTAAAATTTGTCGAAAGAATTTAATTAGGTATTTAAAAATTATTGATAAAATTTTTTTTGACAATTTAGTTTTTAAAAACATTAAAAATTAAATTATTCAATAAATTATTTTTTCTTCTATTTAAATAATTGAATTCTCGTAGAATTTTAAAATAAAAAATTTATTGAAATATTTCAATTATTTTTAAAAATGTTAATAAAATTCTTATCCGATATCCAATTATTTTCAAAAATTTTAATAAAATTCTACGCAAACATTTAATTATTTTCATAAATAATAAAAATTTCACAGGAATTCAAGTATTTACAAATTTTTTGGAAAAATTGAATTATTTTCAACAAAATTTTAATTTAATTTCACGAAAGAATTTAATTATTTTCAAAATATTAATAAATCCATTGAAACAAATCAATTGTTTTTTTTTAATAGTACAATTTTTGCAAAAATTAAATTTTTTTTAATAAAATGTCACGAAAGAATTCAATTTTTTTTCTTAATTCGTTATAAAATTTTTAAAAGCACTCAATTATTTTCTAAAATTGTTATCAATCCTTTGAAACAATTAAATTATTTTTAAAATAATTAAAATAATTAAAATAATAAATATTAGAATTCCTTGCAAAATTTCAATAAAAATTATACATTTTTTTTATACAATTTTAATTGAATTCTTCAAAAAATGTAATATTATTTTTAAAAATTTTATTGAAATTCATTGGAAGAATTCAATTTAAAGAAACATTGAATTATTCAATAAGTTATGAATTTTTGTATATTTAAATAATTGAATTCTCGTAGAGTTTTCTGATAAAAATTGATTTAGAAATGAATTTCAGTTTAAATTTTAAATAATAATTGAATATTAAAAGCATTATCTATAGCTTGAATTTTTTGAAATAATTGAATTTCGAAAGGGTTTCAAATTAAATTCTTTGAGTATCTAATAGTAATTTTTGGAGCAAATCAGAATATTCTTTAGGATAAGGGAAAAAGTGAAAATTTTGTCTGGAAATCAGGAAAAAGTCAGGGAAGAATTAAATTAAATTTTTTGTGGCAACCCTTGATTTTAATTAATTACTTACTAATAGTCCATCATAAATTTGTATATGAAAACTTAAAACGATTGTGAAATGTATTATTATATACAATTGTTGCCACTTTGGTATGCAGGTATTATAATTTATTCTAGATTTGACCTGAAATTTAATAATAATTATTAATACAGAAAATTAGAGAAATATAATTGTGACGCGCTCCCAAAGGTACTTAAAAAGCAAAAAATCTCTGATTATATTTATAATGTTTGCAGTAAAAATACAGAAAAAGAATCGATTACTAATATTAAACATATTATTCAAGTTTTTATTACAGTCATTTCGGTTGTAATAAAAATTTGAAGTTCAATAATAAAAACTAGTTTCAAATTAATTGTAATTAAAAAGGATCTTTTACTGAAGAAAAATGTAACATATATATAATTTATAATCTGTTTGCTTCTTACTTTTCTAGGGAGCGCGTCACAATTTTCAATTACTTAAAAAATTCAATTATTTAAAAAAATAATTTTCTGGAAAATTTACATTAACTTTAAATTTATCGAGACCAAGTCTCGGAAGTCCTGGCAGCCAACTTGGCCCTTTCCACACAACTGCAAGTTTATCTCGAAGTGATTTCATTTTTAAACTTCTAATTAACATCATTTTCGTGTAGAATGTCTGAAAGGAAATTTTAATTAATACTCTCAATACGATTTCGACTAATAATTTCGATTTGTATTATTAAATATTTCACCTGCAAGTAAATGGCATTGAAAGATTGTGGACTGACCACCAGTCCATAAATAATCTCCGGTTTCGGTAGTTGCTCCATAAATGTGCCAAATAGTCGATCCCAAATTATCAGCATTCCTCCATAGTTCTTATCGAGGCAGTACAAATTGCAACCTGGGAATAAGTTCAGCATTAGGGTGTAAAATAATAAATTAGTTTCGCGCTATTTACAGACAACATCCTCCTACCGTGATGAACTCGATGATGCTTAGGTGTATTGAAAATAAATTCAAATGGACCTAAATCTTTAATGACAGTCGTATGAATCCAAAGTTGATAGATCAAATTCAATTGATGATGTGTTATAAAATGAGAGGGAGGTATGAAGAAAGCGAGAGGCAAATAAAACATCTGGAAAATAAATGTGGAATATATATGAGAAACAAATACAAATATAATTGTGAGAAATTAAAATTTGATACGTTGTGTTACTTTATAAAAAAAAAAAGAAAAAAGAGCACGAAAATGTGAAAAACAGATCGCATTCCTGGAACTAGAGAACAGAAATGAAGTGGAATTGAATGAAACTTAATACTCACAAAGCTGCACCACTGTTGCAATACAGACTGCCTGAGACCGACCGCAAGATTAAATTCCTCACTGCTATGATGCACTTGATGTTGAGCCCACAAAATGTGTACCTCTGTAAACGGGAGTGTTATGCCTTAATTTATAAGAGACACCGAATCAGGAGAGGATAAGAAATAACCATGATTTGCCCGATGCACCCAGTAATAGCAGAAGTCGACCGCTATTGCTGTTATGTACCATGTCCATGGGGAATTCCAAGCCAAACTCCATACTCGATGCTTCTCATAAATCAAGATGTAGCTGTAATATTCGATCCCTCGAAACAAAACTCTGCAAAAAAAATTAAGGTAAAAATTACTCTTCAGCAATAGTCGATAGTTTTTAACTAATGTTTTGTCATTTATTTTGTATATTTAACGATTTAAACAATCATTTCTGTTGTAGTTGCTGTATTCGGTGGTGCCAACTTGTATCGCGAGCAATTTTTATGGAAACAACCCAAATTCTTCGAAACGTGTTGGTGACACTGATCGCATGCAGCAAGAACAGATTTAATTACAAAATAGCTGCAGGTTTCGCACTCATCAACTAAAACTTACTATTTACTTCTTTTTTACAATTTGCTACTATTTGAATACTTTTTCGATTTATGAAACGAAATGCTATCTTTATTTTTGGGGGAAATTTGCATCACTTTAAATTCGCTGATAGTTGAAATTAAAAAAAAAAAAATCTAAAATTTGTCATAAAATTCTTTAAATCGATTCAATTATTCTCAAAAACTATTCGAAAATCAATGAATTTCCATATTAAAATTCTATTTGCAAGAATTCAATTACTTTCACAAGTTATTAATTTTTCACGAAAATTCAATTATTTTTCAAAATTTTAATAAAATTCTTGACAAGAATACAATTATTTTCGCATAAATAATAAAACAATTATTCAATAATTATTTTTCCAAATAATAAAATTTTTCATGAGAATTCAATTATTTTCATAAATAACAAAATTCTTCTCAGAAATTGAATTATTTTTTAAAAAATTGATAAATTCTTTGATTCTTCACAATTATATTCAATTATATTCCCAAATAATAAAATTTTTCACGAGAATTCAATTATTTAAAAAGCATTAAAGAAAATTCTTTGCAAGAATTCAATTATTTTCATAAATAATGAAATTTCTTCTCAGAAATCCAAATATTTTTTTTTAAAATTGATAAATTCTTTCCTTAATTCTTGACATAAATTCAATGATTTTTATAAATAATAAAATTCCTCTCAGAAATTGAATTATTTTTCAAAAAATTGATAAATTCTTTCTTTAATTCTTCACAATTATTTTCCCAAATAATAAAATTTTTCACGAGAATTCAATTATTTAAAAAGCATTGAAGAAAATTCTTTGCAAAAATTCAATTATTTTTGTAAACAATAAAATTCTTCTCAGAAATTCAAATATTTTTTTAATAATTGAATTTTAATTATTTTGACAAATAATAATATTGTTACGTGAATTCAATTATTTAAAAAAAAAATTAAAAAAAATTCGTTGCAAGAATTCAATTATGTTCTAAAGTTTTTAAACTTCTCGTCAAAATTTTAATTATATTTATAAATAATAAAATTCTTCGCCAAAATTCAATTATTTTCAAAAATTTTTTTAAAATTCCTGACAAAACTTCAATTATTTTCAAAAATTTTCCTCAATTCAATGATTTACAAAATCTACTATTCTTAATTTTTCAAAAACGAATTCAATTATTTGAATAAAATTTTAGTAAAATTCTACGCAAACATTTAATTATTTTCGTATAAATAATAAAAATTTCACAGGAATTCAATTATTTACAAATTTTTATAAATTTTTTCGCAGTAATTCAATTATTTTTTTAAATAATAAAATTCTTCTCACGTATTTAGTTATTTTCAATTTAGATATAATTTTAATAAAGTCTCTCTAAGGAATTCTATTTTTTTCAAAAATTTAAATGAAATTCTTGACTGAGATTCAATTGTTTTTATAAATAATAAAATTCTTCAGATGAATTTAATTATTTCGAATGTAATTGTAATGAAACTCTTAGAAATAATTCAATTATTTTCATAAATAATAAAATTCTTAGAAAGAATTCAATTATTTTCAACAAGTTTAAACAAATTCTTTATACGAATTCAATTATTTTCAATGCAATTTTAACTGAATTCCTCTAAAGAATATAATTATTTTCCAAAATTTGCATAAACATCTTTAAAAACAATTCAGTTATTTGGAAAAATTTTAAACAACTTTTATGCAAGAATTAAATTTTAAGATTTTATTTAATTAGAATTTGATTAATTTTAAAATTCAAAAAATTTAAAAAGAGGAATTACTATTGAAGAATTTTATTTTATATAATTTAATTTTTCACGAGAATTAAATTATTTTAAAAAAAAATTAAATAAAATTCTTCGCAAGAATTTAATTATTTTCATAAATCATAAATAATAAAATTCTTCTCAGAAATTGAATTATTTTTTAAAAAATTGACAAATTCTTTATAAGAATTAAATTTTGAGAAATTATTATTATTATTACTATTATTATTATATTTATTATTATTATTTATATTTTTGTATTTAATAATACTTGAATTTCAGTTGAACTTTCTAAATAAGAATTGAATTAAAAACGAATTCCAGATGAAATTTTATATGATAATTGAATATTAAAAGCGTTATAGTACGATTTTTTAGAAATAACTATATTTTAAAAGATTATTAAATTGAAATCGTTGAAAATTTTAATTATTGTAAAACTGTAATAACTTTAAATTTTTACTTTGAAAAATTATTAATTTAATGTCTTAATTCCTGTGAACAATTTAAATTAAATTTTATAATAAAAATATTTTATTTGTTTACTTTTAAAAATTACTTTTAAGTACAATTGTATTTTTTAGGATAAAAATTTAGAAAATAATTGAATAGGATTTAAAAAATTTAGAATTAAATTTCTCAGCAGGATTAGAATAAAAATAAATATTTTTGTTTGAAATCAGAAAATAATCAGGGAAATACTAAATCATATTTTTGTGATTTGACTAAAACAATTTTTGTTTATTCGTTAAAATTAATTTACGATAGCTACTTTTTTACTACTTTTTTTAGTATTAAAGCTACTTTTTGATACAGTTTTTTAAAATTAATTATTTGAGTGTGAAGCCTGTAGTGGTCAAAACATGAAACCAGGGTTCCTACAGAATCTGGAAATCATTTTAAGAAATTCGGATTTTTGAATTTTTGATAATTTTAGATTTTTTACCAAAGAGTCGAGACTATTAAATAAGTAAAGTGTTTTTAAAGAGCCCAAAAATATTGAAATTAGATTTAAAATTCCACAGGAATTTCGTAAAAATTTGACCTGGAAATCATGGAAAATGTATGGAATTTTAAATTCGGATTTCTGTAGGAATCCTGGAAACTAAAAGCGTCAATTTTAAAGCTACAACCTTAATTGCTGAAGAAAAAATTTCTATTCCGAAAACAACAAAGTTTCTATAGTTAAAGTCGATTTTGCCGAAATTGACAAGTATTCTTTGTTAAATTAGCAAAAGGTTCGCAAAATGAACTTAAATAACGTTGATGCCGAGTACAAAAAAATTAATTAAAATAACAAGGATTCCCATTTGAAATAAAAATGGGATCTTCAGATGATATCTTCTTATCTTTATAATGTGTACGTATTTTTTTTTATGCATTATCTGTTATTGGCCGAGTTATGTAAATGATAAGATACCCGAACAATGTTAGTGAATTGGAAAACTAAAAATTAGGATTCGTGCTGTAAATAGAAAATTGAATGTTACCTCTATTCTTACCGTCCAGTTTCTTGAAGAATCCAATGCGACAAAGATGTCACATGGTCATCGAGACGAAACTTTTTCTTCTTTTTCGCATACAAAATAATACTCTCCATTGCGATAAGAACGAAGAATGATAACCAAATCTGCATAATTAAAGTAATTACAGAGGTAATGAAACAAAATCATGGAGATTAGTAATGAAAGTTATGAAATGATTAACGTTCTTATGTATAATTAACGATTTTTCACTTATTATACTTCGTTTTGGAAAAGAATTCAATCTCTTAGATAAAGAGATCTGGAAAAAAAAATTTTATTTCTGTGTGAAAAAAAAAAATACTTTTGTCTTTTTTTCAAAAGAAAAAAGTATTTTTTGTCGTCATGGGCAGCTAATATTTTTTTTCTACTTGAGATGTCTAAGAAAAAAATATTTTTATTGTAAATAGTAATGTTTACTTTACTACATTCAACTCTCAAGTCAAATGAGTATAATTGAATGGCAAACATTTCAATTAAGGACAAATTCTTTTCAATGAAAATGTTTAAAATTTGCTTCTACTCTCTGCTATTATTTTTTCTACGTTCTATTATTTTTTTCACATTTGTACACTTATTTCATTTTTGTGACTCTCGCGGATTTAAATAAGAAATTGAAAAAGTCAATGTAAGGACTGAGAAATTTATCAAGAAACACGGGAATTTAATTTTCTTTTGGATCCATATTTTTTTGGTACAACCACGAGAAATATTCGAATTTTTCGATATTTTAACTAATATTGAATATTGTCAGTTAAAATATTGAAAATGATAATATTCAATATTTTAACTGATAGTATTCAATATTTATTATTTATTATTAAAACTAGTGTCGAAAGGGGAAAAGTACGAAAAAAAATTTTTTTTTTTACCTGTTCATGATAATCGGGAACATCTTCGACAAACTGAAATATAGCATCGTAAGGATTAACTATGTACCACAATTTCCCGGCATGTTTGAGCCGACCGAAATAAGCAAACACTTCGCGGGTTTCATTCATGACTGACTACTACACAATGTATTACGTTCTTGGGTTTTCAACTCGATATACTACACACGATGAGCTTGGTGGGAGAATATAACTTAAGATGATAAAGAATCTCTCATCTGCTTGGAAAATAATTTTAGCCACAAGTACAATTTATTTTTACCCATTTTTTCAGACCTTTATTATTCGTTTTTTTTTCTTTTTTTGCCAAATTTACTGTTTATGTTTCGTTACAATTAGCACACAATATGCGATAGCTGCGCTATAAATATCATTGACATATACGTAATAGGCCGAAAGATAAAAATAACATTAAAACTGACAAACCTGTGCTAAAATGTAACTTTAAAACAAAAGTCCATTTGCACTGGAGAAAATTAAAAAAAAAATATTTCTTAGGGATATTTGTTCTTAATTCTTTAGATAGATTTTTTTAGAATTTCGTGTCCTTTGACATTGAGACACAAAAATTGATTTCGTTGCAATAATTTGGTTGCAATAATTTTTCACAAAAAGTAACGAAAATTTTAGAATTTGAGGGTTTTTATTCAAGATTTTAATTAGCTTCTTCATTAATTTTTCGGATATATATAGAATAAGAATTGAATAATGCCAAACAAACAGTAATTATAATTAATAATTTTTTCTTCAGGTATCTTTTGGTGGACGAAATCGAAGGAAGATTTTGCAAAGGATGCTGTTGATAATAAGCCCTTTTCTTCAGGGCACTTTTGATGTGGATGAAAGCTGAGAAAGATATTGCAAAAAGGATGATGATGCCGTTGATATTTGCTGATGGTATGTTTATAAGTTTTGGATTAAAAATACAGAAAGAGAATCAATCACGATTCTTAAGTCAATTTTCAGGAATAAAAAATGGTTTAACTTACAAGTTTCAAACGTATGAGATCGATTTTCAAAAAATTTCCATCCACATTCGACCCGCCATTTTTTATTCTTGAAAATTGACTCAATAATCAAAATCTTCGCAAAAATTCAATTATGTACAAAATTTTTAAAAAAAATTCTCAAAATTTCAATTATCTTTAAAAATATTAAAATTCTTTTCCAAAATTTATTTATATTCATAAATTTAAATAAAATTCTTGGCCAAATTTTTAATTATTTTCAAAAATTTTCCTGAATTCAATGATTTTCAATATCTATTATTTTAATAATATTTTTCAAAAGAATTCAATTATTTACAAATTTTTGATAAATTTCTTCGCAATAATTCAATTATTTGTATAAATAATAATTTTTTTTCTACAGAGATTCAATTATTTTCATGAATAATAAAACTAATCATAGAATTTAAATTATTTTTAATACATTTTTAATCGAATTCCTGGAAAAATCTTCTTTGAAATTCAATTATTTACAAAATTTTTTATAAATTTCTTCACAATAATTAAATTATTTTCATAAATAACAAAATTTTTTTACAGGGATTCAATTATTTTCGTAAATAATCAAATTTATTTTAGGAATTGAATTATTTTCATAAACAATGAATCTCATCGCAGAATTTTAATTATTTTTAATATATTTTAATCGAATTCCTTGAAAAAATGTAATTATTTCTAAAAATTTCATTAAAATTCGTCAAAAGAATTCAATGATTTAAAAATTTGTTGATAAAATTCTTTATGAAAAATCAATTTTAAAAAACATTCATTTATTCAATAAATTATTTATTTTTGTATTTAAATAATTGAATTCTCGTAGAATTTTCTAATGAAAATTTATTTAAAAATGAATTTCAGTTAAAATTTTAGAACAAAAATGGATTTGAAAATTCTCAAGGAACTTTTACAAAAAGTATTAAAAATAATTGATAATTGAATTCTTTTGAAGAATTTTAATAATATGTTTGAAAATAATTACCTACATTTTTCGTAGAGTTTACTTAAAATTGTATTAAAAATAATTGAAATCCTGTGAAGAATTTTATTATTTATGAAAATAATTGAATTCTTGCAAAAAATTTTATTACATACATTTTTTTTAAATAATTAAAATTCTGCGATGAATTTTATTATATTTATGGAAATAATTAAATTCCTGCAAAGAATTTTATTACATTTCTTTTAAATAATTGAAATCCTGTAAAGAATTGTATTATTTATAAAAATAATTGAATTCTTGCAACGAATTTTATTACATTTTTTTTTAAATAATTAAATTCTTTAGAAATATTTTATTAAAATAGTAGATTTTGAAAATATTTGAATTTCAGCGAAGAATTTCATTATTTGTGAAATGTAATTGAATTCTTGCAAAAAAATTTTGAAAATAATTAAATAGAACAGTTTTTTGATTTTCTAATAATTTTTAGAGTAAATCAGAATATTCTTTAGGGTCAGGGAAAGATTCAAAATTTTATCTGGAATTTTTGAAAACAATTAGTTTAATTAATAACGTGATTTACGAGGTTAGATTTTTAAGAAAGTTTTACTTTTCTTAAGAAACCCTTTTAGTTGAAAACAAATAATTCAAAATTAATTATTTATATTTATAATTTTAATTATTAAATTAATAATTAATAATTTATAATTATATTAATTATTTATTTATATTAATTAATAATTATTAATAATAATTAAATTAATAATTTAAATAATTATAAATTAAATTATCCCGAAATTATTACAGGAAAAATTAGATTAATTTAAAAATTAGCGCGCAAAATATTTACTTGACACTGTTCGGTCCTATCGGTAAAACAGAAAGTGAATCATTTTGAGGTTAAATTGTGAATTTCAACAACAATAACGTGAAACACGTGGGTGATAAATAAAAATATATTATTAGGAGTTTAATAAACTAAACGTAAGTAAAGTATTAAATTATTTAAATATAGATGTTTCCTATTACAGTGAGTATAAATATTAATTTTTTTTTTTAATGTCTAAAGTCAAAACTTTCCAAATCATAATAACTTGATATTTAAGGTTAGTTCTTCTAAATATAATTTATTTGTTTATTTTACTTATTTTTTTATAAACTTTACATTACTTTTTACTTAATAGCTTTAATAGGTTATTACGAGATTTTGCCGTTATTACGACATATTTACCGAATTGTTTACTATTTTTTCAGTCGTTTTCAATTAGACTATAAATTTCCAAGAATTTGGAAGCTGTACATTAAAGGATCATTGTTGAAAAGATCAATTAAAGTTCACAATGAAGTCAAATTCACGAAAACACAAAGGTAATTTTTGTAAATATATTCCTTTAGATTAATATTATTAATTATTCTTTAAAAGTAAAGATTTATTTATTACTTTTCGTTACTTGTTATCGTTATTTTTTATTTTTATTCCCTTTTCTTGTAGATGAATCAAGTAATGATTCAAGTGGAGAAAGTGATTTGGATGCTGAAGAGCATATGAAATCATTGCAAAAATTAAAAGACACTGATCCTGAATTTTATACATTTTTGAAACAAAATGATACGAAACTTCTTGATTTTAATGTATCGGATGATGATGGTGATAATGAGAAATGTTCTGATGATGAAGATGATTCAAGACACGTTCCACAGTCAAACTTGGAAATTGCCAGTGATGAAAGTGATTATGAACATGAAGAAGATGAAAATACTTCTGGTGGTCGAATTAAAGTTACATTGAAGATGATAGCAGCCTGGCAGGAAGCACTACAAAGTGACAAGTACGATTATTATCATTTTTGAATTATTGATTGCGATAAATTTAATTTCTTTAAATTAATTCTCCAATATTTGCTTCTTCTAGGTCGGCGAAAACAATAAAAGTAGTAGTTGAAGTCTTTCACGCAGCCACAGAAACACTAGCCGGGAAAGAGGAAGGTGAAAATAATGAGGAACCCTCGAGATACAAAGTTGATGGGAGTGCAGGTAATCATTTTTAATAAATAACTAATTTGCAGGGTAACCACAGGTCAGGGAATTCAGGGAAAGTAGAATTAGTTAGGAAAAGTCAGGGATTTTTATTAAAAGTAATGGAAGAAATTAAATTTTTAGAATTCAAAAGAAAATTCTAAATTTTTTTGTCTTTTTTGTTTGACTCCTAAACTGAGAAATTACCACGAATTCTAAATACAAAGCCTTCAATTTTTTATATATCTGACAATAATTTCTTTTTAAATAACTTCATTTTTTATAAACTATCCTCAAATTATTAATTAGCAATTATTTAATGAATAATTTTACTAAAATATTTCAAAATTAATTTAATTATAAAAGAGTTGCGTTTACAACTTTCATAAATAGATGAACTTCAAAAGGTTTTAATTTAAATTTTAGAAAATTTCAATTTTGAATGAATTTCATTAGAAATTTTAAAGAATTTAGATATTTGAAAAAATTTTAATAATTCAAATTCTTAGGAAATTAATTAAATTTTTTTAAAAATAATTAATTACTTATTAAAAGTAATGTATTTATAGAAGAATTTTAGTTAAAAATACAAAAAAAAATTGAATATTGGAGAAGCTACAAATGATTGCAGAAATTTAATTATTTTCAATAGTAATACAATTTTTCGCACAAATTTAATTATTATTTTTTATTTAATTATGTTAACAAATTTTTTTTAAATTCTCGGCAAAATTTCAATTATCTTTAAAAATAATAAAATTCTTCTCCAAAATTTAATTATTTTCAAAAATTTTCCTCAATTCGATAATTTTTAAAATCTATTTTTAAATTTTCCAAAAGAATTCAATTATTTCAATAAAATTTTACGCAAACATTTAATTATTTTTATAAATAATAAAAATTTCACAAAGATTCAATTATTTACAAATTTTTATAAATTTCATCGCAATAATTCAATTATTTTCATAAATAATAAAATTCTTCACAGAAATTCAATTATGTTAACAAATTTTTTTTTAAATTCTCGTCAAAATTTCAATTATCTTTAAACATAATAAAATTCTCCTCCAAAATTCAATTATTTTCAAAAAATTTCCTCAATTCGATGATTTTTAAAATCTATTTTTAAATTTTCCAAAAGAATTCAATTACTTGAATAAAATTTCAATAAAATTCTACGCAAACATTTAATTATTTTTATACAATAATAAAAATTTCACGAAGATTCAATTATTTACAAATTTTTATAAATTTCTTCGCAATAATTCAATTATTTTCATAAATAATAAAATTCTTCACAGAAATTCAATTATTTTCATAAATAATACAATTCTTCGCAGATATTCAATTATTTTCAATAGTTACAATTTTAATAATATCTGTCCTAAGAATTCTATTATTTTTGAAAAATTTAAATGAAATTCAATTCAAATTCAATTGTTTTTATAAATAAATTAAAATTCTTCAGATGAAATCAATTATTTTAAATATAATTTTAAAAAAATTCTTTGCCAGAATTTAATTATTTTTATAAATAGTAAAATTCTTCAGAAGAAATCCATTATTTTTAATGCAATTTTAACTGAATTCCTCATAAGAAAATAATTATTTTCAAAATTTGCAATACAATTTTAATTCAATTTCGCGAAAGAATTTAATTATTTTTCAAAATTTACATAAATATCTTGAAAATCAATGATTTTTAATATTTTATATTTTGATAAAATTTTTCAAAAAGAACTTAATTATTTAAAAAAATTTTAAATAAAATTCTAAGCAAACATTTAATTATTTCATAAATAATAAAAATTATTTACAAATTTTTTATAAATTTCTTCGCAATAATTGAATTAGTTTTATATATTATAAAATTTTTTTTTACAAGGATTCCATTATTTTTATAAATAATATAATTCTTCTTCGAAATTCAATTATTTACAAAATTTTTTATAAATTTCTTCACAATAATTCAATTATTTTCATAAATAACAAAATTTTTTACAGGGATTCAATTCATAAATAATCAAATTTATTTTAGGAATTGAATTATTTTTATAAACAATGAATCTCATCGCAGAATTTTAATTATTTTTAATATATATTTTAATCGAATGAGTTTCAGTTAAAATTTTAGATAATAATAATTGAATATTTAAAGCAATAGCGTGAATTTTTAGAAATAATTGAATTTTGAAATGGTTTCAAATTAAAATCTTTGAATTTAAATTTTTCATACTTTCATCTAAAAATTCTGTAGATTTAATTTTTTTTGAAAAAGTACAATTGAATTATTTTAAAAATTATTTCAAGTTTTTATTTTCTAATATACAATTGATGAATTTCCCTAATAATTGGTGAAATTTGGTAAAATTAAATTGTAAAAAAATGGATTTGAAAATTCTCAAAGAACTTTTTGAAAAATTATTAAAAATAATTGATTTAAAGAAGAATTTTATTCAGAAATTGTAGAAAATAATAATTGCATTGTAATGATGAATAAATAGTAAAAATATTAATTAATAAAATAAATAATTTTCTTTTTCTTTATGAATTTTTAGTATTCAATGCAGTGGTGCAAATGTGTATAATGCACTTGCCTGAAAGTTTGAAATCGTTTTTGGGCCTTGGAACACAAACGCGCTTTGACGCCCATAAAGCGAAAAAATTTGTCAAAGTTAAAGGAACAGTCAAATCTTATCTTACAGACTTGTTAAAGGTATAGTAACAATTATTTTTAAATACTTGAATAATTTTATTTTAAAATAAAACTGAAAATATTCAAATAAACTTAATTTTCTAGCTTTTACGATGTGTATCGTCATCAAATATAATCACAGTGCTTTTAAAACATCTTCATCAAATGTTACCTTACACACACTGTTACTCATCTCTTCGCAAGCCTCTTTTAAAAATTCTGCTAAAATTCTGGTCATCCGGAGAAGAAACTGTTCGAGTTGTTGCTTTTCTCTGCATTATACAAATGGCAACTAGTCAAAAGGAATCGATTCTCGAAATTCTCGTTAAGGTAATTAATTAATTTTCTCTTCAATAAATAGTTTTCTTTAAAAAGAAGGAAATTTCAAACTATTATTAAAAGGTTAAGAGATTAAAATAAAATAAATTATTATTTGAATTAATTTATAATTATATTAATTTATTTTAATTTTTAATTAATAGAGAAATGTATTAAAACTCTCTTTATTTCTTTTTCAGACAATGTACATTAAATATGTTCAAAATTCGAATTTCGTTTCTCCGTCACTTTTACCTGGTATTAATTTCATGAGACATTCTTTGGCGGAAATTTATCTTCTTGATTGTAATTTCGCTTACAATCACGCTTTTTTGTTTGTTCGTCAATTGGCCATTAACTTGCGAAATGCTGTAACTTTAAAGAAAAAGGTAAAACAAAAGAAGAGAAAAGAGACAAAAAGTCTCTTCTTCAAAATTATTCATTAAGAATTTTGGAAGAATTGTTAATATTAACTGAAAACATTTTTCTTTTTGTATTTCAGGAAAACTTTCAAGCTGTTTATAATTGGCAATTTATTAATTCTTTGAAATTCTGGGCAGAACTTATCCCTCTTTCGAAACCTCAATCTATGATGAGACAACTTCTCTATCCTCTTGTACAAGTAAGATTGAAAAAAAAATACTATTATAATTTTTTGTACCAGAAAGGAATTATTGATTAATTATTATTATTTTTGTATGTTGTAGATTATTATTGGTACAATAAAAATGATTCCGACTTCTCAATATTATCCTCTGCGGTTTCATTGTTTAAGAATGCTTATAAGTATTGCCAAAGAATCCGGAACTTTTATACCTGTTTTGCCATTTTTGACCGAGGTAAGAAAAAAACGAAAACAAAAATTTGAGTAGAAAATAGAATAAAATGCTTTTTAAAAAAATACTTTTTTCAAGAATTTCTATTCAATTTATTCTTCTTTTTATAGATATTGAATAATTATACTTTCAATAAAAAACACAAAGTCGCTGCAATGAAGCCAATGTCTTTAATTTGTTTGCTGAGAGTTTCAAAAAGTCAACAGCAGGAAAATACATTCAAAGACAGTATTTTGGAAACTATCTACGAACTAATTTTAGAAAATGCCGCCAATGAGAGTCATAAAGTTTATTTTCCCGATTCTTACATTCCCTGCGTTATCGAGGTGAGTAATATTTAATTTTGAATCAAAGAAAAAAGAAAATTCTAATTTTTTAAATTTGTTTTTCAAAAAGTACAGGGCTCGAACTATAAGTTCGTAAATTTGTTTAAAGTTCGTAAAAATCAGTTTTTTTAAAAAAAGATCCGTAAAGTCCGTAATTTGATTGAAAAAAGCAATAAAAGTTCGTAAATTTAACGATATAATTTGGAGAATTTTTGAAAAGTTACAAACAATTGCAAAAATTCAATTATTTTCAAAAGTAATAAAATTCTTTGCAAAAATTCAATAATGGTCACAAATTTTTTTTAAATTCTCATCAAAATTTCAATTATCTTTATAAATAATAAAATTCTTCCCTGAAATTCAATTATTTTCAAAAATTTTAATAAAATTCTTCCCAAAAATTCAATTATTTATAATACAATTTTAATAACATTTCATGAAAGAATTCAATTTTTAAAAAAATATTGTAATAACATTTTTCAAAATAATTCAATTATTTTCTAAAATTTAAATAAATCCTTCGAAACAATTCAATTATTTTCTAAAAATTTTAATGAAATTCAAGAATTAAATGTTTAATTTCAATTATTAAGAAACACGATTATTGTAAAAAAAAACTTGAAAGAAATTGTTCATATAAAAATTCAATTACTTTGAAAATTTACAATTAAAATTATTAAAGAAACTCCATTATTTTAAAGAAATTCAAAACTTCAAAAGAATTTAATTAGGATTATGAAAATTTTTAATAAAATTCTTCCCCAAAAATTCAATTATTTCCATAAATAATAAAATTCTTCGAAGAAATTCAATTATCAATTTTTTTTATAAAAATCTTTGCATAAATTAAATGATTTATTTTTTTTTCAAAAATTTAAATAAAATTCCAGTCAAGAATAGAAATATTTTCGCATGAATAATAAAATGCTTCTCAAGAATTCAGTTACCTACTTTTAAAAATTTTAATGAAATTCTTCTACAAACTTCAATTATCTTCAGGAATTTTAATAAAATTCTTTACAAAATTCAATTATTTTCATAAATTTTAATAAAATTCATGGCAAAATTTCAATTATTTTCAAAAATTTATCTGAACTCAATAATTTGTACATATTATATTTAAAAAAATTTACCAAATGAATTCAATTATTAAAAATAGAATTTTTTCGAGAAATTCAATTAAAGTTGTTTCGAAAATATTTGAATTTCTTTAAAGAATTTTATTATTTTTTGAAAATAATTGAGTTCTTTCAATTTTTTTGACGAATATTTTTAAAAATTGCATTGAAAATAATTTAATTTTTATATAAAAATTTTTTTTTAATATTTTGAGAATAATTGAATTATTTTTGGAGGATTTTAAATTCTTGTTGAAATTGAATTTTATGAAAAATTTTTGAAAATAATTAAATTCTTTCGTTTAATTTTATTTAAATTGGATTAAAAATTATTTAATCCTTGCAAAGAATTTTAGTATTTATAGAAATAGTTGAATTGTTTCGAAGAATTTATTAAAATTTTCAGGAAATAATTGAAATTTATGGAAATATTTAAAAATAGTTAAATATTTGAATTCATCCGAGGAATTCAATTAAAATTGTTTTTGAAAATAATTGAATTCCTACAAAGAATTTTACTATTTATAAAATTAATTGAAATGTTTCGAAGAATTTTACTATTTATAAAAATAATTGAATTTTTTTGAAGAATTTATTAGAATTTTAGGAAAAAATTTAATTTTTTCGAAATGTGTTAAATTTTTTTCTTAAAATTGAATTCAATTAAAATTGTTTTGAAAATAATTGAATTTTTGTAAAGATTTTACTATTTAAAAAAATAATTGAATTGTTTAGAAGAATTTATTAAAATTTTAGAAAATAATTGAACTATTGCGTGAAATTTTATTAAAATTTTTGAAAATATGAAGAGTAATAATTAATTTTGTACTTAATAAGTGAATTTTTTAAATTTTTATTATGAAATTGTTTATAAAATTTATATTTGAAAATAAAAAATTTTATAATTTGCATAACAATAATATTAGTTTGTAATTGGTCCGTAATTTTTTATTTTTGGTCCGTAAAGTCCATATTTTTAAATACTTTTTCTAGTTCGAGCCCTGAAAGTATAATTTTTCCAAAAGTAAACTTGGATTATTTATAAATAAGTTTTATTGATTACCTACTGAAAATATCTATTAACTAATTTCGAATTATTTCTTTTCAGCTAAAAGCTTTTCTAAAGAAAAGCAATGTCGCGAATTATTCGAGAAAAATAAAGCAGTTACTGGATAAAGTTGAAGAGAATCGAAAATTCATTGAGAAGGAACGTGCTAAATTGACATTTGACTTGAAGAATATCAAAGAAATTCAAAATTGGGAGACGAGATTAAAGAATGAAGGCACGCCATTGGCTAAATTCTACACCTCGTGGTTTAAGATTTACGAAACACAAAAATTGAAACTCCTTACGCAGAATGACGAAATTGCTGACAATAAATTGCCGAGTATCAGGAAAGGTAAAGGCAACAAGAGACATGCAGATAGCGATGAGAATAGCGATCTTGATATGCCTGTTGAGGAATTTGAAAGGAGGGAACAAAAGAAGAAGCAAAAGAAGAAAGCAATGAAAACGAAGAAGACTAAATACGTGGACGAAGAGCTTCCAAAGGATAATACGGATATTGTGAGAGATTTGAAAATCGACGATTGGGATTGAGAAGAAGTAGATAATTTTTAAGCAAAGAAATAAATAAAAGTCTTTTTGTAAAAAGTTCAAATGTTTCTTTTATTAAGAATCAATTCCTTTAAACCACAAAGTGCGAAAAGTAGATTTAACTTCTAAATCAGTTTTTATTGAATATTTTTCCAGCAATAAAGACTTCATAATGATGAATAATTTTCAGTAATAATTGACTCTCTTTCTGTATTTTTACTACAAACAATATAATCACAATCTAAAATTTTTCGAGATTTTGTCCTTGTTTTTTCTCAATGTGCATATAATTAAAGTGATTTTGTTTTATTTTCAAATTTTCTAAATTTATTTTCCAGATGTTTTATTTGCTTCTCGCTTTCTTCATAATTCCCTCTTATTCAATGCCATTTACTTGCAGGTGAGATATTTCATATTACAAATCGAAATTATTAGTGGAAATCATATTGAAAGTATTAATTAAAATTTCCTTTCAGATATTCTAAACGAAAATGATGTTAATTAGAAGTTTAAAAATGAAATCACTTCAAGATAAACTTGCAGTTGTGTGGAAAGGGACAAATTGGTTGCCAGGACTTCCGAACCTTGGCCTTAATAAATTTAAAGTTAAAATGTAAATTTTCCAGAAAATTAATTTCCAAAACAATTGAAAATTGTGAACCGCTTTCAAGAAAGGTAAGAAACAAACGAATTATTATGTTAATCAGGGTTGTCACGTGTCAGGGAAGTCAGAGAATACAGGGAAAAGTCAGGAATGTTTATTGAAAGTAATAAAAAAAATTAAATTTTTAGAATTCATGAGAAAATTCTGAATTTTTTGTTTGTCTTATAAACTTAGAAATTACCACGAATTCTAAAACAAAACATTTAATTTTTTCTACTTCTGACAATAATTTCTTTTTAAATAACTTAATTTTTGAAGAACTATCACAAAATTATTACTTATAAATTATTAAATGAATAAATTTACTTAAATATTTCGAAATTAATTAAATTTTAAAAGAGTTGCGTTTACAATTTTCGCAAATAGATCAACTTCAAAAGATTCCAATTTGAAATTATAGAAAATATTAATTTTGAATAAATAGAAATTTTATTGTAAATTAAAAAAATTCATTCAACTATAAGCATGAATTTTTGTTTTCAATAAAATTTCTCGAAAGAATTCAATAATTCTTTAAAAAATTTTAATAAATTTCTTAGCAGAATTTCAATTATATATTCAATAAAATTTTTCAAAAGAATTAAATTATTCCCAAAAATTTTTTATAACTTTCCTGTCGAAATTTTAATTATTTTAAAATTCTTTGCAAGAATTTAATTACTTTCAATATGATTTTAATAAAATATCTGAATTTAATTATTCTTGGAAACGTTGATAAACTTTGCAGATTTTCTATTAATTTGAATTTTTTGCATGAATTCAATTCTTTATAAATTTTCTTGCAGAATTTAAATTCTTTTTAAATACTTTGCAAGAACTCAATTATTTTCAATACAATTTTAATAAAATAGCAGAATTGAATTATTCTTAAAAATATTGATAAATTTAATTCCAGAATTTTTATTATTTTCACTTTTAGAGAAAATTTGAATTTTCAAGGATGAATTTAATTAGAAATGTTAAAGAAGTTAGAATTTTGAAAAATTTGGATAATTCAAATTCTTGTGAAATTAATTCAATTTTTTAATATATATTTAATTAATTATTTAAAATAATGGATTTATAGAAGAATTTTAGTCAAAAACACTTTTAAAAAAATTAAATTTTTGAGAAGTTGGAAATGATTGCAGAAATTCAATTATTTTCAAAAGTAACAAATTTCTTCTCAAAAATTCAATTATATTAAAAATTTTTTTTTAAATTCTCGTCAAAATTTCAATTAACTTTATAAAAAATTAAATTCTTGGCAAAATTCTAATTATTTTCAAAAATTTTCCTCAATTCAATGATTTTTAATATCTACTATTTTAATCAAATTTCCTTACTGAAATCAATTATTTATTAAAAAAAAAAATGTCAACAAAATTTTGCTTAAATATTTTTTGCTCAAACAATATCACAGAAATTCAATTATTTACAAAAGTTTAAAAAAATTTCTTCGCAATAATTCAATTATTCTTATAAATAATAAAATTCTTTTTAGGAATTTAATTATTTTCATAAAAAATAAAACTCATCGGAGAATTTTAATTATTTTTAATACAGTTTTAATAGAATTCCTCGAACAATGTAATTATTTAAAAAAAATTTTATTAAAATTCTTCAAAAAATTCAATTATTTACAAAAATTTTGATAAAGTTCTTTCTAAGATTTAAAATTAAAGAAATATTCAATTACTTAATAAATTATTTATTTTTGTATTCAAATAATTGAATTCTAATAGTATTTTCAAATAAATATTGATTTAAAAATGAATTTTAGTTAAAATTTTAGATTATAATCGAATATTAAATGCTTTATAGCATGAATTTTTAGAAATAATTGAATTTTGAAAATGTTTCAATTTCAAACTAAAATCTTTGAAAATCTGAATTTTTCTTTTAACTATAACAATTCGGTAGAAATAATTTTTTTGAAAAACTTAATCGAATTTTTGTTGAAATTATTTGAAGGTTTTATTTTCTAATATATATTTAATTGGAGAATTTTCGAATAATCGAAATTTCAATTAAAATTGAGTTGTAAACAAATGGAATCGAAAGTTCTCAAATAACTTTGTCAAAAATTATTAAAAATAATTGATTCAAAGAAGAATTCTAGTTAAAAACTCGTTAAAATAATAATTAAATTTAAATGATAGAAATAATTTGGAAGAAGTTACAGTAACAATATTCTTATGATATAAAATAATAATTTTATCATTCGGTCATCTTGAATTATTAGATATAAGCTGTTGAATTTTAAAAGGTTTGAATTTGAATTTTTTGAATATCTTAATTCCTGTGGAAAATTAATAATGATTATTTTATAGATGTATTTTATTGATGGATGACGTCTTTGGAGTTGAAGAGCCTCATCTCAACGAAGAGACTTTTGGAAAGGATTAATTGAAAGAGGTCAACGCCTTATATTTTTGGGAGAAATTAATGAAAAATCGACTCTTGATAAAAAAAAAACACAAGCTCTACACAATTGTCTTTGAAACCTTGGACTTTTTTTACTCAACTTCAAGACGTTTCCTTTGATAAATGGAAGGATAATTTCAATATTCAGGTAAATTACAGTATTAATAATAACAATTGCATTGCATTAATTTCTTTTCATTCGAATTTACAATTTTTCTTTGCAAATTGTTTGAAAAAATTATTTTTATTGATAAAAACGAGAAAATTAATATCAAATTTGAAATCTAAAGTCAAATCAGAAAATTATTTGCAAATAACCGTAAATTTTGATGAATTAACTTTGAAAATTTGATCTAAATTATTTTTTAACCGAATATTTTTTGTAAAATGAAATTTCTGCTTGTGATTTGAAAAAAAATCGAAAATGAAAAATGAAAAATTTGCTTTCAAATGAAAGTAAATGAGTTTAATTAAATATATCTTTCATTTCCTGGTCCAATCGGAACATGAGACCCAAGGTGGGGGGAAAAGAAAGAAAATTTGCTCTTTTCTTCTTTTTTTCTTTTTTTTTCGATCTAAAAGCCACCCATGAAAGACTGACGACCGATTCTATAAGGTGTCGCTTTCTGGTGGTCTATTTTTACCGTGAACGGATCAAGCAGTCGAGAAGTTGTAAGCGTCGCTTAGGCATGAATACAAAGCTCAATCCGGTATCGTAATTTATCAATTTTCAGTGTAAAAATCGTGCTTTTTGACTGGAAAGAAAGAAAAGTTCGGTGTTTTCTAAATAAGTAGAGAAAATTTCAATTTTCTTCTTCGATTTCTCATTCCACGTGTAATTGAGAAAAGCAAGAGAGAAAAGTTGATTCTTTTATTTATTGTTTGTTTAAAAATTTGACTTCCGGTGGAGCTTTCGACATTTTACGTTCATTCGCATATGCAGCGCTTGTATGTATTTTTTTTTCTCTTATTTTGTTAATATTACACAACTATTTAGTAAATTACTAATTTAGTAAAAATTATTAGTGAGTCAGAATATGATGGTAAAATATTTAGTACAGTTTTCGTTATTAAATTAAAGTTTTTTCGTTATTAAATTTTTGTTGTTGATTTTTTTTCACATTCTCTCATTGTCCTGTCGATAAAATCGAATCGAAAGTTGGATTGAAAAAAAAAGTTAGTTCCTTATTTCTATTTCTGCTATTCTATTGAAGTATATTGATGATTAGATTGAATTTTCCCCGGCTGGGCAAACTTGTTGTCTATATCTATCTATATATCTCTCCTCACGCTAATGTGAGGTGCAAGAATATATTTTGCAAGATGTAAATCGTGGTTGGGAAGAAGAAGAGGTTTATGTTTTCGCTCGTGGCGAGTGAGAGACGTGTGCGCGTTACAAAGCTTTTAAGCTCAACTTCGACGACTCGCTTTCACGGAGTTACGTAAATCTAAGAGAAACGAAAAAAAAGAGGAGAAAATAAAAGGCCCATAAAAAAAAAGTAGCATCTCGTCAACTTCATTCACGATGAGGAAGACGTCGTTCGATAAGTAAACTCTTTTACTTTGCTTATGATTTTAGTTCGCAAAACGCGCAATCAAAACGCAACCTTCAACATTATTTTATGAGGCTTTTTATTTATATCCCTCTCGCTGCTCACGATGAAATCTCCGTGAATTTCGAAAATTCAAGTTCGAAACTAGAATGACTGCGTGCTTTTTGCGACGTTTTAAAAATGCAGCATCATTCACCTGTTTCTTCTTCTTCTCCTTCGTCTCTTTCTTCTTCTTATTCTCAACACGTTGTTTTCGTTTCATTTTCTGTTTATTTTCCATGGGAAATCCCCTTGATGTTCTGTTATCGAATATTAATTCATGAAAGACGTTTAATTAAACTCATTACTAATTAATAATTTTTATCTTAAAATATTGATTCAAAATACGAAATCGAAAGTGGATTTTTGTTTTTTGAAAATTGAAAAACTAATTAATAATTTTTATTGTAGAATATTGACTCAAAATACTGAATTGAAACTGGATTTTTGTTTTTTGAAAATTGAAAAACTAATTAATAATTTTTATTGTAGAATATTGATTCAAAATACGAAATCGAAAGTGGATTTTTGTTTTTCGAAAATTGAAAAACTATTAAATAATTTTTACCGTAAAATATTGACTCAAAATACCGAATTGAAAGTGGATTTTTGTTTTTTGAAAATTGAAAAACTATTAAATAATTTTTATCGTAAAATATTGACTCAAAATACTGAATTGAAAGTGGATTTTTGTTTTTTTTTGTAAATTGAAAAATAAGGGAAAGAAGAATTGCTAAAAATAATACAAGTGATTGATTTCTTTCTGATTACAAATGCGGAGTTTTCAAAAGTTGATTTAATGCTGAGAATTAAATCGTCAGGCGTGAATTTAAAAGTTTTTTCTTTAACTATACAATTTATATTTATAGCTGCAGATCGAAGATGTATTTTAAAAACTAATTTACTAATTTTGTTCTTCTGATTTTTTCTTCGAATTTTTGAGAATGTTAAATACGCATTTTGACGCCCTGCTTTTTCAGATAAATGAGATTGTTATTTTCAAGTAGAGGTCGCAGCTGCTGAATGACAAGGACTCGTAAAATTAAATATTTATTTCAATTTTAATTAAATTTTAATTTTATTCAACTTGAATTTTAATTAAATTTAATTTTATTCAAGTTCGATTTTAATTAATTTCAATGTTATTAAATTTCAATTGGAATCGAATTTCATAGTTTCTTGAAAAGGTTTTTTAAATAAATAAAATACAAATAATGACATTATTATTTTTTATTTTGTTATTGGCTTTAATTTTTCACACTCTAGAAGTTCTAGTAAATTTTTTTCAGTCAGCAGCTGCTTTTAATTAAATTTGACGCTGCAGTCATTATTATTTTTGGATAGTTGAAGTTTTTCTAAAATTAATTTTTTTTTCATTGTAGAAAGAAACTACTTCCATCGAGTTTTAAAATTTAAATATAAAGTAGAATTCACGTTTTATAATTTCAATATTTATTAAAATTGGTTTGCAAAATTTTTCATGTATAAAATCTAAAATTTCAGGTTTGAAAGTACATTTCGAGAAGGAAAGACAGAAAGAAAGAAGAAAAAATATATTGCGTATGACAAGCAATGAAAGTCTTCTGACGAATAGAGCAATATTTATCAGCGATAAACCATAAATGCATTTTTACTGAAAACTCGTATAGAGGGGAATTTTTTTTTTATAAAAAGAATGGAAATTGAGGATTTGCAATATTCTGATCTCGATTTTCTCATCGAGTCTCTGTGGTCCGTTGAAACTGAGTGCGGTTGCTATACGTATTACGTTACAACAGATAAATTTAGCGATTCTTTTACATAGAACTTGGTTGTACCGATGCCAATACCGCAACACGGAATTAATTGGCCTCTTGAATAGCAACCAATGCACATAATCTCTTATCAATCATTGTTAAAGTCCTTTTTCCAAAAATTCTCATTTTCTCTTACTTAATTCTCACATAGCTGGCAACTATTTCATTCAGTTATTTACATTTTCCACAAGGAAAGCGTATTCAATTTATTGCAAATACTTCCTTCATGAGAAGAATATATTATTGAAATACCCATTAATTTTCACTTAATTTGACAGAATAGTCACTTATTCATTAGCAGGGTTGCGACAGAAATTTAATTTAATTTTTCCCTGATTTCCAGACAAAATTTTCATTTTTTCCCTAATCATACAGAATATTCCGATTCACTCTAAAAATTATTAGATACTCAAAAAAGAGTCCATTACATTTATTTACGAATTTCTGTAATTGGAAAATCAACTTCTTTTTTAAATAAAATATTTAATCAATTATTAAATAATATAAAAAAAATAGGAATTGAGATTTCTACCAAAAATTTTAACTGAAATTCATTTTTAAATTAATTTTTATTAAAAAATTCCATGAGAATTAAACTATTTTAATACAAAAAAATAATTTATTAACAAATTAAATGTTTTTTAAAATTGAATTCTGATAGAAAATTTTATCCATTTTTTAAATGATTGAATTCTTTCGACGAATTTGCATACGATTTTTAAAAACGTTCATTGAAGAATTCGATTATTTTAATTATTACAAATAATTAAAATTCTGCGATGAGATTAAAAACTGAAATTTTCTAAAATTTTAAAAACTAAAACCTTTTGAAGTTTATCTATTTGTGAACATTGTAAACGCAACTCTTTTTAAAATTCAATTAATTCGAAAAAATATTTATTTTTGACAATAAGGGTTTTTGATTTTTCAAATTGTTAATATTGTGAATTTGAATAGAATTTCCCATTGACCCAGTGCGGAGGAACTAATTTTAGAGAGACCGATAGATATATTATAAACACGTGTTATTGTTCCTTTATAAACGTCTGTTTTATTTAATTTTATTTTTGTCTTTTTCACAGTCCCAGTAATACAAGACGGAATATTTTGAGTAATTCATCTTACAATTACACATCGACTGTAAATAAAGATGCAGATTACAAACGTCTGAATTACAAATCCCAGGAGAGCAGCAGTTTTCTACAAAAAAGTGTCTCAGCAGACAATGTTGTAGTTCGCACAAGGGGATTTAAACCCTCCGACAGACACGATCCAGCGAAACGAAATTTTCTCGAAAAACTCACTTCTAAAATACTTCACTTCGATATGGTAAGTTTTTTTCATTTACATATATTATATAAACATTAATTACAGGCTTCGCACTCATCTACTTCACTACTTTAAATTCGCTAATACTAGAAATAAAAAAAACTATTCTCAAAAATTATAATCAAATTCTTTGAAAAGATTCAATTATTTGCAAAAAATTGTCGAAATTCAATTATTTTCAATATCTAGTATTTTCATAAAATTTTGCAAAAAAATTCAATTATTAAAAAAAAATGTTGAAATTCATCAAAAATTCAATTTTTCCATAAATAATAAAATTTCCACATAAATTCAATTAATTTTGAATCGCATTTTCAAAAAAATTTTGAAAAAATCAATTATTTAACAAACTTTTTATATAATTCTTCACAATAATTCAATTACTTTCACTAATAATAACATTTTTCTTGGAAATACAATTATTTAAAAAAATTTTTTGATAAAATTCTAAACAAGAATTCAATTATTTTCACAATTAATAAAACTCATTGAAAAATTTCAATTATTTTTAATACTATTTTAAATTAATTAATCGAAAAATTCCATTATTTTCACAAATAAAGTTTTCTACAAGAAATTAAATTATTTAAAATAAAATTTTCATAATATTTACTATATTTCGAAACAATTAATTATTTAAAACAATGTTTATAAAATTCTTATGAAGAAATTCAATTATTTTCAAAAATAACAAAATTTTTCACAGAAATTCAATTTTTTTAAAAACATTTTAATAAAATTTGTCGCAATAATTCAATTATTTTCATAAATATAATAAAATTTTTCTCAGGAATTCAATTATTTTTGAAAATTTTAATAGAATTCTTAACAACTATTCAATTATTTTCATAAATAACAAAATTCATCGTATAGGATTTCAATTATTTTTAATAAAATTTTACAGGAATTGCTCAAAAAATGTAATTATTCTTAAGAATTTAATTTCAATTCCTCCAAAATATCAATTATTTAAAAAAAGAATATTTTTTAAAAATTCTTTAAAAGAATTCAATTGTTTTCAAATATTTAAATAAAATTGTTCGAAAGAAATTAATTATTTTAAATACAATTTTAATTTAATTTTTTTGAAATAATTCAATTATTCTTTTAGATTTTAATAAAATTCTTTGCAAAATTCAATTATTTTCATAAATAACGATATTCAACACAAGAATTCAATTATTTTTAAAAGTAATAAATTTATTCTTAGAAATTCAATTATTTTAAAACATTCTAATAAATTCGTTAGCAAGAGTTCAATTATTTTCATAAATATAAGAAAATTCTTCTCAGGAATTCAATTATTTTTGAAAATTTTAATAGAATTCTTAGCAGCTATTCAATTATTTTCATAAATAATAAAATTCATTGCAGGATTTTAATTATTTTTAATACAATTTTACAAGAATTGCTCAAAAAATATAATCACTCTTAAAAATTTAATTTCAATTCCTCCAAAAAATTAATTATTTATAAAAAGAATATTTTTTTTAAATTCTTTGAAAGAATTTAATTGTTTACAAAAATATTGGAATTTTTCAAAGGAATTCAATTAGTTTCAAATATTTTAATAAAATTGTTCGAAAGAAATTAGTTATTTTAAATACAATTTTAATTAAATTTTTTTGAATTAATTCAATTATTCTTTTAGATTTTAATAAAATTCTCTTCAAGAATTCAATTATTTCGACAAATAATAAAATTATGCAAAATTCAGTTATTTTCAAAAAAAAAAAATTTACTAAAATACCACACAGACTTTGAATTATTGTCAAAAATTTTAATACAATTCTTTGTAAAATTTAATTATTTTTCAAAACTTTTCGCAATTTAATGATTTTCCATATCAACTATTTTCATAAAATTTCCAAACAGAATTCAATTATTTAAAATTTTTTTTGTAAAAATCTTCGTAAGAATTCAATTCTTTTCATGAATAATAAAAATTTCTCCGTAATTCAATTATTTAAATTAGAATTTGCATAGAATTAGTCGAAAGAAATGAATTAATTAAAAATTTTTAGTAAATTCTTCGCAAGAATTAAATTATTTTTATAAATATTTAAATTCATTCATGAATAATAAAATTCTTTTCGGGAATAAAATTTATTAGCAGGATAAGAAAGAAGTAAATATTTTTGATGAAAATTAGGAAAAAGTCAGGAAAATAAAAAATAGAATGGAATTTTTGTCAGTTTTGTGAAGTTTCTAAAACGAGTTTTTTTTTGTGGTCAAGTTTAATTTTTCGATAGCTACTTTTTACTACTTTTTTTTAGTTTAATAGCTATTTTTTGCAACTTTTTTAAAATTAATTATCGAGCGCGAAGTCTGTAATTATTTTATTTGCAGGAATTTTAGAATTTTTTTAGAGAGGAAAAAATTGTAGATGGAAGAGTAATAAAAATAATGGATGCGTTTTTATGGCCATTTATTGAATGACATTTTTTTTTAAATGTACACCAATTATTCTTGATATAAGAAACATCGCAAGTAATTTAATTACATCGAATGTTTCGTTTGTTGTAAAGAAAAGTGGTAAAATTGTTATTTAAGCTTCAGAAGGAGGAAGTGTTGGTGGTTGGTCGCGGTCACGACAGTAGCCTTCGGTCCATCCTTCTTGTTGATAACAAAATGTTGAACAACAATTGCCCCAAGCTCCGGTCCATTGGCACCGACCACCGTTTCGAATACACCGTGATGGCTGTCCCAATGCACTGGGTGCAATAATCATCAAAAACGTTGCTAACAAAATTAATGAAACTCTCAATGCGGCCATTTTTTCAAGTTTTCCTGCGGGAAATTATTTTTTAAAAAAATTAATTAAGTTCTTTGCAAAAATTTAATTAGTATTAAAAATTGTAATAAAATTCTTCACGACAATTTAATTATTTTCAAAAATTTTTAGAAAATGAATTATATTCAATATCTACTATTTAAATAAAATTTCCTAAAATAATTCAATTATTTAAAGTTAAAATTTTAAGTAATAATTGAATATTAAATGCGTTTTTGTTATTATTCTAAAAAATTGTAATAACATTTTGGAGAAACAATTCAAAAAATTTTAATGAAAATTTTTCCATCTATTCAAATGTTTTATAAAATTTTGCGCAAGAATTCAATTATTTAAAAGAAATTTAGTAAATTTCTTCTCAAAAATTTTAAAATGAATTTTTAAATAAATTCCTCATAAAATGCAATTGCTCTTAAAAATGTTTATTAAAATTCTTTGAAAGAATTGAATTATTTACAAGAATTTTGATATAATTTGTTCATTAGAATTTAATAATTATATTTTTAATTAAAGTTCTTGAAAGAATTTTATTGTCAAAAAAAAATTTTAATGAAATTGTTTTCAAATAATTTTTTATGATTTCTGTGTGAAGAATCGAGAAAAGTTCATTTTTGAGCCATTTTGAATTAAATCGTAACTTTTGTTTAAAAAAAGAAATTTTTTTCGTTTATAATATTGCTTAAAAATATTATTAACTGATAGTGAAGAATCACCTATAAATAATATTTTATTAAAGAATAAAGTTTATAATAGAGAAAAATTTATTTGTTAAGACATTTTGTTTTTATTTTTATTTCATCGAATTTCTATTTAATAAAATACGTAATTTTTTCTTTTAAATTCACACTACAAATCTTATGCCAGAAATTATAGTTTGGACAATTGCCAATATTAATTCGTATTTAAATGAAAGCTTTCAACAGATGGAAATTCACAAGTGAAATAATTATTCCAATATTTTGAAACTTTGAACAACTAGAAATTCTGTTTTACAAAAATTGATTCAACAAATATTTTCTAAACTTTCTTTGCTCCTAAAAAAGGTACAAAAATAGTAAGAAATTTTGTGTTTATAATTTTTGAAGTAAAAATACAGAAAGAAAATCAATTATAGTTAAAAATTATTTATCTTCAAGTCTTTATTACCTAAAAAATTTAATGAAAACTGATTTTAGTAGTAAATAATTAAACAGAAAGTTTTAATTAAAAGAAATTGAACACGAACGTTAAATTCGTTTTTTTGTACCTTTTTTGGGAGCGCGTCACAAGTAAATTCGCTAAATAGAAAATTTAGATATAATATAAGTTATTTACCTTTATTTGAAGTGAGAAGAAACAAGATATTGAAAAACGTTTACAATTTTGTGATGAACTGTAATATTTTTTTCGCTTTTTATACTCAAAAAGTAAGATAAAATATTGCAGTAAAAAATACTTTCCTTATTATTTTTGGATTACATGTCAATTTTGAGGGATTATTTTGACACGTTTGTAAATAGGAATAACCACTTTATTCAAAAATGTTAAAAATAATATTAGAAAAGTAAAAAAAGAGAAAACATCTTTTACATGAAAAATATAACTGAAATTATTTGTCTATTTACAATTACAATTTTTACTGATGGAAACATTTTTTTTTTGTTTAATTCTAGGAAAGCGGAGAGAGGACTCCAATAAATTTACAAAAATTGCTCACTCCAGCTACAGATGGAAATGAAAAGACGCACGTTAAAAATAGTAAGTTCATAAAATCACTTTATTTCTTTTTCTAGTTTCATTATTATCATCATTTGTAATTCATTTTTTTTTTCATTTTTTCTTTGAAAATATTTTTCACATCACGAGAAATATTGTTTAGCTTCAAGGAAAATGGTTGTGTCGAATTTTTGTTTCAGAAGGTGAAGCTTAATTTTATCCGGAAAATTTAAGTACTCCACTTAAGGAATTTATATTAATTTTTAGAAACAGTTTTCTTTAATATGTAATTAAAACATTTTTGCATGCGTATATTTTTTGTAATTTTTTTTTTTTTTTTTTTGAGAGATTAACTCTTTTAATTAGAAAATAGTGGTTTTAATACTTATTAATTTTTGATATAAAAATACCAAATAGAGAGAAATGAAAATTAATTGATACACATTTACTAGGAATAAACACAACACAATATTAATACTAGAATTTCGCTTTTTCGTAACATTCCATGTACTTTCATATTACTTCTAAAGTATATGTCTGGTTAATTAACATCGTTACATGCAATTCTAGACATCGACAATAATTTTATTCTGTTCCACACAATTAATCGAAAGTTTATTTTTGTTTTCGGTTCAACATCCGTGACGCGCTCTTAAGAAAAAAAATGTCAAAAAATTTTAGTTTGTGTTCATTATTTTTGACAAGAAAATTAAGAAAAATACACAAAGAGGATTTACTCTAAATTTATAAATTACTAAAATAATTGATAAAAACTGATTTTAGTTTTAATTAAACAAGAATAATTAAACAGTTTAATGGAAATTTTTGTTTAAGGTAAAAGTAACACAAGTTTAAAGTACTTTTGTACGAAAGGGTTTATTGAAACCCATTTATGTTCAAAATAAATAAAGTGATTTGCTTTTATCTTTCTTCAGAGCGCGTCATTTGTAATTTATATTTTAGTAAATTTCTTTTAAATCCTTTAAATAAAAATAATTTATGTTATTAATTATTAATTCAATGTCAAGTTTAATAAACTTTTCTATTTTCTTTTTTTTGTGTAAAATCTTCATGTGGAATTGGAGTTTAGATTTTTTAATGGAAAATATTTTTTAAACGTTTATAATACTTTTTATTTATTAATTATATTTTTTTCAAGAAAAAATGTTCGCCTCTTCGTACTTCTACGCTCCCTCTCATCCAACGGTCGAGGATCAAGTAGAATTAGCCCGAAGAATTTCAAATTCATTGAGCGATGTGAAGAATATGAAAAGCAAAGGACAATCGATGTATGTCAATCGAAAAAAACGATCTGTAAAGTGGATTCACGAGGGCAATGGTTTGTATTATATATTGTGTTTTAAAAAAAAGTAATCAACTTAATTATTTAAAGGAGAAATTAAAATTTTTAATTTTTTCAGGAACTGAAGAGGAAGACGACTCTTCTACTCCGTTGCATAAGGTAAATTTTAAGGGTTTTGTCACAAAAATTTACTTTGTTTTTAATTCACTTTTCCCTGATTTCTAGCCATTTTTATTTTTTCCATAATTCTAAAGAATATTCTGATTCAGTTTCTAAAAATAATGACTAAAAGAAAAAAAAGTTTGAAAACCTTTAATTGCTAATTTCTAAAATTGGAAATTATTCCAAAACATCAATAACTTCTTTTTTAAATAAATATTTAATCATTATTATTTTTTCATAGGAATCAAGATTTCAAACCAAAAAATTAAATTATTTATAAGAATTTTCTTACTGTAATTTCTTCAAAATTAATTTCATCATTTCAATTCAATTATTATTTTCTGGAATTTTTAACTAAAATTCTTTTTTAAATAAATTATTTTTAATAGTTTTTGACAAAGTTTTTTAACAATTTTCAAATACATTTGTTAACAATTTAATTTTACGTGAAATTTCGATTATTCGGAAATTCTTCAGTTAAATATATTTTAGATAATAAAAACTTCAAATAATTTCAATAGAATCGGAATTAAAATTAAAAAAAAAAATTAGTTGCTATAATGAAAAGTATGAAAAATTCAGATTTTCGAATATTTGAGTTAGAAACCTTTTCAAAAATTCAATTATTCATAAAAATTGATATTATTTGTAATTTCTCTAAAATTCCATTTTTTTTAGAGATTTTAACTAAAATTCTTCTATATAAATGCATTATTTTTAATAATTAAGTAAATATATTTTAAAAAATAGAAACTAATTTAAAAAAAATTTAAATAATCAAAATTTTTCAAAATTCTATGTTCTTTAAAATTTCTAATTGAATTAATTTGAATTTCACGTTTTCTAAAAGTAAAAATAATTGAAATTCTGCAAAGAAATTTATTAAAATTTTTAAGAATAATTTAATTTTGATATTTTATTAAAATTGTATTGAAAATAATTATATTCTTGCAAAGTATTTGAAAATAATTTAAATTCTACAGGTAAATTTATAAAAAATTTTAAGAATAATTGAATTCTTTTGAGAAATTTTATTGAAAATAATTGAATTCATGCAAAAAAATCAAAATAATTGAAATTCCGCAAAGAAATTTATTAACATTTTTAAGAATAATTTAATTTAAACATTTTATTAAAATTTTATTGAAAATAATTGAATTCCTACAAAAAATATTACAATAATTGAAATTTAGACAAAAAATTTATGAAAAATTTTAAGAATAATTGAATTCTTTGGAAAAATTTTATTGAAAATAATTGAATTCATGCGAGATATTCAAAATAATTGAAATTTCGCAAAGAAATTTATCAACATTTTTAAGAATAATTGAATTCAGATATTTTTTTAAAAATTGAATTGAAAATAATTGAATTCTTGTAAAGAATTTTAAAAATAATTGAAATTTCGACGAGAACTTTATGAAAATTTTTGAGAATAATTGAATTTTTCGAGAAATTTTATTAAAAATGATTGAATTTAGGGGAAAAATTCTAAATAATTAGAATTCTGCAAATAAATTTATCAACATTTTTAAGAATAATTGAATTCATATATTTTTTTAAAATTGAATTAAAAATAATTGAATTCCTACAAAAAATATTATAATAATTGAAATTTAGACTTTTGTCTAAATTTCTAAATTTTTGTCTAAAATATTTCTTAAATTTTTAAATTTTTGAAAATTTTTAAGAAAAGTTAAATTCTTTGGAGCGATTTTATTAAATATAATTGAATTCATATTAGAAATTCAAAACTATTGGAATTCTGCAAAGAAATTTTTTAACATTTTTAAGAATAATTGAATTCAGATATTTTTTTAAAATTGTATTGAAAAAAATTGAATTCTTTGCAAAGAATATTCAATTATTAAAGAATATTAAAATAATAATTAAAATTTAGACCAAAAATTTATGAAAAATTTTAAGAATTACTGAATTCTTTGGAGAAATTTTATTGAAAATAATTAAATTCATGTGGATAATTCAAAATAATTGAAATTAGGTACGGAAAGAAATTTATAAAAATTTTTAAGAATATTTGAATTTGTTTGAGAAATTTTAGTGAAAGTAATTGAAATTCTGCTAAGAAATTTATCAAAAATTTTAAGAATTATTATTGAAATCTTTCGAGAAATTTTATTGTAAATAATTCAAATTTTTCTAAAATTTCAAATTCATACCTTTTGAAATTAAATTATTTATGAAAATTGTAAATGCAACTCTTATATTTAATTCAATTATTTTAAAAATTTTCAAGTAAATTTACTTTTTAAAATTTTCAAGTAAAATTATTGATTAAAAATTTTATAAATAATAATTTTATGATAGTTGTTCAAGAATAAAGTTATTTCAAAAGAAATTATTGTCTGAACTAGAAATAATTGTACATTTTGTTTCAGAATTCGTGGTAATTTCATAGTTTATAAGGCAAACAAAAAATACACAAAAATTCAGAATTTTCTTAAGAATTCTAAAAATTAAATTTTTTCCAGTACTTTTAATAAAAATTCCTGATTTTCCTCTAATTTCTCTGATTAATTCTTTTCTTTCTGAATTCTCTGATTTTCTCGCCCTTTGGCAATCCTGAATAAAGTAAAAGAAAATAATTTTTACCTTATCTAGTTTTATTTATAGAGTTTTTTTATTAATTGGAAAATAATGTTTTTCGCAAAATACTTAATATTTTATTTATTTATTTATAATAACCAAACTTCCTAGAGAGAAAATAATTTGAAATCTTCTTTCAGGACAAACTTTCTTTGAAGTGTTTAATGAATCCTTGCGGAAAGGTCCTCGACATTAATGGAATTCAGGCTCTGGGAGAGGAAGTTAATATTGAATCATTTCCTTCTCATCCGGAAAAGCTGTTCGATATTGTTCGTGACTTGAATAATCAAAGAGGCCGGGGTAAGTGAAACGTTAAATTTTTCTACGATAGCTCATCGAAGCTTTTCTAATTTTTATTTCCATGAGAGTTTTTTTTTAAATTAAAAAAAAATTTATTTCTACGAGATTTACATGAAAGAAATTGAATTTAAACAAAAACAATTCTTCTCTCTTCCATAAATTCATTTAAATCATCTGCATTGTTATGTGAGGAACTTATGATTAGATTAAAAATAGAATTTTTTATAAACTTCAAGTCATAAATAAAGAGATAAAACGTTGCTTTAATCTACTACTATACGTATTGACAAACAGATAATAATGTTGCATTTTTTTGTTTCTTCAATTGATTAAACATTTATTATGGCCATGAACTTCGAAAGTACAATGATATTTTTTTCAATTTGCTATGAATTCAAAAATTACGAAATTTTTTTTTCTATGCCAATTGAAAAAAAAATATTAAAAATGACATTTAAATTTAAATATATTTTTAAAGTCGCTATTTTTCGCTATAACTGAAAATAAACTGCGGTGACAAATTAAAAATAAGTTTCCTTCTTTCTGTCAAGAGACTGTCTCATTAAACAAACAGAAATATTTGCAGTGAAAAAACATTTTTATTGTTTTTTTCCTTTCTTATGTAATTAAAAAACAGTTGGACAAAAACAGTTTAGGAAAACAATACGATAGTTTATCGAAAAAAATAAATAAGGGAAACGATTTTTATTTTACTTTCAATTATTTTTATGAATAGTAAATTTTTTATACAAAAATTCAATTATTTTGATAAATAGTAAATTTTTTATACAAAAATTAATTTATTTTGATAAATATTAAATTTTTCATACAAAAATTCAATTATTTTTATAAATAGTAAATTTTCCATACAAAAATTCAATTATTTTTATAAATAGTAAATTTTTTGTACAAAAATTCAATTATTTTTAAAAAATTTTAGTAAAACAATTACAGTGGAACCTCGATTATCCGAACTAACCTAGGCACGGCCTGATTCGGATAATCGAAAATTCGGATAATAGAGGTTTTAATGTTTTTCATAATTAAAGTAAAAAAATTGGACAGTTGAACTATATGTACATATTTAATTTAATACATTTTTCAAAGATATATAAGTATATATATTAATTTATAATAATATATTAATAAAACACAATATATGATTTTTTTAAGACTTTTTTGGCATAAACAAACATAAGTAATAAAATAAATAGAGAAAATAAATTTTAAAATTCGGATAGCCAAAAAAAAGTTCGGATAATAGAAATTCGGATAAAATGATTTTCGGTTCGGATAATAGAGGTTTCGGATAACAGAGGTTCGGATAATCGAGGTTCCACTGTAGTTAATTAATTGAAATATTAATGGAACAATTAGTTAATTAATTAAAATATTAATTAAATATTTATATAATTATTCGAAATATTCGTTACAAGAATTCAATTATTTTTATATAAATAATAACATTCTTCGGAATAATTCAATTATTTTTATAAATAGTAAAATTTTTTTGCAAAAAATCAATTATTTTTTAAAAAATTTTAATAAAATTTCACAAAAGAATTGAAATATTTTCTAAAATTTTAATATAATCCTTCTAAACAATTCAATTATTTTCAATAAAATTTCGCGAAAGAATTTAATTTTTTTCTTAATTCGTTATAAAATGTTTCAAAAGAATTCAATTATTTTCTAAAATTTTAATAAATCCTTCGCAAGAATTCAAATTATTTTTATACAAATATTAAAATTCTTTGCAGGAATTCAATTATTTTCAAAACCCTTTTAATTGAATTCCTCGGAAGGATTCAAATATTTTCAAAAATTTCCATAAAATTCAATTTCATAAAGAATTTAAAATTCTTTCAAAATAATTCAATTATTCTCAAAAATATTTTTAAATAATTCTATTTGAAAATTAAATTACTTTCAATGCAATTTTTAAATATATTCGTCTAAAAAATTGAAGGAATTCAATTTTTTTTTAAAAATAATAAAATTTGTATGATAAATTCAATTATTTTGAATATACTTAATTTTAATAAATATTTCTATAAAATTCTTCAAAACAATTCAAATATTTTTAAAATTTTAATAAAACCGTCGAAACAATTCAATTTTTTTTTAAATAGTAAAATCTTTGCAAAAATTCAATTATTTTCAATAAATTTCGTGAAATTGAAAATTTTACGAAAGAATTTAATTTTTTAAAAATATTTTTAATAATATTTCACGAAAGAATTCAATTAGTTTCTAAAATTTTAATAAATTCTTCAAAACAAATCAATTTTATTTTAAAATTTTGATAAAATTTTTCGAAAGAATTCAATTATTTTTAAAAATTTTAATTAATCCATCGAATCATTTCAATTATTTTTATAAGTAGTAAAATTCATTGCAAGATTTAAATTGTTTTTTTATAAATAATAAAATTCTTCTCAGGAATTCAATAAGTTTCAATACAATTTTAATAAATTTCAATAATCAAATATTTAATTATAATTAATTAACAGACACGATAATTTGAAAAAGTTAAAAAAAATTCTTTCTTTAATTCATTTATTTTCAAAATTTTTGAATTAAAATTATTCAAGAAATTTCATTATTTTAAAAAAATTCAAAGAAATTCTTCAACAGAATTTAATTATTCTGAAATTTTTTTTATAAAACTCTTTGAAAGAATTCAATGATTTTGAAAAGATTAATTTTTTAATTAAAAGGAAATACAATGATTATTAATATAGATTTTAATTGTCTTATGTTTTTTTTTATTCGAATTGTACTGCTCTCAATAACATTTCATTTACTTAAGAATTGAGGAATTAAAATTAATTAGTCTCGACATAGGCCCCAACGGTGTCCTTCAGGTCGCTCGCAATGTCCTCGACAGCAAGCAATTGGGTCGCCGTCACACTGACGACCAACCTCAGCGCAATATGACATTGCATTGGGCACTAGAACCATTAAGATTGTTGCTAGCAACATGAATAAAGCTCGTAAGATTGCTGCCATTTTTCTCTCCTTTTTTTCTGCAATTTTAAAAAGTGCTATTATTTACCTTTTTGAAAAATGCAATTATTCTCGAAAAATATTATTAAAATTCGTCTAAAGAATTCAATTCTTTAATTATTCTAAAAATAAAAATAAAATTATTATTGAATTCCAGTGAAATTTTTATTATTTATGAAAATAATTAAATGTTTGCATACAATTTTATTAAAAATTTTTTTTAAATAATTGAATTCTTTTTGAGAAATTTTATTAAAATAGTACATATTGAAAATTAGAAAAATGCATTTTATTTTTGAAAATAATTTAAATTAGGACAAGAATTTTTTTTTTGTTATGAAAATAATTGAATTTTGGAGAAGAATTTTGTTATTTATAAAGATAATTGGGATTTTTACGAGAATTTTTTTCAAATTTTGAACATAGTCGAATTTTATAAGAAGAATTTTCTTTTTTTTTAAATAATTGAATTTCTGCAATTATTTGTAATTTCTCCAAAATTGAATTTTTTTAAGTGTTTTCAACTAAAATTTAAATTAAAAAATTTTTTATTTTGTTATTTTTAAAATTTTTAATTTTTATTTAAAAAAGTTATAGTTGTAATTTTTAGAAATATAATTAAAATTTCAATATATTGAAATTATTTAAAATATTTAAATTCCTATGGAAAAATAATTAGGTATTTAAATATTTATTTAGTATGTAATTATTCTTTTTTTTTGAATATAATTTCAGAATTCAGAAATAATGAAAAAATTATCAAATTGGTAACAATAATAGTTTGAAATACAACTTACATTTGAGAAACAGTGATGAACGTTTTTCTAAGTAAATTGAAATTCAACATCACTAAGAGCTTTTATACTCAACTTGACTCATTATCTTCTTAATATTAATGACAAAAAGTAGATGAGAAAATAATAAAAAAAATATTAGAAAATTTTTGTGGCCTTTAGTCTAGAATTGTCGAGATAAAATGATTGACTTTTAATATTATTTATACATTTTCCTTATGAACATATAATAATATGTTCATAAGGAAAAAGATTTTTTCTACATTTTACTATTATATCTGATAATGTAAAATAATATTTTTCTAACAAGATAACGTCAATTTTTAATTAATTGAATTTATTATTATAATTATCATATATTGATTTTGTGGAAAAGATAATAGTTTTTTAAAATGTGATGCGCTCTCTAGAAAGATACCTATAAGTAGGGTTGTCACAGGTCAGGGAAAAGTCAGAGAAATCAGGAAAAAATTAAGGAATTTTTATTAAGTAGAACTAATAAATTATTTGATGAATAATTTTACTTAAATATTTCAAAATGATTGAAGAAATTCAATTATTTTCGAAAAGTAATAAAATTCTTCGTAGAAATTCAATTATGTTCAAGAATTTAAAAAAAATTCTCGTAAAAATTTCAATTATCTTTCAAATTAATAACATTCTTCTCCGAAATTCAATTATGTATTTTCAAAAATTTTAATAAAAATCTTGCAAAATTTCAATTAATTTTAAAACTAATAAAATTCTAAAATTTAATGGAAATTTCACAGAAATTCAATTATTTACAAGTTTTTTTTAATAAATTTTTTCACAATAATTCAATTATTTGCAATTTTTATTATAAATTTCTTCATCATAATTCAATTATTTTCATAAAAAATAAAATTCTTTTAAAGAAATTCTATTATTTTTATAATTAATAAATTTTTTTACAGCGATTCAATTATATTCATAAATAATAAATTTTTACAGGGATTCAATTATTCTCATAATTAATAAAATTTTATGTACAAAATATTTTTTTTTAATTCTCTTTAAAATTCCAATTATCTTTATAATTAATAAAATTCTCCAAAATTTAATCATTTTCAAAACTTTTTTCTTTAAATTCTAGGTAAACATTTAATTATTTTCATAAATAATAAAAATTATACAGGAATTCTATTATTTACAAATTTTTTATAAAATTCTTCGTAA